TTGGTTGTATTGGGTCCTTTGTTTTATTAATTATCAGAATGTTGGCTGATAGTTATGTTGTCCATCATTTGAGGCTTTACTCAATGAAAACCAACAGGCCCTCTTTTAACTTTCATCTATGTTTGACAACATTTAATACATAACCCAGCTATCAAAGGAGGGGAGTTGCAAAATCACATTTGGTTTTGAAGAAGCTTCACTATCTGCTGTGTAAAATAACTCCAGATAATATCAGCACCAAATAGATGCTTGTTAAAAAAAAACTGAGTGTGTGTTGTTTCCACTGAAGTTCATTCAAATCTAGAAAGAAATTTGCAAAACTGTTTATCTCATTCTTTAAGATTTATATTCTTTATAGTATTCATTACAGTGTAAAATTCCAACTGACAGAATACCATAAATGAAAGAAAACAACTTCTTAGATTTGGATTTCCACAAGAAGTCGATCCGGACTCTGGCCATCTGGCAGCAAACCTAGTCCATCTTAGTCTGAACAGGGTTGTAGTGCCACCTCCTGCTTATTTTGGGCAGTAGTTTAATCATTAACGGGAACAGTTCCACACTCATAGCTCACTGGAATTCCTGTAACATTGCTTGGTGCCTGTTTGTAAATTTAATCCAGGATACCAAGCTGAGGAAATACCAAGGACACTGGGACACTCTTACAACACTTCCTTTGCCTCCTGCTTCAGCCTTCTCTACACTCTCCATCACTCCAAATGATAAAAGGAGGCTGAGAACACAGGAACCAATTAACGACTGAATTGTGTCCAGATTTACATTATGCACATTAAATTGTAGTATTAAGTATATACAGTTAACACACATAATAAGGTTCATGTTTTAAAAATATCAACAAAACTAGTGATGAGAAAAAGAATTGAGTGTGGTAATGCCCACCCCTAATCCTAGCTGTTTGGAGGCTGTGAGGGCTGCAGGTTCAAGGCCAAGCTGGGCAAGTTAACCAGACCTTGCCACAAAATGAAGAAAGATGGGGATGCAGATCAGCGCTGGAGTGTTTGCTTAGCAGAGGCAAGTTTCGGAGGGGAGGGTGTTGGGGGAGCCCAGTGTGGAGAATGGACTGGAGAGGAAACCAACTACCTGAAGGAAGACAGACAAGCTAGCTGTGGTTGCAGTAACACAGGCACAAGGCAATGAGTTTCTTCAAGCAGAAGGGTGAGAGTGCGGTGTGGAAGAAAGTGAACAGATTTGATATTTAGGGACCACAACTGAGTCTTTATCTTTTAGAGATGCAAACTGAAATATTTAAAGATAACTTGGTATGATTTCTGGGATTTTCCTTAAAGTGATCCATCTGTGAAGAGGAAATATCAGAGACGTGATTACAGACAAATCAAAAACTGGCCATATGCTGAAACTGCCAATTGGTGATAGATGCAAGGGACTCCTACAGTTTGTTTACTTTTGTATACATTTGAAAATTATTGAAGTAAAAGTTTAAAAAATAAAATGCCAGGAAATATTTGAGGGGAAAATTCAGTAGAACGGTAAGAATGTGACGTATAAACTTGGAGAAAGAGTAAAAGCAGTGACCTTGGGCATGATAAAAAGATGGAAAGTTAATTGAATCCTTGGGAGTGAATGAGGTTACCAAAGAATAAAAATGAGGCTGGGGTATAGACAATGGTAGTACTAGTGGTAGTACTAGTGGGTTCGGTGCCAACCACTGGGAGGAGGGGAGGACAGAGACTGAATGAAGTAAGCTAGAATCCACCACAGTCAAAGAAACGGCAATGGAAGTATGGCCAACAAGATAGTCCTGCAGGAAACAAAAATATCAAGCATTCAAGAAGACAGTGCTCTACCCTGTCAAATACTGTTGAGAAGCCAAGAAAGGAAATCCACATCATTTGGATTTATCTATGTGAAAGCCATTGGTGACTCTGGTGAGAAGCAATTAACTTAGGGACTGGGGAACAGAACAGAGCATATACTTAGCTTTAGGGCTACAGTGGAATATGAAACATATAACATCAGAATGTATGAAAAACTCTTTCAAAAAGTTTGGCAGGGGACAGAAATCCACGGGTACTTGGATGAGGATAAGCAGGAATGCTGGGTACTGTGACATTCGTTGCTCACTGATTGATACACTGCTAAAGATGATTATTTCTCTAAATAATCTGCTGCTTCTTTTTATTTTGTCCTACAACTTCCACAAAATTCAAATTTAGAGTATAAAATCTTCTAGTATCTCTCCATTATGTGCTGATGTGTAAATATCTCAAGACAGAATACTGTCACCTTCTCTAACACCAGCAAACTGAACCCCAGCCACTCCGTGACCCCTTTTCTTTTGCTCTACCAGGATTTATATCCAGTGAGTACTATGCCACATCCCTACCCCTTTTCATTTTTTAAAAAAATTTGAGACAGTTTCTTGTTAAATCTCCAATTCTGCAGTCTTGTCTCAAATTTGCAATCCTCCCTCACCCTTCCACAGAGCTGAGATTACAAGTGTGTGCCAATGTGCTTCACTCATTCCTCCTTCTGGATGTGTATTGCTCACACTGACACTCCTACTTAAAGTACATTCCTCTCCCCTAATGTTTGTCCCTTTGAATCCTGCTCTTCCTTTAGGTCCCAGATCAAATACAGTAACATTTTCTCCTTGAACCCCTTCCTGACCCACCTCCTCTTTCCACTGGAGTAGATACAATCCCCTCCTCTTTTTTTCTTCTAGTGCCCGCTGTTTATATCTCTCTGTGGCATTCATCAGATTTTGCTTGTATTTCAATTCTCTGGGTGGTTATGATATCCTTTCTATATCCACAAATTGTACGTTACTTGAAACTGACTTTATTTTCCTCATCTTTGTATCTGTCACAGAAGTTTCTAACAGTATCTTGCACAAGAGTGACTTCTGAATTAAATTAGATTTCCAGGGCTCTATTGTTCATGTTTGGGGGTTTAAACTGCTTTTTAGAATTACAATGATACTTGCTATTGCTTTCCACATAACATTGTTATTTTTATAATTTTTCTCATTATCATCTAAAAATAGTAGCTAAAACTTGCTACTTTGTAGTTACTTTATTTTTATATATATGCTTTACAATTTAAGTTATATTTAATACATTTTGAGATATCCTAATCATACTGATACAAATATGGTAGTCATATAACACCCACTCAGATATAACAAAAGTTAAATTTATCATGATTAATTCGAATCCTAAAATTAAACCTATAGAGCTATATTGAAACTTCATTTCATTCCTTTCTTTCCTTTCCAGAGGTATATCTGCACATGTAGTTGATACATATCCCTCCCAACCATATATATACAGACATATATATCATATGTATATATATTTGTTTATGTGTGCGGTTACATGCGTATGTATGGTGTGTGGTGCTGGGACTCAAATGTAGGACCTCATGCGTGGTAGGCAAATAGCCAAGTATTCTACCACTGAGCTATACCTCAACTTTCTCACTATTATCATTATTATGTGTTTTACTTAACTCACACAAATAATTATTTTGTGGTTTTAAGATTATCCCTAAGTGATACAATATTCTTATGAAGGCATTTGATATTTGCTTTTTTCACTCAATATTGTCAGAATTTATTCTTGTAGGCATATATAGTATACTTCATTCATCTAAACTAGGTAGGTACGACTCTACCATCCCATATTTAACCTTTGCTATAATCTTGCAAGGTAGATAGTACTAATTCTGTATTACAGATGAAAAAATTTAATTACAGAGAAATTAAGTACTTTAGTAAGGTTATAGTTTCTAGCAAATGGAAAGAGAACTCTTGCACGGCCTGAAACACCTAATCCCATGTTTTCTCCACTATAACATTCAATGATTTTATTCAGCAAATGGACATGCTGGACACTGTTTTAGGTCCTAAGTATCTAACAGTGAAGTAAACAGACAAGACCTTGCTCTCAAGAGCCTTATATTTGAAAAAGAGTAAATAAAAAGATATGCAACATATTGTTTTAAGCGCCTGAAGCAAATTAAAATAGGAGGAGGAAAAGAGTGCATATATGTTAATCCATATGCTCTCTGATGTCATTTCAGCAAACATCTCGGGAGAAAAAGGAACGGTGAGGAAGGGTGTTCAAGGCCAAAGCATGGGGGGCAGTAAATGAAGCAGGAATACACAGTATTTAGTTGTCACTCCATCATTTTAATTTTTTAGGTACTGTATAGTTAACTATCCTCATGTACCAGTGAACAAATGTAGACATCCTGCATGATTTTATCTGACTAAATGAACGATTTTGACATTGTTAGCAGTATTTAATGGCGCCTATCTTTCGAATAAAAATTTGGGAGAAGTAGAAAATATCTGAGGCCGCAATAATTTATTTACTTTAAAAATTAAATCGTAAATTGTAGATGACCACAATTGGTGACATTTCCATACGCGGCACTGCTGCAGATTTGATGAGATATAAATCAAATAAAATCCACTTTTTTTTTTTTTGAGACAGGGTCTCTCTACGCAGTTCAGGCTGGTCTTGAGCTCACTTTGTAGCCCAGGCTGGTCTCAAACTCTCAATCATCCTCCTGCCTCAGACTGTTGTGATTACAGGCGTGAGCCACCACACTTGACTCAAGTTCACTTTTAAATGTTAAAGACTGTTAGGGCTCTAACAAAACTTAGTCACTTTAAGTTGAAAACAATGCTGGAATGAGAAGAACTAGAAGCAGCCCACTTTTTGCCCTGCATCTCTCAGCCTAGATGAGGAATACTTAAAATACGTGGGTTTATAAACCTGGGCTGTAGTGGTGGCCTTTACTTGCTGAATTCTGTTTTCACATTTGTGAAGCGAAGGAGTCTGGACTGGCAGTCAGGCTTCTTTGCGAGCCAATCCGTGTGGCTGAGCCCAGCACCCCAGCCGGCGAGCCGCGGAGAGGTCAGCCGCCCAAACGCTGAACTACCCGCGCGCCGACTCGGGGCACGCCCCGCTCGTGCACCCCGCCCCCTGCAGTTTCGCGGCTTCCCCTGGGTCCTAAGCAGAAAAGAATAGCATCCTGAAGCGTAAGACCACTTCTTCCGTGAAGAGTTTTGGGCCCTGCGAGGCCCCGTCTGCTGTCGCATTCGCACCGGAGACATCTGTGGAGACGCCGGGAACTCGTGGCGGCGTGGATGCACACTGCTAAATAGTACCAGCATGGGCGAGCATGGTCTGGAATTGGCCTCCATGATTCCCGCTCTGCGGGAGCTGGGCAGGTAGGGCCCAAGTCCCGCGGTCTGTGTGTGTGTTTGGGGTGGGGGTCCCACGTCGTCCTCTTCGAGCGCAGCAGGCGTCCGCTCCCCGCCCCCTAGCCGCGATTTGGCTCCCTGTGCCTCAGCCCTTGCGGAAGTGCTCTCTCTCGGATCGGGGCGCTTCTCCGTCACAGTGGCGGCTAAATAAAATCAGGGGCACCGTCACAAGACCTACGGGAAGCCAGTCCGAGAAAAGGGAGCGTGCGGGAGTTCTCCCAAGCTGGAGGTTTCGCCTTCTGCAGCCGGAGTGGGGAACCCGTTCTGATCACTATTCTGCTCCGCTGTGTACGCTCATTGGCTTCTAAAAAACCTGATTCTCAGATAAGAGACAGGTTCTATTCTTTATAATAACTTGTGGAGTAATTGACTTACGTTGTATCCCTACAATGCCCGCGAAGGGAAAAATCACAGCTTCTCATTTTCAGCAAGGTTGTTTGCTAGAACAAGGCAGTTAATTTTCTCTCTTTGAAGAGAAATCATAGTCTGTTTTAGAGATGTGATTTTCTTCGTCTCAGTCCCTGGCTGATATTTTAATCCGAGAAATCCATCACCAGAGTCCACAAAATCTAAAATGCAAGGTGTTACCAAGAATTGAAGATAAGATTTCATTTGTAAATGCTTGTTTTCTGTAAACCCCAAGAGTAAAATATATAAGCCAGTTGTTTTACCAAAGAGCCAATTGTTTTACTACTGTTTGCCATCCCCTTTAACAAATGGACTTTCCTCAAATGGGACTCAAGTGTAGACTGGATTTTTTGGTTTTGTTTTTTATTTTCACTATAAGAAATAAATGGATATATACTAATATTAGAGTTGAGTTATTATAATTTTTTGGTTTTTGTACAGGGATTGAATTCAGGACCTCGCGTTTGCCAAGCAGTTGCTTATGCCGCTGAGCTAAACCCCTGGCCCTAGAGTTGAATTATTGATTGGAACAATTGCTTCTTTAACAGGAAACTTTCCACATAAGGTCAATAGTACTGACGTTAAGTTCATGAGATAGCTGCTTTTCTTTTTTCAGCGCAGTTGTGTGGTCATTTCCACTTGCTGATCATACAAAGGAATCTAGTCTTTCTCACATAAGAGAATAAACTGAGACACCATTCTTGACCTAACTGCATTACTCTTCTTTTGTGTGAATTTTTTTCACTTTGTGTGAGTGTGACAAGCGTATTTGTGTCAACGTTTTGTAAAGTACTACTTTTGTTTTCTTTTCCTTTTTTTTTTTTTTTTTTTTTGTACCGGGGATCGAACTCATGACTTGGCGTTTGCCTAGCAGGCACTTAAGCCACTGAGTTAAACCCCGGCCCAACTATTCTAAAAGAAGATAAAAACAAGGAATCATTTTAGGAAGTTGATGACAAATTTGAATCCTTTAGGATCACTGTGAAGTTTAGTGTGTTTTTCCCATCTTGATTTAATGTAGAATTAGTTGATTAATTATTCTTTTCTCTCTTCTTGAGACTTGTTAGTAAAACAAATGGTTTCTTGGATATATATATATATATATATATAGCCTTTATCAACAGAGCCTATGCTACATTTCATCTAGATTGTTGCAGCTATTCTGATAAAAATATAAAAGTTACATAATAGATAGTTACCTTTTTTTTTTTTTTTTGGTGCTCAAGATCGAACTCACAACCTTGTGCATGCTAGCCACTGAGCTAAATCCCTGGCCCACAAATAGTTTTTAATTGCCCTGACTTTGTCATTAAAAAAAAGCTTATTTATTTTCATGGCACGTCTATAATATAGATGGAGCAAGTGTTATTGTTTGTATATTAAGTAACAGAGTTAGCCAGACTTTGTGGCACAGGCCTATAACCCCAGCACTGTGGGAGACTGAGGCAGGAGGGTGGAGAGTTCAAGCTCTCCCTGGGCAATTTAATAGACTTAGCAACTAGGCATGTTTCTGTCTCAAAATAAAACATAAAAAGGGCTGCGGATGAAGCTTAGATGTGAAGGCCTTTGGTTCATGGCCAGGTTGGTGGGAAGTGTCAGCGAAATTGAAGAACCAAAGTTGCAGCTAGCAAGTATCAGACCTGGATTTCAGAGTCAGGCCTTTTGTTGAAAAAAAAATTTTTAAATGAGATGCCAGTGTTCTGATGGCTGGACTCCTTTTGCCTTAGTTGCCCAGGAATTTAATCCTATCCCACTTTTTTTGCCATTAGTAATCTTTACTCTGTGAAGTCTGTCTAGGTGATCTTTTCCTCTCTCCTGCCTTTGACTACCATTTGCAAATTGATAATACAAATATATTTTTCCAAACCATGTATCCTATACATTGTTACAGATTTACATGTGTACATCTAACAACTGTATACTGGTATTTTCATTAGGTGTCCTATATCTAATTAGAAATGAGTATACCCAGTGCATATTCTCCATGTGTCCTAACCTCACCAATTTAAAAAAAATAAATTTTAATTTGTTTGCTGCTAGGGATTGAAAATTGCCCTCATGCATGGTAAGCATGTGCTCTACCGCTGAACTATATCTCTGGACCCCTTCTTAAAATTTTTTTTTAAGTTCCTCTCATTGACTAAAGTACTGTGTTATTAGTAAACTGTATCATTCGCTTATTTCTCCAAACAAAGAATGTAGAACTCATTCTTCCTTTCTTAGTATTTGAGTGATGCCGTTGGTCCTCTTGCAATTTTATTTAGTTAAAAAGCTTTAAATATCTATATTACCTTTCTCAGACTACAATCACCATTGTCATCTGATGACTCCCAATTTATATCTGTAGTCCAAAAATATGTCTGAAAGAGCAGAACGTGGTGGCATACCTGTAATCTTGGCACTGGGGAGGCTAAGGCAGGAGGATCATTGTGAATTTGAGACCAGCCTGGTCTGTAAAGTGAGATCAAAGCCAGCCTGAACTGTATAGTGAGACTCTGTCTCAAAAGGGCAAAAAGACAAAAAAAAAAAAAATTATGTATCCGATAGATTATTATCTAGAATACATAAGGACTTCTATAACGTAAAACAATACAACTTGGTGAAAAACAGGACTTGAACAGATGTATCTCTAGAGAAGATCTTTAATAATCAGTTAACACATGGAAAGATGCTCAGTGTTACTAATCATCAGGAAGATACAAGGAAATACCATTCCACACCAATTAGTATAGCAATTATATTTTTTAAAGCTAGTAAGTGTTGGTAAGAATGTGAGGAAATTGGAAATCTTGTATACTACTAAAGAGATATGAAGTGGTATAAAAATAATGTGGGAATGCCACAAAAAACAAAACAAAACTTAAACATAGAAATACTTTATGTTCTAGCAATCCTACTTCTGGATATGTACCTGAAAAACTTGAAAGCAGGAACTTGAGCAGATATTTTTACATTCATGTTTATAGCAGCATTATTCATAATACCTAAAGTGAGAAAGCTCAAGTGCTGATCTACAGAAGAATGTATAAGCAAAATGTGGTATTCCTAAATATGATGGGACATCAGTTAGCCTTAAAAATGAAGGAAATTTTGATACTCTACAACACAGGTGAAGACATTATGCGTAGTGAAATCAGTCTGTCAGAAAAGAATAGATATTGTAACATTCTCTATGTGTGAGGTACCTAAATTTAATTAAATTCGTGGAGACAGAGTGCCATGGTGGTTGCTAAAGGATAGGAGGAGAGAGAAATAGTAAGTTACAGTTGATTGGATATAAAGTTGTGGTTTGGGAAGAGAAGTTCTAGAGAAGGATGGTGGTAATTGTTGCAATGAATATACTTAATATCATGGAATATGCATTTAAAAGTTACAAAAATAGTAAGCTTCATGTAATTTTTATTTTGCAAAAAGAAATCCAAATGATATTTTGAAGAACTAATTTGATCCTATTGATTATTCCTTTCTTCAAGTCCTAACTTTTTTGACCTCTACAGTCTAACTCATGGCCTGTCTTTCTGTTTCTCAGATCCCGTTTTCCTTTATTAGGTTTAATAATTTTTTAAATTTAGGTTTTCTACCTTTCTTTAATTTAGGTTTCTTTTGACTTTCTTGTTACTGACTTATAACTGCCTTCATATCACAGTCGTTAATCACTGTGTGATCTTAGATGGGTTATTTAATCTTTATGTCAGTCTCAAGTCCAGTTTAGATTTGATATTCCTAACTTGTTGCCTGTGAATTGAATAATGGGCCACATATTTAAACTTGTTTGCTAGATATTATATAATGATGATTTATATCTAGACTAGGATATTTTTTGAGGTTTAAACTAATTTCAACTCTTTGGAACATCTCGTAGTTTCCCGAGATCTTAAACTCATTATTGTTAAAATTGGTTTGGTTTTTCTTCCTGTACCTGTACTCCCTCCTCTGATATGGTAAATGGACTTAGATTCTACCCTGAAAACTGGACTAGGCTGACTTACCATATTTCCTCCACTAAACCTCTTTCATTTTCCTAATAGTAGCTTCTGATTTGTTGCCTGGCATATTATGGGTCTACAGTAAATGTTGGTTGACTACAAGTAGGACTGTCTTATTCTGTTTTAAGTGAATCACTATGTGATTCTTAACCTATAGCACAGATTGTCTACTAAGTTCTTATATTCTCTTCTGTGATGATTTTTGTTGTTTTTTGAGATAAGGTCTTGCTTTATAGTTCAGGCTGGCATTGAATTCATGACACTGCCCACTCTTGCCTCGAACTCACAGCAATCCTCCTGCCTTAGCCTCTATGGTACGAGGATTACAGGTGTGTACCACCACCATTCCTGGCCTTTTAGATTTCAAGTTGAAGTCATTCAAGATTCCACTGTGCAATACTTAATTGTATCTCTCCTCCTTGCTATTGTTTCTTAATTTTTTAAGACTAAACACTGTATATGGTATTTTTTTTTTGATACTGGGGATCGAATTTACCACCTCGTACTTGCCCAGCAGGTGCTTGTGCCACTGAGCTAAATCCCCAACTGTATATGTATTTTTTAAAAACATTTTTTTTACCTTTTATTATGCCAAATTTCAAACATAACAAAAGAAAAAATACTATATTGATTAATCCATCATGCAACAGTGATCAATTCATGGCCTTTTTCATATCAACACAAATTACTTTGAAGCAAATTTCAGACATCATTTCATCTATTAATATCAGTATTTATGAAGGATAAACTGACTAAACAGTCATCAACCCATGATTATACCTAAAGATAATAGTTTCTTAGTAACAAATATCTAGTGTGAGCTCAAGTTTTACTAATTGTTGGGGCTGGGGATTTAGCTCAGCGGCATAAGCGCCTGCCTTGCAAGCATGTGGTCGTGAGTTCAATCCCTAGTACCGATTAAAAAAAGAAAAATTAAATTAAAAAAAAGTTTTACTAATTGTCAAGTAATTTTTATGTGGAATCAGAATTTAGGATCATGCATTGTAGTTAGTTGATATGACTCTTAACTCTTACTCCCCTTAGAATTTATTTGTTGAATAAATTGTGAATTATAAGTTGTTACAAAAGCCTAGATGGGCTTTGTTTATGGAAATATAATGGAAACCATGTGTAATTCAAATTTTTCTAGTATTTCCATTGGCACAGCACCTAGCTAGCATGAGGTCCTGAGTTTGATTTCTGGTACCAAAAAAAGAAAAGTAGAAAGGAGATAGGCATGGTACATGCCTATAATCCTAGCATTTGGGAGGCTGAGGCAGGAGGATTTCTGTGAGTTTGAGGCCAGTCTGTACTACAAAGTGAGACCTTGTCTCAGAAAACCAAACAAGAAAAATAAAAGAAATAGGTAAATTATTCCTTGCGATATGTTTAATTCTTTATATACAAATATTTCAAATAATTATTGTAGTTAATATATAGTTATTAATAAAATAGTCAGGCCGGGGATTTAGCTTAGTGGCAAAGGCTCCTGCCTGGCAGGCGCGAGGTTGTTAGTTCAATCCCTAGTACCAAAAAAAGAAAAATAAATAAAATACTCGCTTTTTTCTTCTGTTAGAAATACAGTGTGTATTTTATACTTTTAACACATCTCAATTTTGGGGGAGGGTACTAGGAATTGAACTCAGTACCTTGGGCTTGCCAGGCAGGCACTGTGCCACTGAGTAGTATCACTGGCCCAACACATCGCAATTTAGACTAGCCTCATTTTAGATATTGAATCATGTGTCTAGCACCTACCAAACTGAGTAGGGCAGGTCTAGATTACACAGATAAGATTCTCATGGTGTCATTCAACACTTTTCTTTCTTTTTCCCCACCTAAGTTTGTGGTATGTGTTTATAGATTGTTCACTTTTTAAGCAGACGAATATGGTAAAACCATTTGATAAATTCAATTTAGAGAATTTTTTAAAGTGAAATTATGAGTCACCTTACAGATTAAAAGCTTTTTATTTGTATTTTTAGTGCCAGTCCAGAGGAATATAATACAGTCGTACAGAAGCCAAGACAAATTCTGTGTCAGTTCATTGACCGAATACTTACAGATGTAAACGTTGGTAAGCTTTCTTATGTAAACTTTATTCTTATATAGTTATTTCAACATATAAACTGTATGAATTAGATTGTATTTTTCTACGTATTGCTATTTTTCCCTAGGTAATTTTACTTATAAAGTTATTATTTATGATAATTGCTATTTTTAAGCATGCCATTTATTCTTGTAACATGTGATTTAGATAATTTTGTTTTTTAGTAGTAATCTAGATTTTTTTTTTACTGCTTGTTGTCAGCTCTCCAATATCAGATATTATATATAAAACATATTTGGCTGAGTCCAATCATGTGGACCTTATTTTAGCAACATTTTGTACCAGCCAGGGAAACAGTAAATGCCACAAAAAGCTGTTTAAATAAGAGTGACCACCTTTGTTGGGAAAAGAATTGTGTGTTGTTAAATCAACTCTGGCCTGTTTGTGGCAATCTAAAAGATAAATATTGCTAAGTTGACAAGAAAGTATCTTATCTGTTGAAATTACATAGGAAGGTTAATGTGGAATAGCATTTAGCTCAGGATTTAATTTTCATTCATATTGGCACAGATTTTATGATTTATAATAACCGTTTAGCCTTTCTTATTTGAATCAATGAAGTTAAGGATTGCTGAAAAATAATGAAGGACTAGAAATACTTGTAAAATACCTGTATTTTTATGGTACTCTTGTTTAGACCACTTGTCTTTCCCCTCTGCTTGACCAATTCCTCATCTAAGAATTCCCAGACACCTGTTTCCTCATTTTCTGGATTAATGCAGCTACTATATTGTACTATTATTATTATTAGTTTGACTACCAGATTATGAGATTTTTTTTAAAAACCCTCAGATTTTAGCACGCTGCCAGGTTTATAGCACACATTTGCTAAACTACATGTGGGATAGGTGAGTGCATATGATTGTTTAACATTTAAAATTAGATTTTTATTTTTTTTTTTGTCTTTTTTGTTTTTATCGCTACCAGGGATCGAACTCACGACTGCCTGCTTGCAAGGCAGGCACTTATGCTGCTGAGCTAAATCACCAGCCCCTGGTGAATATAATTCTGATTACCAAAACCTTATTTTTTTAAAGGTCTGCTGCTTAATTTGTCATGACTCTTTAAAAATTTTTTTATTATTTTAGTTGCTCTAGAACTTGTAAAAAAAACTGACTCTCAGCCAACCTCTGTGATGTTGCTTGATTTCATCCAGCATATCATGAAATCTTCCCCACTTATGTTTGTAAATGGGAATGGGAGCCAGGGGCAAAATGAGGCCAAACATAGCTGTATTGGTAAGTGCTGGTATTATTCCTGCATTCATCTGTGATCTGTTTTATGGAATTTATCTATTTCTGCTCTTCTGAGATATCACATACATGACCGTACTTTTTTCGTAGTATCTATCTTTCATTTTGCTCTTCAAATTGTTTATTCTTTGGATTTTTCATACAAAAGAAACCATGCCATATTTAAGTTTCTATGTCTGATTTATTTTCCTTAACATTATAATCTTAAGGTACATCCATTTGCCTATTAAATAACCCAAATGTTTCCTCTTTGTGGCAAAATAGTACTCCATTGTATGCAAATACTGTATTTTCTTTATCCATTCATCTCCTGATGTATAGGCTACTTCCAAAATTTAAACTACTCTGAGTTGTGCTGCTGTAAACCTGGGTTTGTATGTGTTGCTGTAATATGATGTCTTTAAATCTTTTGAGAATATACCTAATGGAGAATAGCTGCATCAAATGGAATTTCTATGTCTAGTTTTTGAAGAATCGCCATACTGATATCCACAATGGTTATACTAGTTTACATCTCCATCAGTAGTATAGAAAGGTTCTTTCTTCCACACAACATTGCCAGCATTTGTTCTTACTCAATTTCTTGATTTCTTTTCTTTCTGGAGTAAGATGGAATCTTATAGGGTTATTTTAATTTGCATTGCTCTGATGACCAGGGATACTGAACGTGTTTTTATGTATTTGTCAGCCATTTGTACTTCTAGTGTGTATTCATTTCAGTTGACCATTTTTTTTGTTTGGTCTTTTAATGATGAAGGTCTATTTTTTTTTTTCTTTGAGACAAGATTTTGTGATGTAGTTCAGCTAGTCTTGAACAATTTACTATGTAGCCCAGGATGGTTCCAAACTTGTAGTGATTTTTCTGCCTCAGCCTTACTGCTGGGATTACAAGCATGTGTTTCCTCACCTGCTAAGTTCTTTATATGTTCTAGATATTAATTCTGTTTTATTTTAAAAAAATTTAATGGTTTTTTTGAGACAGTCCTAATCTGCAGAAGTCTTCCTGCCTCAGCATTCCAAGGGCTAGGATTACAGGAATGTATCACCATCCTGGTTCTGTTTTAATATTTAGATCTTTGACCCATTTTGATTTTATTTTGTACATAGTGAGTGATATGGTTCTAGAGTCAATGTTCTGCATGTGGAAAGCCTGCTTTCCCAGCACCATTTGTTAAAGATGACTACGATTTATTCTTATGCAACTGGAATAGTCACCACTCATTTTTTTTTCCCCGTGTTAGGGACTAATCTATGGCTATGTGTGTGCTAGACAAAAGCCACTACCCTTGAAATGCACCCTCAGCTCACCTCTCAATACATAGGGATTGTACTAGCTTCCATTTGTTTAACATTTCTTTCTTTTTTTTTTTTTGGTCTTTTTTGTTTTTATCGGTACCAGGGATCGAACTCATGACTGCCTGCTTGCAAGGCAGGCGCTTATGCCGCTGAGCTAAATCCCCAGCCCCTGTTTAACATTTCTTACACTTTGGGAATCTCTCTGAGTTTTTCACATACATTATCTTATGTGATCCTTGTCACAACCTGTAATGTAGATTATTCTACTTTCTTAGATGCAGAGAAATACACAGGTCAAGCACTTAGTAAATATAGGCTTGGAGCTTGTCTTTCTGACTCAGTGTTGATATTCTAAATTACTGTAATATTTCCATTGTATAAGGAATGTAGACTGTTTTGTTAATGAAGATTATATATAGAAAATCATCAAGTATTTAACAAATAAACTTTTGACATATTTGGCTATTTAATATCTTTTTTGTTTGTTTCAAAGAATTCAGTAATTGGATCATAACAAGACTTTTGCGGATTGCAGCAACTCCATCCTGTTACATGTTGCATAGGAAAATCTCTGAAGTTATCTGCTCATTATTATTTCTTTTTAAAAGCAAGAGTCCTGCTATTTTTGGAGTATTCACAAAGGAATTATTATGTCTTTTTGAAGACTTGATTTACCTCCACAGAAGAAATGCAATGGGAGATATTATGGAATGGCCAGTGGTTGTGAACAAATTTTTAAGCCACTTAGATAAACACTTAGGATGTCTACAGCCAGCTCCTTTGCAGTTCATGAACATGCAAAGTTTAGAATTTGTTGAAGTCACCTTATTAATGGTTCTTATTCGCATTATTACAACTGTGTTTTTTAGAAGGCAAGAACTCATACTTTGGAGGATAGGTTGTGGTTTCCTAGAGTATGGTAATACAAAAATTAAATCATTAGCAATTAGCCTTTTAACTGAACTCTTTGAACTTGGAGGACTACCAGCACAACCAGCCAGCGTTTTCTTCAACTCTTTTGTAGAATTGTTAAAGCACCTAGTAGAAATGGACACTGACCAGTTGAAATTATATGAAGAGCCACTATCAAAGCTAATAAAGACAATATTCCCCTTTGAAGCAGAAGTTTATAAAAATATTGAACCTGTCTATTTAAATATGCTGCTGGAAAAACTGTGTGTCATGTTTGAAGATGGTGTGCTTCTGCAGCTCAAGTCTGATTTGCTAAAAGCAGCGTTGTGTCATTTACTGCAATATTTCCTTAAATTTGTGCCAGCTGAGTATGAATCTGCCTTACAAGTCAGGAAAGTCTATGTGAGAAATATTTGTAGAGCTATTGTGGATGTTCTTGGAGTTCAGGTAAATACAGAGGTAAGAAATGTTTAAGATTATTTGTTAAGTATATATTTTGTTCTCTTAAGTTTATGCATATATGTTAAGATGTAATAATGGGAAAACAGAATATCTTTAATAATGTATTTTGGGAGCATAATGATTTTCACAGTCCAGCCACAGTCTAATGGCTCCTATTAAGGATTTTTACTTTGATTTCAAAGTATTTGTTTATTTAAGTGTTAATGAACTGTCAGTGGAGTACAGTATGTTAAAATAGAATTTGTGAAGTACAAGTGTGTTTGTTACATTCTTAATTGAAAGGGACTAATTATCAACTTTGGTCCCTCACATGGATTTTATCTTTAATGGGTTATAATCAATCAATTATTTTTAGGGATCCCAAGAATAATTTAGTCATGCCAAATTATGCCCCTTTTCCTGTTTGAATCGTGGGAGACAGGCCATATAATAAATGTACAGATGTATATTTATTTGATTAACATTTTAATTTAGTGACTCTGAATCTTGCTGGATTTATATTATGCGAAAAATTAGTAATTCCTTTATAGATTTTTTTTCTTTGTAACATGTTAATAAAAAAATGGAATAAAGAGAGAGCTGGAACCATCCTCGGTGTATGGAATATGAAATAATGTAGATTAACTTGGGTGTTTGGTTTGCCTTATGAAGCCTCGAAAATGTTTACTAGAAAATGTTCCACTTAGTGAATTCTTCCTGCCTATAAATAATATAGACATATTTTCTAAAAGTTAGTTTCTGAAATTATTTTTGTTTTCTTAGTACTTGTTGGACCCACTTTACACAGCGTTGAAAATGGAAAGTATGGAAATCATTGAAGAACTTTACTGCCACATTCCACAGGAAAACCTTAGCAGTAATAGTGATGAAGTATCCCCCAAAAGACGTAGACTCAGCTCCTCTCTAAACTCTTCCAGAAGAGCATCAAAACAGTCTGAAGAGTATGATCTCATTGTTTTTACTTGCTTGTTTAATAAAATTTTACTCACTTTTAAAAATCAACTTTGGCAGCTGGGTGTTGGCTTGTGCCTGTAATCCCAGCTCTTGGGAGGCTGAGGCAGGAGGATCATTTTGAGTTCAAGATCAGCCTGGGCTACAAAGTGAGCTCAAGGCCAGCCTGAAATGTATAGAAAGACGCTGTTTCAAAAAGACAAAAAAAAAAAGAAAAAAAAAAACCATCAACTTTAAGTGTATACACACAAAATGTAATACAGTCAAAGGAATGCTTGAAATATTTTACTAGTTCTTATGGTTTATTCTAGTATGAACTGTTTCATGGCTGAATATAGTTACTTTGAATTTTTTTACATGCCTGTTTAATGTAGCTTTTTAATATTGACAAATATCTAAGACATTGATCCATCAGTTTTTTAGTTGCTAATAAGTAAATTGTTGGTCTTTGTTTGTTTGTTTTTTAATGGGAATTGAATTTAGGACCTTGCACTTACCATGTTGGATTTTTATTAATGTAGTCAAAGAATCACCATATTCCAGCCAGCCTAAACATAATTTTAATTGTTTAAATCTATCCTGTTGTAGATAGAAGTTGATATCGTATACCATTTTTCTCTTTTAAATATGTTTCTGTTTTTGTTTTTTGTTTGTTTTTGTTTTTTGGTGTTGGAGATTTGGTGTTGGTGTTGCACATGTTAAGCACACACTCTAACTTGTACCGTTAGCTCCATGCTTCATGTTTGAACTGAGCCTGAATATTAATATCTTTGTGCTGTGGTTGTAATTTATTATAGAATTATAAACGTGGATATGAGCAAAAAGAACATAATATGGAGTGCCCTGAGACAGAAAGCTGAATCCCTTCAGCTTTCCCTTGAATCTAGCAGTTTAAAGAAACCTGTAATTGAGACTCTAGAAGGAATTGCTGTTATCTTACAACTGACTGCTTTGTGTACAGTTCACTGTTCTCATCAAAGGCTGAACTGGTAAAATAACTTAAATTCTCTGGGTGGGTTTCCTGTAATGAGTTTGGGATTTCTGTTTAGGGGATGACCTCATTATTCAATTGATTATTGTAACCATAGAACAAACACTTTTAAATTTTCTGCTCACTGCCTACTAAATGCTGGACACTGCTAGGCAGTGTTCACATCCTATTTAATGTTTACATCAATGCTAGAGGTAAATGTGATTGTGCCCATTTTACAGATTAAATATTAAGGCTTTCATGGTTTTTTCATCTAAAGCTAAACTAAATTTCCTAAAGTACAAAAGTGGAAGGTATCATAAAATATGTATAACTGAAAAGTCAGTGTTCTTTTGACTCTGCCATTTCTCCTTTTGATAATAAAAACAGGAGTTTAGAACTCATTACATTTCCAATTTAGTATCTTTTTAAAATTTTATTTATTTATATTTTTAGTACCAGGAATTGAACTCACGACCTTGTGCTTGCCAGGCAGGCACTGTGCCACTGAGTTTATATCTGGCCCCTCCAGTTTACTATTCTTAATACAAATTTTTTATTAGAAGTGCCAAAATGAGATTTCTCTCTGAAGATTTAGTTTTGTTTTTAGTGCCATGTTTTAGCATTCTTTGTTAATTTTGTAACTGTCTGTATTTCCTGACTTACTATTAACTAGCCAATATAGAATTGTAAAAGAGATTTTAAAGGCAAGTATATTAATTTGTTCCATCAAATTTGAAATTTGAGATAATCTGAAAGAATAGATTAGACTGAAGATGCATAATGAAGGATATACAAATCAGTTAATAATTACATACACATATCCTGGGCATGGTGGCTCGTGGCTGTAATCTCAGCACTCGAGAAGCTGAGGCAATAGGATCCATGTGAGTTTGAGACCAGTCTGGACTACAAAGTGAGCTCAAGGCGAGACCATAACTGCATAGCGAGACTCTGTCTCAAAAACTCATATATCTTCTGTCATTTTTAGGCTTGGTGAAGCCACATTTATGGATTCTGGATTAATTTAAATTCCCAGATCATTAAGTAATTTAAGCCAGCATAAAGAAATTAAACTTAAAGTAATAATGCCTTTAATTGATTTGCATATTTATGTAAATTGGTTTAAGGTTACGTAAAGGTTATGTAAATTGTGATTTAAATGGTGCTGGGAATCAAACCCAGGACCTTACACAGTCAAGGCAAAAACTCTATTAAGTGCTCAATCACAGAACCATATCCCTGGTCCTGTAGGTTAGTTTTGTAATCACAGTTTTCCTTGTGTTTTGCTACAAGATTATGTTTGACTAATAAAACTCATCTTGATTCTAATGTCTTTTTTTTAAAAATGTACTTTTTTCAGCCATAATTTCAAGGATTGTCAACACACATCTAAGAAGAAACCTTCAATAGCGATAACTTGGATGTCTTTGAATTTTTATACAAAAGTACTTACCACCTGTAGGAATTTGTTAGAATCTGTTCAGAAACCTGAGCTAGAGGCAGTCATTGATAATGTGGTGAAGATTTATGATGCTTTGATTTATATGCAAGGTAAGTACAAATAACCAGAACAGAATAAACTTAAGTCATTGCAGAAATACTTTTCTTTTTGCCTAAAGCCTAAATGCATGATCCTTTAGGATTCCCAGCAGTATTTTTTTTTTTTTTAATTTAAGGAGAAAAGAAAAAAAAAAAACAGTGAAGGGGTACAAGTTATACAGATTTACAGAAGAAAAAAATGCGCAGTAGGAAATCACTAGTTAATGGATTACATATTGCCATCTTAGAAATAATTGTTCAAGTCACAAAATTAAAGCTCGTAGAGTGAACATTCTAACAATGATACTGCAAACAGTTCTGTTCAATGATCCAATAAAACTCTGTGATATCATTTTCTATCTTATACACTTAAATATACATGCAGTTATATAGTTTAGAGCACTTTCTTTTCCTCTCTTTTGTACAATGACTATTACACATTTTGGGTTTCATTGCTCCCACGGTTCTTATTGCTTTTTTGGAAGAGAGTAAACCCAAATGTGACATAACAGAACAGAATCGGTCAAGTCAAAAGGGTGGACATAATAGATAATATAAAAACATAATACAAGGTGATCAACAATGGTTACCATAATGCCTCCCGCTATCTCTAATAGAATTGCCTAAATCATTAGTTGTAATACAATTGAACAAAACAGTAAAGAACAAAACCGACAAAACCAAAACATTGGAGACATTGTAGGTCTTCAAAAGTAGATAAAAGTCAACGAGAATGGGTGTTACAATGAATCTCATTATCTTCTCAGCTGATGCCTAAACTTTCGAACCTGATACTATCCAGTAAAACAGAATAGAGGAACCTCAGTCAAAAACAAGATGGTGAGAGTAATACAGGGCTTCAAATCGAGATAATAGAAAGTCAAAGTGGGTTACTATATTATATCCTGCTATTTTTTTTCCCTTTAATTAAACGGATAAAAATGAAAAAGTAAATAATGGAGTGGAGATTGAGAAAAAAAGAGGGCATAACAGCGAAACAGGGCAACCATTTAAGCAGAATAGTGTTTCACCACCAGATAATTCCGACCCAAAAGTAGTTACCATATTGACTCTTTCCTTGAAGTCCTTGAGTACAACTTTGTATACTGTAGCATTAAGTATATCAAAACAATGTAAAACCATTTAAGAGAATGACAGCATTATAGAGGATTTAGAATTGACTAACAGAAAATGAACAATGGTTTCTGTATAATCTCCTTGTCTTTAAAAGGTTTTTGCTTATACTATCGTACATAATAAAATCCAATAAGATACAACCTGTTTAGACCATTGGAGACAGAAGAACAAAAGCTAGATGAGACTTCAAAACAAGATGGTACTAAATCAGTATTACCTATTAAGATGTCATTTTCTCCAAAATACCCAGCAGTATTTTTTTACCAGATAATTCAGCTTAATTTGTTTGTGCAATATTTTGATTCATTATTCTTACATTGTAATTATTTATTTATTTATTTATTTATTTATTTATTGGTCTTTTTGAGACAGGGTTTCATGTAGTTTAGGCTGGCCTTGAGCTCACTGTGTAGCTCAGGCTGGTCTCGAACTCTAAACAATTAACCTGCCTCAACCTCCCAAGTGCTGTTGATTCATTATTATTATTATTTTGGTATCTGGATCAAACTCATGACCGTGTACTTGCAAGGCAGGCACTTACGCCTGCTGAGCTAAATCCCCGGCCCTTGATTCATTATTCTTTAGTCAAGGTCCCATTTGATTTGTTTGGCATCATAGACCTCAGAACATCATTCATGGGACTAGCAGTATAGCCTAGTGGTAGTGTGTGTGCTTTGCATATGCGAGTCAGTTTCCAGCACCAGAAAAAAAGAGGAAGAAGGCGAGAACTCATTCATAACCTTTTTACATTAATAATCCTGTTTTTTGAATGTGTATTACAATTTGATTTTTTTGAGTGTCTTGTTTTTATTTAAAAAGACACAAAGTTAGATATGATTAAGAAAAAGTAGCTGGGGATATAGCTTAATGGCATAAATGCCTTGCCTGGAAAGCACAAGATCATGAGTTCAGTTCCCAGTACCAAAAAAAACCCAAAAGATTTAGCTGGACATGGCTTATGCCTGTAATCCCAGCACTCCAGAGGCTGAGGCAGGAGAATCATTGCAAATTCAGGACCAGTCTGGGCTACAAAGTGAGCTCTGCACCAGCTTGAACCACATAGTGAGAGCCTGTCTTCAAAAAGACAAAAGAAAAAAAGGAAAGGTATAATTGATGACCTATTATATATTACTGTAGTAAAAAGTTCATTTGAAGATCATATTCTGGAAGATTTGTGTGGAATGCTGTCACTTCCATGGATTTATTCCCATTCTGATGATGACTCTTTAAAGTTGACCACATTTGCCAATAACCTGCTAACACTAAGCCAGAAGACTTTAGATAGCTACTGTAAGTAGTCACAAAATTGTGTTTATGTATTTGCTTTGGCTTTGTTTTAACTTATCTCTGTGTAGTTTCTAACATTTATATTTTTTCGATAATTCAAAGAGGCGGTGTACTTCTAACACTATAATCTGGAAATGAGTTGGATATGTAAGAAGTAACAAATGAAAGCCTGCCCCCATCTATCCCATTTCCTTTCTGTGAAAAGTTTGAAATATATCCTTATGTCTCTTTATATTTTAGATGCTTATGAAATATTTGCAAAATACAAAAAGAAAATATAGGTTAATAATTCACCAACCGCTCTTACACAAACTTCCTACTGTAAGAATAATAATGCTGGGTGTGGTGGCGCATGCCTGTAATCACAGCACTCAGGAGGCTGAGGTAGGAGGATTGTTGCAAGTTTTAGACCAACCTGAGCTACAGAGTAAGCTCAAGGCCAGCCTAAATTGCATAGTGAGGCCTTGTCTCAAAAAGACTAAAAAAAAGAAATAACAGTGTTAGAGCCAAGGATTTAGCTCAGTGGAGCAAGCACCTGCCTGGCAAGCATGAGGTTGCGAGTTGGATCCCCAGCACCAAAAAAAAAAAAGTGTTAGAGAAATAATAGAAGTCCATTGATCATCACCTCTCAGTTTGATTTCCCTCATTCTTTCCCCAGAGATAACTGTCACTCTGAATTTGTCATTTATTATTCTGATAACCACTTTATTAATTTTAACATATATATTTATCCTTAATAGTACATATATTTGTCTTTCTTACAACTTGTGTTTTATCAGTCGACATTATCTTTATGGAACTTATCTGTAGTGATGCTTATAATTCTAATATTTCATTTAAACTTTTGAATAGTAGTCAACTGTATGGATAAACACCCATCATGTCTCCTGTTGATGGACAGTCAAATTGTGTCCAGGCATTCAGAATCACAAGTAAAATTTGAATTGTTAAAAATAGACATTCTTGGAGCTAAGGATTTAGCTCAGCGGCATAAGCGCCTGCCTTGCAAGCAGGCAGTCGTGAGTTGGATCCCTGGTACCGATAAAAACGAAAAAGACAAAAAAAATAGACATTCTTATGCTACAACCAGACCTATTGATTCAGAGTCTGCATTTTCACAATATCAGGCAATTTATGTACATACTGAAGTTGGAGAAGCACTGTTTTAAGTTAACAGCCTAGGTGTGGGGTCACTGGGTTTTAGGATTTATATATCCTCCACTCTGTTCTGCTGTATAATTCTATAAAGGTGTGCCTACTTGCACTTCTGTTAAGCAGAATATGAGCATTGCTGTTTTACATTTTCACTCGTAGTACTTGACAGTATAGGTCTTTAAAATTTATCTAGAATAAAGATGAAAATTTCATGGAGATAACTATTTTAAGATTGTTTTGCTATCTGATGAATGTGAGTTTTCAATTTGTGTTTCCACTTAAAAATATTATACTTAGACCATTTTCAGTGCACCTGCTGTATTTTCTGAAAAGGAACTTTAAATTTAGATAGATACTATATATACTTCAAATGTTACTTAATTTCACAACATCCATACATACGGTATGTATAAAATATATATATATATATATGTATGCATTTGTTTGTAAAAGTTAGCACTATTACGAATCTGACAATAGACTTAATTTCTTCAGCACCACAGGCACAGTCACGATGTGTGTTTCTTCTAACTCTGTTTCCAAGAAGAATATTCCTTAAATGGAGAACAGCAGTGTACAACTGGGCCCTGGAGAGCTCCCATGAAGTAATACGGGCTAGTTGTGTTAACGGATTTTTTATCTTATTGCAGCAGGAAAATTCTTGTAACACAGTTCCCAAGATCCTTATGTATGTATAAGATTTTAATTTGAATATATCACTTAACTGGAAAGATAATTCTCTGGCTGTATATGTAAAATTATGTTTATTGCTAAATGTACAGAGCAAATAATGATTTTAGTTTTGGAATTAAAATTTTTTTTTGTTTGCCTTCTGAGCTTTGTCATTATAGTACCTTTGTTTCTGATGAAGCAAGTCTAAGACAAAAATTTAATGGAAAATTAGTACTTTTTCTTTATTTCTCCTCAGAGATAAAGTCAAAGATGATTCTGACATCGTCAAGAAAGAGTTTGCTTCTATTCTTGGTCAACTTGTCTGTATTCTTGATGGCCAGTTTTATCTGACAAGTTCTTCAGTGGAACCTTTCTCTGAACATGGACATGTAGACCTCTTCTGTAAGACCGTAAAAGCCACTTCTCAACACTCATGTGCATCTTCTCAACTGAAAGCTTCTATTTGTAAGCAGTTTCTTTTCCTACTGGAAAAAAAGATATCTAGTCCAGTAAAACTTGGTGAGTGACTGATTTACTTAATACTTCAAAAACTGATTTAAGAGCCGTTTATCAAATCAGTGATAGAATTATTCTGAAGCCTTAAACAATTATAGCAAGTTAAATGATTGATAGATTGAATGCCCAGTAATGATTACTTATAAATGGAATGACTGTCATTAGTCTGCATCACAAAATCATAAGAAAAGTGATTTTTGGATTTTCAACATGTTCTTGTGAAACACAAAACAAAGATACATATTCTTGTGATTTGGTAGCCTAATGGGGCATTTTCATGGTTGGTTTATCATCATCAGGCTCAGTATTCTATATCTCCTTTACGAATACCAGATACCTTCTTAATGTATCTGTCACCTCTTTGGACCTTCAGAATTTTAAATAGTTAGACTACCTTGTCCTACTGAGGACTGTAGATTGGGTCTCTGTACCATTACTTTGCAATGTTAATGGAATATGAGTTTGTTGGAAGGATGATATTTACAGAAATACTTGGGAAATGTGTTGCTTATTTTTCTCTCATTACTGAGTCAAATTACCCAATCCCTAAAATTTAGGAAGGAAAAGTTATTTAGCTCACAGTTTGTGGAGGTTTCAGTCTGTAACCTGCTAGCTCCAAGGCAGAGTGGCACATGACAGAGGGCAACAGTTCATGGTGGCCAGAAGACTGCAGAAGCAACAACAGCAAAAAGGAGAACCTCAGAGCTCTTTCTGTCTATTACATGTGGGCTACCCACCCTAGGGTGAGATAAACATTACCATTTCAAAAGTTACAAGGATTGGGACCAAAGCAAGTCCAAAATCCAACAGGGCAAACATTAAGTTCTGTAGTTCTATATGCTGCATCCAACACAATCTATGGCAAATTATAAGCTCCAAAGGGCTTGACTGATTCCTCCCCTGTGGCACTGCTGGTGATACTCCCACAGCTTTTCTCTTGGGGCTGCTCTTGGCCCTTCTTGCAGTTTTCCTCAGATGATCCACATTCCTAGTTTCTTCAAACATCTGGGGTCTCCGCTGCATCTTTGGCTTCACACTCACAGGTTCATTCAATGCCCTCTGAGGGGCACATTGCCTGGCCTCTCAAACCTGAAATCAGGGCAGTTTTTTTAACCTTACAACTCTTGCATTTTGCATGCACCTAAAACTAGCACCACATGGATGATGCCACGATCTATTGCCAGAGCAGAGCTAGAGCAGTAGACAAGGTTTCCTCTCTTTGTTGCAGGGTTAAGTGCTTGGATCACTGAGCACTATGAACCTGATTCTGAAAAACAAATTCTCTATGCCATTGCCTTTCTGGAATCTGCCTCAGTGACCTTCACTGCTATTCTAGAACAGTGTGGCCACTACCATCCCGGAACATGGCACACTGCAGCTTTCTCCTCAAAGCAGAGTTGTTTGCTTTTGCAATTTGGAGGCTACAAAGGGTGGAGACTTGCTGCTTCCTCTAATACTCACAGGCTATCTTTTCTATTGTCCCTATCCTTTGCAGCAGTTGACACTATACAGCTTTACTGGAGCCTTTTTTCTGATCAAATTCACAATGTTTTAAATCATCCTGCTAGCTCTCTGTTCTTGATTCTCAACATCTTCCTAAAAACCCCAAATAGCAGCCATACCACAAACTCAATAATTAGCTGCCTTGAAATTTCTTCCACCAGATTTATTAGTCCACCACCCTTAATCTCAGTCTCAGGCAAAGTCTCTGGACATCAGCAAAATGCAGACAAACTTTCTGCCAAGCTGTAACACATTGTCTGGATTCCAGCAGTCAGTGCAGTACTTCTTTCCAGCTGAGACCTCCCAAACCTGACTTCACCAGTTTTCTGGTCTTCTGAGCTCTGACCAGAAACTCTCATACAGAACACCCTGACATTCCAGCTCTGTTCTTTCAGATGACATCTCTAAACCTCTCCAAACTCTTCCCACAAGCTCTTAAATGACATGGTCAGGTATTGTCAAAGCAACAACCCCACTTTTCTCTGGTACCGAAGTCTATGTTGGTATAGTTGCTGAGACAATATATCTCAGGCCCAAAATTAAGGAAGGAAAGGTTTATTTAGCTCACAGTTTTTGGAAGTTTCAGTTCATTATATGCTGGGTTCAAGCAGGGCAGCTCATAGCAGAGGAGCAACAGTTCATGGTGACAGAAGACAGCAAAAGTAACAAAAAACAGACAGGGGAGGAGTACAGAGAAGACCATAACAGGAGATCTGTTTGTTTCAGTAGAAAGTTGCAAATTATTCTTAAAAGTAGGGGTTTTGTTTGTGTTTGTTTGTTTTATCAAACTCATGACCTCATGCTTGCCAGGCAAATTCTTACATTTTCAAAGATTGTAAGTGGTTTCTAGGGCCCTGTAAATCCTGTAATATTAACAGTAAGGCTAAGATTCCTTGAATTCAAGGGTTTTTTTTTTGTTTTTTTTTTTTTAGTACCAGGGTTTGAACTCATGACCTCATGCTTGCTAGGTGGGTGCTTATACCACTGAGCTAAATCCCTGGCCCTAGTTCAAGCGTTTTTTAATTAGTGAAATGTGTATTTGAATCTATCTTGGTACATATAATGATCTACAAAATCTAAAAATGACTTATTACTTTATAACTTAAAAATTCTAGAATTTATTTTAGATTTAAATCATTTATGACATTATTAAATATAAAGTAGATTTAAATATTAAATGTTGCCATATGAGGGAGAGAAAGTTGTTCGTGGCACATTACTTATTGACAAGTTTTTACCTTACAGTTTATATGATTCATAAGTTAAATTTGACAATACAAACTCTTCCTCTTTAGCTTTCATCGACAATCTGCATCATCTTTGTAAGCATCTTGATTTCAGAGAAGATGAAACAGATGTAAAAGCAGTTCTTGGAACTTTATTAAATTTAATGGAAGATCCAGACAAGGATGTTAGAGTGGCTTTTAGTGGAAATATCAAATATATATTGGAATGCTTGGATTCTGAAGATGGATTTATAAAAGAGGTTAATAATTTTTATTTTTAACATGTTGATTTTCATAAATTAAGCTCCAAAAAGTTTTAATCTGTTAATTGTATTATTTTAGCTTTTTGTCTTAAGAATGAAGGAAGCATATACAAATGCCCAAATATCAAGAAATAATGAGTTGAAGGATACCTTGATTCTTACAACAGGTGATATTGGAAGGTATAGTTGGCAGTTTTTATATTCTTCTTTTAGTCATTGTCTTTTTTTATTTGCCTATTATTAGAAATAGTGGCAAAAAAGAAAAAACAATAGTGACAGCTGGGGAATGTAGTAGCTCCCAAGTAGTGATATGAAATATCTGATAAAATAGGAAAAAAATAAGTAGGTTGGTATGTATTTTATTTGTGGTTTTCCATTGGTTTTTGAGATATTGACTATGCTTATATATGTGTGTTGGTTTGTTTTTTAACTTTAGGGCAGCAAAAGGGGATTTGGTACCTTTCGCTCTCTTGCACCTGTTGCATTGTTTGTTATCCAAATCAGCGTCTGTCTCTGGAGCAGCATACACAGAAATTAGAGCACTGGCTGCAGCTAAAAGTGTTAAATTACAAAATTTTTTCAGTCAGTATAAAAAACCGATTTGTCAGGTGAGTGTCAGTATTCATCTTTATTACAGCAGCTCAGGAGGCTAAGGTGAAAGATTTGCTTGAGCACAGAACTTTGAGACCAGCCTGGGGAGCATAGTGAGACCCCATCTCAAAGAAAAAGTACATGCACTATTTTTTTTTTCGTTTGTTTGTTTGTTTGCCTTTTTAAAAATATATTTCATTGAAGACAACTGAAATCTTACATTTTATATTTTAGCATTTGGGGTGGAATTTATATATTGTAAGTAAAAGGGGAAAATCATCTTAATGATTAATTGAATTACTACACTGTTGTTAGCCTTTAGAGAGATACCATTTTTTAGTGCTTTTAATGTTAATAAGCTTTTGCACCTTGACTTACGGATTCAGCACTTTGTTTTCAGAAAGGTGTATTCAATTAATGGCTAAAAGATTAAAGTTTGGTGAATACTGGTTTTATCCTATATTTGTGGTATGATCCTTAGCGTGAAATTTGATATTGTCCTTTTATGTTTACTTAAAAATCATTAAAACTTTTTCCTTGTATGAAAACTAACAAAATCGTTTCTGTTGTAGTTTTTGGTAGAATCCCTCCATTCCAGTCAGATGACAGCACTTCCAAGTATTACTTACCAGAGTGCTGAGATGCGAAAACAAGACATAGCTCACCAGAGAGAAATGACTTTAAATACTTTGTCTGAAATTGCCAACGTTTTTGATTTTCCTGACCTCAATCGTTTCCTTACTGTAAGTTGTAGTATGTACTTGTCTTAATTGAGGTTTTTAATATTTTATTCATTTCATTTAAATTTTTGGTTATTTTTAAGAAAACCTGACATTAAGGAGCACGTGGACCCCAGTTTCCAAACATACATTTAAAAAAATTAAAAAAAAATTTTTTTTGGTCTTTTTGAGACAGTGTTTCACTATGCAGTTCAAGGTGGCCTTGAACTCACAGCAGACCTTTTGCCTCAGCTTCCTGAGTGCTGAGGTTACAGATGTGGACTAGTACTCCAGTATACATTTTTAAATTTTGGTATGAGATTATTTATATTATAAAACTTAAGTTCATGTTGATTTTGAGTTATCATTTTGTATGGAAATTAATTCAGTAAACTGAGCTTTTGTGCCATTAGTTCTATGATTGGGTCCATTAGTAATTCAGACTAATATGATTACTTAAGGAGGTAGAGGAATGAAGTACGTAATTAGTAGTATATGGGATCTGATGTGAATCCAAACTCCTCAGTTTGTAGTATGGAATGACTAGGAAGTCTTTGAAATTTGTTGAAGCTGAGCTTTAAAAGATGATGGAGAGGTTGTTTTCTTTACCTTGTCCTCAAAACAAAGATTATGTGTTAAAGATCACAAAAATATTTATACCTTTTGTTAACTCACTTTTACTCAGGGAAACAAAAGGAACAGATATTGCAGTGTTATCCAAGTAGCAAGACAAAAACAAAAAGAAAAGAAACTAAATGTCTAACTTTAGGTCATAGAGTGTTACCTAACCATTTTAATGAAATAATTAGGACTTTGTAAAAAATATCTTGTAATATTTCAGTGGCCTTACAGTGTTCATATTAAATTGGAAAGCATAACACGAGTAAGATGTGTTTCTGAAGCCATTCGAGTCTTATTATTTTATCTCCAGTGCTTACAGCAGTGATCAACTTATAGTAAGTGTTCATTAGGTGCATGGAGAATGAATAAATTAAAGACCAACCACTTCATCTTTGGATTTTGTATGTCTTTTATGAACAAGATCTTGAAGGAAATAGACAAAAATGATAATAGAGTTGTTGCAATGTTAGGATGTTAGATGTATTAGAAGGTTTTAATATTGCAGCATTAATTACTTTAAATTTGCAATTATGATTGCTCTTGCTTACTCTGTAAATACAAGTTAAAGAATCTGTCAAATTTATGACTTCCACTTATGTATATATTTAATACATATTCATGAGAAATTATTTTCTTTTTCTTTTGTCTTTGAGGCTGGGTTTCACTATGCAGTTCAGGCTAGGATTGATTGCACTTTGTAATCCAGGCTGGCCCTGATCAAATTCACAGTGATCCTTTTGCCTCAGCCTCCTGAGTGCTAGGATTACGGGACTGTACCACCATGCCTGGTGAATTATTTTCTTTACTTTTACATTTGCTTTTTTATTCTGTCATTTCACCTTGATCATGTAAGCTCTGTGCCATCAAGTGGCTTGCCTGTTTTGTTTATTGTATAACTGTAGTGTCTGGATTATAGTAGATCCTCAGGAAATATCAATCAAGTGAGTAAATAATAAATCTGAATTCAAATGTAAGTGATATATGTGTGGCATTTAAGAGTATTTTTATGCGTATGTGATTCATACTTGTAGTGCCAGCACTCAGGAGGCTGAGGCAGGAGGAGCACTGTCAGCCTGGGGTGCAAAGTGAGTTCAAGGCCAGCCTGAACTACATAGTGAAACCCTATCTCAAAAAGACCAAAAAAATTAAAACCATATATGTATTATATAATATAGTATATATATTATATATATATTTTGGGCATAACTTATGTGAATATGTTATCATACAGAGAAATTCATTTTTCAGTAGTTACTGTGTTCTTTTTCAGAGGACATTACAAGTTCTATTGCCTGATCTTGCTGCCAAAGCAAGTCCTGCAGCTTCTGCTCTCATTCGAACTTTAGGAAAACAATTAAATGTCAGTCGTAGAGAGATCTTGATAAATAACTTCAAATACATTTTTTCTCATTTGGTTTGTTCCTGTTCCAAAGATGAATTAGAACGTGCCCTTCATTATCTAAAGGTAATTGAATATTTGCATATTTCGTTTGTTTAAATTAGCATTATGGGGCCAAGGATATAGCTCAGCAGCAGAGCACCTGCCTGGCAAGTGTGAGGTCATGAGTTCAATTCCCTGTATAAGTAAATAAATAAACAAACAAATAAGCACTGTGGAAAAGCTATTGTTACATTCTAAAAGAAAGAAATGTATAACCTATCCTAGAATATAAGTTAAAAAAAAAAAAGAATATAAGTTTAAATGTTGTTATGTTAATTAATCTTGTCCTGGGAACATATTAAGCAGAATTCTTGCTAGGTTTTCTTTGATCATTTCACCTTAATGAGATAAGACAGTCATCTTTTTATGGATGAGGTTCTTACCTAATTTCATTTTAGCATTTTTGATTGACTGAGCTGTAAACTTACTGATGCTACACAATTAAATTGTGATTAAATCTACAGAAAGAGATAGCCACCTTCAACTATATTATATCTGTGTTTAGTATTTAGTGTTCTGCTTACAATTTGGCCTTGCTGCTTTTTAAATGTAGGATGTCTTATGACCAAAATGAAGACTATGAAACTATGGGGGAACATATAAACCTTTCAGAAAAATGCATATAACTTTATATTTTTATGTTAATTTGGTTTATTTTTCATAATATACCAATAGCAGATCTCCACATGAGAGTTACTGCAGATTGATTGTATTTGTTCCACATGAAAGTTACTGCAGATTGATTATATTCGTTCATCTTGAAAAAGTAAATCTGTGTTGTGAAAGTAGAATGGTAGTAAGTGTTTATAAGGTATATATAATGTATGTCAGAAACTTTTATATCTACCTAATCCTATGAATTATTTCACTTAATTCTCACCTTCTCAGTGAGATAAAGTTGAGTATCCTGTATCTGAAAGACTTTGGACCAGATTACAGATTTTGGAATATTAATATATACATAATGAGATATTTTGAGGGTGGGACCTAAGACTAAACATAGAATTCATTTATGTTTTATATATACCTTAAATATGTAGCCTGAAAATAATTTTGTATAATAGTATGTTTGCATTTTGACTGCAACCATCTCATGAGATCAGATGTGGAATTTTCTACTTGTGGCTTTAGGTCAGGTAAGCTCTCAAAAAGTTTTGCAATTTTAGGTTAGGGATACTTAGCCTGTATTACTATTTGTTTTGTAGATGAGCAAACTGAAGAACGGTTAGAATAGGTGACTTCTCCAAGTACCAACGTAACTATTAAGTGAAAGAAGTAGAATTTAAGCAGTCTGACGAGGAAAACTTCCTTTAGCCAATAACCTGTTTCCTTTCAGAGTTTGTGTGTCTATAAATATGGAGTCGATGATAGGATTAAAACTTTAGACAAAACTAGGGCTTTCCTTTTAAACTTTATTTCAAAATAAAGTCTGATCACTTCTGTTACATATAACCTATGGTGAACCCAGTAGGAGAGAACAAATTAGAATCCTTTTCCAATGTCTTTTCTTAATATTGTTAGTAAATTCTGTAACCTGGTCTAAAGCTCTTGATTTACTAATGGCATGTTAAAATCAACATGTTAATTTTCACATTGCTAATAGGAATAAAAAAGAAACTTTTAAAAATGTCTTTGGGTTAGAATGAAACAGAAATTGAACTGGGAAGCCTATTGAGACAGGATTTCCAAGGATTGCATAATGAATTACTACTGCGTATTGGAGAACATTATCAACAAGTTTTCAATGGTTTGTCAATACTTGCCTCATTTGCATCTAGTGATGATCCATATCAGGGTCCAAGAGAGATCACATCACCTGAACTGATGGTAAGAACTATATTATATCTGGATTTTTTGTTTTTCTCCTTGTTTGTAACCTGATTATTAAATTGAAGAAACTTACTTTCTTTCATTTTCCATTTCTTTAAGTCTTTAGTTGGGATTTTTATTTTGAAAAAAGTTTAAGTTGCAAGGGCACAGTAAAACATTAGGAACATACATTAGCTTTGAAAAATGTGGATTTTTCAGGTGATTTTGAGAACTACTTTTCACTGAGTAAAAAATGGCATTTTTCTTTAGTTTTTAATTGTATATTGTTTGTAGTGCATCACACACATCCCCAGTACCCTTCTTTGACAGAGCAAACTAGTAAGTTCTAAACATAGTTTGACCCATTTTTGTACTAAAGGGAAATTAGATGATATATTATCCTTTTTAAACATTTTTTACCTTCAATGCATATCTGAAATCATATTACTATTTTCTTTTTTCATTTAAAAAATTAATATTGTCATACTTTTTTTCCATTTAATTCTCCTTGTTTCTTAAGAAAACTCAAGGGATTACCAATAAAATATCTTCTAAGAGCTTTCTTTTTATTTTATTTTATTTGTCTTTTTTGTTTTTATCGGTACCAGGGATCGAACTCACGACTGCCTGCTTGCAAGGCAGGCACTTATGCCGCTGAGCTAAATCCCCAGCCTTCTAAGAGCTTTCTATTTTTGCTTTCTTATTTCCCATCGAATGAACCCATTATTAGAATTTGAGTTTGTTCTCACTGTTGTGAAATTCTTCTTTGTTGGGGCTCTGCTATTAAATTTAATTTTCTTTGTCTTCTCCTTATTCAACTTCTCAGTAGCATTCAACACAGTTGATCATCCTTTACTATGTGGCATCAGTCTACTGCATTGGCTTGATTGTCTTTTTGGTTAAATGTAGACTCATATTTAGGTCTTGTTTGGCTTTATCCTTTCTCTACTTTCTCTTTTAAATGTTAGAGTGACTCAGTGACTGGCTCTTTTTTCCTATCAGCAGTCTTTCTTTAAATGGCCCTTTGGCCTTTAATATGATATACATAAGTCTGCCAAACAATGTGTACATATTTCAGCAGTTTAATGTACTAATAAATGTCTAGAAGCTAAAGACCACCACTCTGAGTACCTATTTTAATTGTAGAGGCCAAAGGTAACTTGTATTAATCTCATGGTGTCTCAATAAATGCAGTATTAAATTGTTTATAAAAGCTTTTTTGGGCCAGAGATACAGCTCAGTGGCACCAGCGCCTGCGTAGCAAGTGCAACAACCTGAGTTCAATTCCCAGTACAAAAGAGAAAAAAAAAAAATCGAAAAGCTTCTTTTTCCCTGATCTTTTTTTTTTTTTTTTTTTTTTTTTTGGTGGACTCTGTATGTTTGGACGATTTCATACTTGAAATTTCAGTCTAGATCTCCTTTAAGCTTGGAACTTTTGACTTTATATAGGTTAGCTCTTGGAAGGAAAGGGATGGCATGCACACAAATAAATGAAAATAATGTGGGGGCTATTTCCATTGTCATGGGCAAGGCTAAGGCAGATAGCAAGTAATGTGAAGGAACCCAACAGCTGCAAACAGCAGATACGTTTATGTAGTCCTGGAAAGGAAAAGAAATCATATTACTAGCATCTGGTTGAGAGCTACAACCGTGAGATGGGCCCTCGCCTTACTGTAGAAGGATGCAGCGCCTGCTAGAATACTTCAAAACAAAGGAGCAGGAAATATACTTACCACATTCTCTCTTCCTACTTTCTTTTCTTCCTTTGGTGGTGTATCCTGTTGACAGAATTAGATGGGATGCCAGGGGCTGCAGATGGGATGCAGTTTAGCCAGCCCCACAGGCACACAGAGCAGGGCAAAAGAGTGCAGGGAAGGTTCTGAGCATATGAAGAGAGGATGGCAAATGAGATCATCCAAGTTCCTTTTGATCGTATCTACTCAACTGCATTGTATGCATCTTAACAGATTGAACCATGACATATCCATTAGGGATCTTTGTTGCCCTCTGTGCTCGGTAGAGTACATGTTTACTGTACATGAGGCTCTGGGTTTAGTCTATAGCAAGCAACAGAGAAAGAGAAAATCTTTATTTTCCCTCCATGTTTCTGTCCTCCTGTTGTCCCTTTCTCTGGAAATTATAAATTGTACCATTATTTATCTACTTGATTCATTCAAAACCTGGGAAGTATTTATGAGCATTTTATGTTAGAAGCATAGGCTGGAGCTATAAAGTTAGTGAATCATGGCCTACTATGCCAAAATCAGACTCACTCTAAGCCAAAAGTTTATAAAATAAAATGTAATTTTGGCTTGAAAAACATGACTTTCTGTGCTTGTCAAAAGAAAAGTTTATCCCAACATTTAATCTGGAGAGACATGTCTATACTGAACTCCTCTGCTCTGTACACAATCTCCTATTTATCCTTTCTTGGCAGTGCCAATTGTCTATAGGAGTCTTGACATCGACCCATGCAACTTTCTTCTAGACTTAGAAAATATTTCAATTGCCATTTTATTCTTAGCTCCTTTGTTTGCCATTGTTCCTACTTGAATATAAGAATTTGAAAAATGGAATTACTATATGTAGTCACAGTTTATTTTTTATTTTTAAATTTATATATTGTAGATATGCATAATGATCACATTCATCATAGGAAATTTGTTACTCATATATGATATGTCTTCTTTTTTTCCCATTCCCCTCCTCTCTCTTCAACCCCTCATCTCTTCTTTATCACAGTATATAATAAAATAGTAACTTAAAATTAATTTAAGTAACTTAAAATTAATTCAACATTTTATATATAAGCGAGAGCATGTTACCTTATTTAATCTTTAATGCAACTGTATGCAATGTGTGCTTTCTGTGTTTCCATGTTCTCCCTTTGCAAACTCAAACTGTCAAAGATGGATCATCTTTTTGAGTCAAGTCTCACTAAATCACTAAATTGCCCAAGCCTAGTTTCAAACTTGTCATCCTCCTGTCTCAGACTTCCAGAATGCTGAAATGATTATAGGTGTGCACCACTATACTCAACTCTAGTTTTGGTAGTTTTTAATGTGTAATAATAATTATGAGGAGCTGGAGATGTAGCTCAGTAAGATGGCCCTGGGTTCAATCTTCCTGTCAAAATTGGGATTCCCCCCATGTTTGGCTGATTTAAAGCTCATTCCCTCTACGTTAGGCCCTTTCATCAAGAGAGAATTAACTATTCCCTGAGTTCAATCTCTGTTACTGAAAAAAAAGAAAAAGAACAGAAGACAAAAATTAACTCCTTTCACTTTGGGAGACATAAAGTGTGGTAGTCAGTGATAACTTACCTGCAGTTGTTAATCCCACTGGACTTGTACCACTTTGCCACTATTTACCTTAGAGGATATTCACACCTAAGTCAGACCATTGTTTTGACTTTTCCTTAACCTAGTACTTCCCATGTACCCTTAGCTCTAAATGCTGTAGAATAAGGACAATTGTCTTTCCTATTGTTTTTTTCCATCTTCACTCCAGTGTGGATTTTGGCCTGAAACATATCCCGCCCAGCTCAGTCCATGATTCAAAAGTTCATGATTTTCTCATTGTATTGTATTGTTTTTATCATATCTTACCATGAGGGTGTAAGTCAGTTTCATTAACTTCTTTGAATGCCAGATATGAAAATGCATGCTTGTGGAGAAAGTTAATTCACTACATATTTATTTCCAATTTTCTAGTTGAATAAAATGTAAATGTTACTAATTAAATAATGGAGTTGTCCTTTTCAGAAGTTTAGTGTGTATAACACTTATGTAATACCTTTTTGTGTTTGTTTCCCCTTATTTAGGCTGACTATTTGCAACCTAAATTATTGGGCATTTTGGCTTTTTTCAACATGCAGTTACTGAGCTCTAGTGTTGGAATTGAAGATAAGAAAATGGTAAGTTCAGTTCCAAAGTTCTAGAATAGAATTCATGTAGAACATTGCAGAAGACATGATTTGTGCTTCTATATACAGACATTCAAAGGAAAAAAATAAATATTTGATATTATATATTACTGGATAGTTTTATAAGCTTTTGAGAATTTTTTTACTATTGATTACTGTGGATTCATTCTATTTACTTCAAAAAATTTTACAGTGCTTTTAAATTCAAATGATTTTAATCTATGGGCATGGTAGCATGTATCTATAATTCCATCACTGGAGGCTGAGGCAGGAGGATCACTGTAAGTTTGAGGCCAGCCTGGGCTACATATGAGTTTATCAACAGCCTGAGCTACATAGTAAGACCAGATCTCAAAAAGAAAAAAAAATTCAATTCAATTTACGTTTGTCTTGAATAGCAGTTTGAGATAGGTATGAAGAAAATTAAACATTGTATATCTTGTCTTTAATAAATTTGAAAGTTGACTGTTCTGGAGGACCACTGGATCAAAATACCAAATCACTTTCAAAGGAAACAAAAGCAGAATTCAGCTTGTATTTTTCAAATTCCTGATTGCCACATAAATTGATACATTGAACTAGCCATCCAGAGTTTTAGTTCAGCGGTGCAAATACCTGCCAGGCAAGCATGAGGTTATGATTTTAATCTCTGTTATCAAAACAAATTTTTTTTGAGCTGGCCAATATTTACTAGACTCTTTATATTATTTGCAAATAAATGGTACCCTGATATTTGGGTACAAAATACTTGCTCTTAGAGCTCACCTATTTCTGAAAACTTGTTTATAAACTTTGTTTTAAAGTTCTGTTTACTTTATAGGCCTTAAATAGTTTGATGTCTTTGATGACGTTGATGGGCCCCAAACATGTCAGCGCTGTGAGGGTGAAAATGATGACAACATTGAGAACTGGACTTCGATTCAAGGATGAGTTTCCTGAATTGTGTTGCAGGTAAATGACTGCTTGAGTTCATTAGTTTTTTTACATTTCCCGATAGAACTAGCTTGAATTCTTATTTGTTTGAGGGAAATTAGGTTCAAAACATAAAAAATTAAGGTAGAAAGGCTATTTGTGTTGAAAAGGTATTGTATTTACTTCTTTGAAAATACTCCTAGCATACCAGAAATAGAAGTGTTAGTAGACCCCCTGTCCCTATTCCCTACACTTCATCAGCAGTCACCAGTGTTACTAAACTTATTTTATGTATTCAACTTCCAATTTTTTTAAGTGGAGTATTTTAAAGAAAATCTCCAAATCACATCATTATTCAAATATACCTAATGGATAAAGGTATTAAAAAATAGCCGTCAGAATTAGAATTTCTGATATCAGCTAAAATTCAGTGCATATTCACATTTCTTCTAGTTGTCTCAAAAGGTATTTTCCCCAAGGCACGTTGGTTTATTTGAATCTAAGACTAAATAAGGTCACCATATCACACAGGTGGTCTTTGGCTTCTTAAATATCGTTTATGACACTTTGCCTTTTAATTCCCTCCTTATACACCTGTATTGTTTCATTCCCTTAAAATTTTGGTGTTTATCAGTGGAGATTTCTCAAAAAACTAGGATTGGAGGTCCATTTCAACCCAGCTATTGCCCTTCTGGATATCTTCCCAAGAGAATTAAAAACATCAGTGATATATGTGCACCCATTATTATAGCAGCATAGTTTATAATAGCCAGATCTTCAAAATAACCTAAATGTCCATCTACTGAGGAATGGATAAAAATGATGTGGTATTTTATACCATGGACTACTACTCAGCCATAAAGAATAATAAACTATGCTTTTATAGATGAATGGAGGCACCTTGAGAACATACTTATTAGTGAAATAAATAAGACACACGTGTAAGCATCATATTTGATTCATTAGTGTGACAAGCTGAAAGAAAAAAATCTATATGTGTATGAATATGTATATAAAACAATAGTTAAAATAGTTATACTACTGATTTCTCTGAATTCACTGAAGATAAAGATTTGTACTAGTATTGTTAGGACAGTTGAAGGCAAATGTCTTGCGTTCTGGGTGAATGGGTTGGGGATGACAATGCACAATATATTTACCATTGTTGCCCTGATTGACATGCTTTGAAATTTTGATGTAGTTGTCATTGTTGTCCTCTTCTTTTTCTTCTTCTCTCTTTTTATCCTTGAGTAAAATGGATTAAAAAAACAGTTTGGGTCATTAGAATTCAGCTGATTACTGATTTAAGTTTTTCTTTTTTTTTTTTTTATTTAAGAGGAAAAAGAGAAAAACACAAAACAAAGCAGTGTAAGGTTACATATAATACAGAACTACAAAAAAAAAATAACAGTAAGAAATCACCTGTTAATAGATTACATATTATCATCTTGGAAATAGTTGCTCAAATCACAGTATCAAAGAATACAAAGTAGACATTCAAACAGAGAGACTGCAAACAGCTGTGTTCAATGATCCAAAAACATTAATATAGTCAGCTATTCAACAGATTTAAGTTTTTCTTTATCCTTTTTTTCCTTTCATTATTTCCATATAAATTAGAAAATTAGATACAGATCCTTGATTAGGTTTATGTTGTTTTGTTTTGTTTGTTTGTTTTTTTGATTTATGTTGTTTTTTAATGAAAAAAATAGCTCATGGTTGAGGCTTTTTACTTGTGTTGTCCCCCAACACGAGCCACATGCACTTTTGTTGTCCACTTTCAGTAATGCTAAGTCAGTATTTGGATCCCTCTAGTATAAAATTCCATTGATAGTTCATCTAAGGGTTTTAGCATTAATTAATGACATTCCCTATTTTTTACAAATGAGATGTTTCTTAGAACAAAACTCAATAAAAAATTCATTTATTCGGAAACAATTCAGATAGGGACAGCAATTAATATATGATAAGCCATGTTAGATACTTAAATATTTCCCTTTATCAATTTTCAAACTATAGGTTATGTGCCCTACCAACATCCAGAGAAAGTTTTGCTTTCTTTTTTATGTATTCTTTTAATCACATAAATTATTGTATTTTTAATCACATAAATTTTTAATCCGTGAAAATCACTATTTTTGTGGCCAAAATTTCTCACCTTTGGTAGTAGGATTCTCTTTCAGTTAGCATTATGGTTTTTGATATGACATTATTAATTCTGTAGATTCTCTGCTTTCTAGCATGATAAGATGACCTATATTCATGTTGTACATTTGTGCCCCTGGCCCAGAATCAGTAATTTTTTAAGGAGTCGTGGCTCTAGTTCCTTAGTGCACAGATTAATTCCCCACCTGACACTATTGGACCTACGCATTGCTATTAAATTGTCTTTGCTTATAAATCTTAAGTGAATAGAGCAACTAGTAACTTCATATATTTTATAGAGAAAATCATGAATTTTATATTTCCAATTCAAATAGGAGATTATATACTTTTTACTTAGCTTGTAATGGTTTTGTATTTTATTTTCTGTATCTTTTTCTTAGTGATTTACAATTATACATTGTTTTTTCTATGTACATACTTGATGCTTAAAGTGACAATTTCAAAGATACTGCTAGTAGTAAGACTACTGAATGCAATTTCATGTTCTGAAAATATATAGTCAGAAGAATGTCTTCTAAAATCATGGGAAGTAATTCTTTTCTGTGTGTCTGTGCCTCCAATTTGATCCTCAGTTTCCATTGTATCAGTTTCTTTAAAATGTGTTAGGGGTAAAGCCAGGTACACTGAGTATAATTGCAGCCTCCTGGAGGCTGAAGTGAGAAGTTCAGGGCCAGCTACAGGAATTCATTGATGTCTCAAAAAGAGAAGAAAAATACAGAAACAAAAAAACTAGGAGTTGCTCTTTCCCTCTATTTTGTTTAACTTAAAAATCACAAAACATTTGCATAATCTCAGATTCAAATCTGTGTAACAAATTATACTCAGAAATGTAGCTTCTATTCCTGACCCCTAGAGGTATCCTTTTTAATTGTTATATATCCTTGTTTTTTTTAAAAGGTCAGTTGCTCCTTGACTTTGTAGTTCATTCCTAATAAACTCATTGTAAGTTGAAAATAATCACACATTGAAAATCTTTTTAATGTACCTAACCTACCAGACATAATTTATAGTAGCCTAACTCAAATGAGCTCAGAAAACTTACAGCATTTTACAGTTGGGCAAAATTGTCTAGCATAAAGCCTATTTTATAATAAAGTACTGAATATCTCATATAATTTATTGAATACATGCAGTATATCTGTTGTTTACCCTCATGATTGCGTGATTGACTGAAAACTGATTTATGCTATTGCTGGCATCACACAAGAGAATTGTGCTATGTATTGTTACCTGAGAGAAAGATACAAATTCAAAATTTCAAGTCTGATTTATATGAATTGTGTAATTTATATGAATTGTGTATGATTTATATGAATTGTGAACTAGAGCCACGACTCCTTAAAAAATTACTGATTCTGGAACATTTGCTCCATTGTAAAGTGGAAACAGAATCTTTGAATAATCGTTAGTCAGAGAACACCTGCGCATGCACACATTCACACATCAGATTTTGGGAGGTTGGGTTTTAAAGAGGGTCTTTCAGTGTATTCCAGGCTGGCTGTGAACTCAGCTATGTAGCCCAGGCTGGCCTCGAATTGATGGCAGTCCTCTTTCTTCAGCCTCCCAACTGCTGGGATTATAGACATGTGCCATGAAGTCCAACATACATCAGATTTCTTTTTTTTGTCTTTTTCCTTTTTATTGGTACCAGGGATTGAACTCACGACTGCCTGCTTGCAAGGCAGGTGCTTATGCCGCTGAGCTAAATCCCCAGCCCCTACATCAGATTTCTTAAAAATTAACCTTGCTCCAGAGTGTTGGTTTTCATCTTGCTTTTTTGACTTAATATAATTTGGAGATTGCTTTGGTTGAATATATAGTACTTAATTTCATGGCAGTTTTTAAAAACTGCTATGTAATCTGACATATTTATCTGTGCTGCTGTATAATCTGCTGTATAGATATGTATATATACATATAAATTACACATATAATTGTTTATTCAACTTTAAAATAGTGGAACTTAATTTTATTGACTTTTTCACATAGAGCTTGGGACTGCTTTGTTCGCTGCCTGGATCATGCTTGTCTAGGATCCCTTCTCAGTCATGTAATAGTCGCTTTGTTACCACTCATACATATCCAGCCTATAGAAACTGCAGCTATCTTTCACTACCTCATCATTGAAAACAGGTATTGTAACTGAACTCATACTAAAAATAGTAACTTTTTACCATGTTTTATGTCGTAACCTTTTAGGATTACTATTAGTAATATGAAACTATTCACTTATTTTAATTTTAGAGTTCATCAATAAATGGAAATTAGCATGTAATTAAATTGTTGATACAGTTTCTGTTGTGTTGATTTAAAACTCATTTAAAATTATTTTTCTTTAAATCTGACAAGGTAAAACTAAATGTACCTTTGTTAGTACAATTAAAAGACAATCAAGTAACTTAAGAAAGATTAAGAAGGGGTTATTTATCTATTTTCTCTCTATTACCTACTTGGAAACCCTTATTACTTCATTGCATTAAGCTTTGAGCCAGTCTCCCTTACTTTAGCTTTTACTTCATTTTTCTTGATATTATTTCTAGAATGCCCTTTTAAAAGCATCTCTTTCTAGTGTGGTGGCACACACCTGTAATCCCAGTACTCAGGAGGCTGAGACAATAGAATCACTGCAATTCGAGGCCAGCCTGAGTTACATAGTGACTTCAAGGTCAGCTTGTGCTACTAAAAAAAAAAATTTCTTGATCTGCATCATCTCAGTATACAGTGATGTTTTATAGTTTTCTGTTTCTAACAGATAGATTTCATATCACTCAAGGCTTTCAGAAAGCTAGCTACATCTTATTTCTTTTGTTTTGTTACTGTTTTTTGAGACAAGGTCTTGTTATATAGTACAGGCTGGCCTTGAACTTACTGTGTAGCCTCTAATTCAGGCTGGCCTTGAACTTACTGTGTAGCCTCAGCTATCCATGAACTTAATGTGTGGCCTCTAATTCATGGTGATTCTCCTTCACCCTCCAGGGTGTTGGGATGAGACGTATGCACCATCATGCTTGGGCTCTTTTGACTCCAGCTGCTTTTTAGTCTTCACATGAAAATTTTTTCACAAACTGTTCTATGTCATAGTTTCTTCCTTAAAAGTTAGGATTTAAGTACATACTAATTATTTACCTACTCACCTTTATTCTATTGTAATTCTTTTTAATCATTTCCACTGATTTTCCAATCAAGGAAAAAGTACAGAAGAAACAATGTTTTTATTCATTCAAAATACTGTTATTTTACTGTTATTTTGTATTTTTGCATATGTTAGAACAGTGGAATCACCAGTTTAGATCATTTTTCAAATACTCTTAGATTACTGTGTAAGTATTCACATCTGTGCTGTTTGTTCTAGATGCTGTTTGTTCTATCATTTTTCTCATGTTTTCAAAGCGTATATAATAAGAAAAATTTCTCACACCGTATTAAATAGAAGAAATTAAACTCCCTGAATGGAGAACTATTTTTGCTTCATTTATTATTCTTACGTATGTAGCACAGAACTTAGTGCAATCTGGTGCATACTAGTTATTTAATATATATTTGTTGCGTGAGTTGATGAAGACTAAAATTAGAGGTACTGGACTTATATTTGGACCCAAATATTAGTATTGGAACAGTAGTATTCATGTTCTTGGCAAATAATTCTTTGTATTTCATCTAACCATTAGGGATGCTGTGCAAGATTTTCTTCATGAAATATATTTTTTACCTGATCATCCAGAATTAAAAAAGATAAAAGCAGTTCTCCTGGAATACAGAAAGGTATTTTTTAAATTATGATTTGGAAGATACAGATAAGAAATTGTTTGCAACTTCTAATACATTCAGTAAAGATCCTTTGAAATTAAATGTATGGATAATATGATCATATCATGGTAGCTATTTCCTTGTGATTAGATAATGATTCCATAAATCCATGCCTTTTGGTGGGAAGTTTTAGCATTTAGATCAAAGATGTATAGCATTTGATAGGCCAGAGAACAAATACTGTTCTTGAAATTTTACCACCTAGGTCAATAAATCTTTGCAGTTCCAAGAAAGAAGTTGTCCTAATTGTATGTTCTGCCAGAAGAAAGAAAACTGTGGGAGGATTCTAGTTTTGTTGTGCTGCACATTATGCTATAGTCAGGTCTAAATGATTTCTGAGCCTTAGAAGGGCAAGAATACATAGTTCCAACATTCTGAAGTGTAATGAGCTCTCTGAAATTATGAAAATATTAATGATAGTTTCATAGCATTTCCAGGCAGAAAGTAGAATACTTGACCTTGGGTATCACATTAAGTAGTGAAAGGAGAAGGTTGAATTATTTATGTTGTCCATAGTCTTGGTTCAGTGCTATAATATAGCCCTCTGTAAGTCAGGGAAAGCTTGTATTTTTAATCAAAAAGCATTTGTTTTAGAGAAATAATTTTCTATTTAGTTGCAATAAAATCTTTAGGTTTAAAGATTTTAGAATAAAATCTTTTTTCTGGAGAATTACTAACTATTGCATATACTTTGGAAAGGAAGAGATGGAAATTTCATTAATTTTTAAAGCCAATGTGCGTAGTCTGATTTATACAGGAAATTCAGGCCTTTGGAAATGGTCGTAAAGGTAATACTTAGGCGTATCTCTATGTGCTTTTTATAGGAAACATCTGAGAGTACTGGTCTTCAAACAACTCTTCAGCTATCCATGAAAGCAATTCAACATGAAAATGTAGATGTTCGTATTCATGCCCTTACCAGCCTTAAAGAAATTTTGTATAAAAATCAGGTAAGTTCAATTCCCCACAATAAATGTAATCATTGTACACTACAAACATGTACTATTAATAAAAAAAGGACACAGTTCTGAAGACTATGCACCATTCAATAATTTAATAAAGATATTCCTAATGTAAAAATAATCAGAATGTTAAGATGATATAATATAAAAACGATAGGATTGGGAGGCTGAAGCAGGAGAATTGTTGCAAATTTGAGACCAGCATGGGCTACAAAATGAGCTCAAGGCCAGCTTGAACTACTTAGCAAGACACTGCCTCAAAAAGACAAAATACATAAATGCTCTAGGAAAGAAAAGTTAGAGGTTTAAAGAAAAGATAATAGATCAACATTTTTATTTGACACTCAACAGATGCAATTTTTAGACTCAATGAAATATTTAATTTTTCTTTTTCCTAGTTTATCAAATCTAAGAGTCAGTAATTGGGCTGGGTATTTAGCTCAGTGGCAAAAGTGCCTGCCTGGCAAGCGCAAGGTCCTGAGTTCAATCCCCAGTCCCCCCACCAAAAAAAAGTCAGTAATTGATGAGATACCCATTAGCCTGAGTCCTAGAGATCTGCAATTTGTTGTTGTCAAAGGGTCATGATTTCATGGTTCAGAAAATGTTCCTAAGATTCATGTATTTGTGTATCAGTAGTTTATGAGTCTTCAGAAATAATTTTCTATAGATGTCTGTCATATTAAAGATCAAATTAACTGGTTTAATGAAGGCTTATTTAGCAACATAATATAGGTTATCCCTAACCTTGATGTTAGTAAAAACTAGTATTTAAAATACCAGATCACTGTAAGCATATAACTTCTAAAAAATTAACTGAATTAAACTTTTACATATCAGTAACCTGTATGGTAAGACATAGGGACCTAAAGACCCTCAAGACTTACTGGCATATAAAACTAGGGTATGTGTCTCTCCATGATAGAAGTAAGCATTTACTTAGGAAAAAAAGACATACATAATGGTAGTGAATACATGTGATTTCTGGGGCAATGAGCTTCTATAATCATAGTAGATAGCAGCTAACCTGGAGAAGATTTCCACTAGATGTGAGGAAACTTGAATTTCTTACAGCTTAAATGATATGCCTTCCTGACTGTGTATGTGTACTGTCAGTGTCGTGGCCTCAATTCTTGCCCTAAACTAAACTAAACTGTCCTGTGTAGATCTTGCCATAGATCTCTACATGAGTTTCATATAATTAAATTATTCAAGGACTTGTAGCTTTTTAATGTAATAAAGACTAATTAATAAAGGATCTCTTCTTGGCACAAAGATTTCTTTTGTTTTTTTGTCTTTTTCATTTTCATCGGTACTGGGGATCGAACTCACAACTGCCTGCTTGCGAGGCAGGCGCTTATGCCACTGAGCTAAATCTCCAGCCCCCAGCACAAAGATTTCTTATTTAGATTGTTTCCAAGCAGATGGCACAATTATATTCTAATGTAAAGTGACTATGTCTCAGTCATTGCCTGCTAAATTGAAATTATCAAATGGGAGAACTCAAGGTAATTTCTTGTATTCTTAGGAAAAAGCCAGAACTGCTTACTACCTATAACACAAAAGATAAATCACACCTGGTAATTTCCTGACAAGTATTCCTTCAATAAAACTCTACTACTAATGGATTACCCAATAGAACAAAAAGGAAAGTGCTCTCTTGCAGGAGTCACAGTACAAATTGAATAGTCTGACTATGTAAGGCATAGTTGCTGTAGACTGTTAAAGAGTATTTTTTAAAGTAAGAATAAATTTAGATTAGCATTGGTGTATAGTTGGATAGATTTATTATAGATTGGTAAGAAAAAAATAAAATTTTAGAGTCAAGGAGCGCTTAAAGATCCACAAGGAAAAAAGAATAAAATAAAAACCTAGAGACAAATGTCTTCCCAGCCATATTCCAGCAGCACCAGAGTGTAACATGTTGGGAATTTTAAAGAGCTACAGATAATGTTAACTCAGACCACAAATGAATTCAGTAAAATAGAATATAATATTAACATAGAAAGATCAGTACTCTTAAACAGTAGTCAGGTGAAAATTTTATTGGAAAATCTCATTTACAAGAGCATGAAAAGATAATGTAGCTGAGAAAAAGCTTAGCAGAAAATCTGTGAACTCTAAAACACTTCTGCAAATATAGACAACTATAGATTTAAACAAATGGAAAATACCTTTTATTGGATAATTCATGAATTTAATGGAATGTGAATAAAAATGCCAGTTTTTTGTTCATTTTTTAGTTACCATTTTTTTTTAAAGCTAGACAGTATATGTGGAAAAGGGTAACTGAAAAAAATGGAATGATTCTTTGAAAAGATAAAATTATTTTACTATGATTAAAAGATAAAATGATTCTTTGAAAAGATAACTGAAAAAATGGAATGATTCTTTGAAAAGATAAAATTATTTTACTATGATTAAAAGATAAAATGATTCTTTGAAAAGATAACTGAAAAAATGGAATGATTCTTTGAAAAGATAAAATTGAAAATTGAAACCCTTAGCTGAACCAAAAACAAGAGAGAGAAAGCCCAAATGTGAGGAAGGAATTACTACAACAGACACCACTGAAATGCAGGGCATCATTAGGAAATAAGAAATATGCTGAGAAATTTTAAAGTGTAGTAGAATTGGACAAATTTATTGAGCCATATGACCTCTCAAAATTGAATGAAGACTCCATAAAATGCCTGAATAGATCACTAACAAGCAATGAAATTGAAGCAGTAATAAATGTCTCCCAACCAAGAAAAACCCAAGACCAGATGGATTCACTGCTAAATTTTACCAGAATTTTAGGGAAGAATTTTTTTCTTTTTTCTTTTTTTTTTTTTTTTTTTGTCTTTTTCCTTTTTATTGGTACTGGGGATCGAACTCACGACTGCATGCTTGCAAGGCAGGCGCTTATGCTGCTGAGCTAAATCCCCAGCCCCTAGGGAAGAATTAATATCAGTACTTCTCAAACTATTCGATAAAATGGAAAGTAACTGTTCCAAATTTATTTTACAAAGTCAGTATTACCCTGCTACCAAAAGCTGGTAAGAACATGACAAAAAAAGAAAACTATAGACCAATATCCTTGGTGAGTATAGATGCCAAAATCTTCAGTAAAATAACTACAAATCGGGGCTGGGGATATAGCTCAGTGGCACAGTGCCTACCTGGCAAGCGTGAAGTTGTGAGTTCAATCCCTGGTACTGGTAAAAAAAAAAACAAAAAACCTACAAATCAAATTCAACATTATAGTAAAAAGTCATATACCACAATCAAATTGATTTCATTCCAGGTTGCAAGGTTAGCTTACCATATGCAGATCAATAAATGTAATATACATCATTAGAATAAAAGAGAAGGGGCTGGGGATTTAGCTCAGCGGCATAAGCGCCTGTCTTTTTTTTTTTTTTTTTGTCTTTTTCATTTTTTATCGGTACCAGGGATCGAACTCACGACTGCCTGCTTCAAGACAGGCGCCTTGCAAGCAGGCAGTCGTGAGTTCGATCCCTGGTACCGATAAAAAATGAAAAAGACAAAAAAAAAAAAAAAAAAAAGAATAAAGGAGAAAAAAAAATCACATATCATCTTGATACAGAAAAGACTTTAATAAAATGTAATAGCCTTTGATGGTAAAAATCTCATATAAATTGGGTATAAAAAGATCATATCTCAACATATATTCAGCAATCCCATAGTCATACCATACTAAATGGGGCAAAAACTGGAAGCATTTCCTCTAAAGTCAGGAATAAGACAAAGATGTCCATTCTCAACACTTGTGTTTGTATGTATAGCACTAAAAACTAGCCAGAAAAATCACACAAAAGAAAGAAATATAAGGTATATAAATTGGAAAGGAGAAAATCTGGTTATTTCTATTTACAGATGACATGATTCTGTTCCTAGAAAACCCAAAAGAGCCCATCAAAATCTTTTAAAACTGATAAATTCAGCAAAGCAATAAAATATATAAAATCAACATTTAAAAAAAATCAGTAGCTTTCCTATATACGAGTAATAAACTTGCTAAAAAATAAATCAGGAAAGCAGTCCCATTGTGCACAATAACCTCAGAAAGCTGGGGGAGGGGGTGTACCAAGAAGGAATCAGCCTAACCAAGGAAATGAAAGACATCTACAGTAAAAATAAAAAAACACTGAAGAAAGAAATAGAAGATAGGAAGAGCTTTCACATTCATAGATTATGATAATTAATACTGTTGGCCACAGAACTAAAAATTATCCAGAGATTGGGTCCACATCAAAATACCAATGACATTCTTTGCAGAACTAGAAAAAACAATCCTAAAATTCCTCCCAGTAGCCAAAGCATTTTGAGGTTTGAAAAAACATTATGCCACAGTCAGCATGATACCTGATTTCAAAATACACCACAGAGCCATGGAAACAAAAACAGCATAATATTGGCATGAAATTAGACATACAGGCCAGTGATATAGAAAATCCAGAAATGAACCCAGGCATTTTTTGAAAAAAAATACTTAAACCAACATGTTTTCTCGTTGTCTCTTTAATCCTACTTCTTTTCCCAAAAAAGATTGACAGTCTTTTTCCGGTTTTTATTTTTTCTACTAATTTTAAATGCAGTGCTTTTCAATCTTTTATCTAATAGTTGTTCTTCCATATTTACTGAAATAACTACCATCCTATAGAGTTATCTAGTTTTTTTATCTTCACTGCTTCATCTTGTGTTTTCACTATACATATCATATATTTTCATTATTTACATGTATATTTTCCCATTAGATTGAATTCATTGAGATAAAACTACTCTTTTTTGCATAATACCATAAAAGTAACTTTTAATAGGTCACTAAGACACTTAGTGATTCTAGTCATATGGTAACCTTTCATGAGTTATGTGAATTCACTAAAAATCAGTTGAAAAGGGTTGTTGATAGAAAAATTAAGTTCGTTAGTGTCTATGTCAGATTTCCTTAATATCCTTAAGCCTTTTGGTTTTAGTAGAGTAGTGACAAACCTATGGCACGCATGCTGCAGTGGACTGTTTATATTTTTGAAACCTCTAAAAGGTTTGCCCTCACTGCTGTAGGAGAATATATGAGTTTATAGAAGTTATGTATAAACTTTCTTTCTTTTATTTTAGGAAAAACTGATAAAATACGCAACTGATAGTGAAACAGTAGAACCTGTTATCTCACAGTTGGTGACAGTACTTTTGAAAGGTTGTCAAGATGCAAACTCTCAAGCTCGCTTACTCTGTGGAGAATGTTTAGGGGAGTTGGGAGCAATAGATCCAGGTCGATTAGATTTCTCAACAACTGAAACCCAAGGAAAAGACTTTACATTTGTGGTAAGAAGTGATAATTTGAAATAAGATTTCTCTATTCATTGAGTTTATATGTTTCATTTACAAAGAACAATTTAAATTATTCTTAGTACCAGTTTGATCTAAGTAAAAAAATTTGGGTAACTCTAATTTTATTTCTTAATACTACTGTGAAGCCTTTTAGCCAAAAGCAATAAAATTTGAGCCAAATCTACTGTGCTGTGTTCTTGCAATTAAATCTCCCTAATCTAATTATGACAGTACTTGAAGCTTAATTATTTAAATATTACTGTTTAAATACTATTACTGCTGTTTGCATGGGAAACTAGTTTCCCAGGGTATTGTAATAGTGTTTTAAAAAGCATTTTGTAGTCAAACGAGTTTCAAAAATCCCTGTAAAATGGCCCGTTCTATAGATTGAAATTTGGGGAGTGCTATATTTTTGAGTTTTTTTGAAGAAAGAAAAACATACAATGCAAATTACTAGAGCTGTTCAGAAATTGAATGATTGTAATATTCTTAAAAAAAATAGCCTAAAGAGATTTATATTTTGATTTCGTAGCTATAGATTACTTTTTAGCCTTAGTTTGAACCGTATTCTTTTCTTTTTCTGAATTAAATTTACTTAGGGAATTAATTCACCACAGAAGGTACAGTTCACCTTAAAACAATTTATATGCCAAATATCACCTTTTCTTTTTTTCTGTTTTTTTTTTTTTTTTTGAGGCTGGAGTAGAAGATTTAAATTTTGCATATGGGTTATTGATGGAGTTAACAAGAGCTTACCTTGCATATGCAGATAACAGCCGAGCTCAAGATTCAGCTGCTTATGCCATTCAGGTAAAAATGTTTGCCCATAGTAATCAATACTGGCTTTACACTGATGACATCTAGTAAGACAGTTGTAAATTTTATATTTATGAATTTTATATTTATTTTAGCTATCATTTTCATCATCAAAATACTACAAATTCATCTTAAACACTTTAGAGAGTACAGAAATAACTCTTTTAACATTTTATTACAGGTATCTGAAGATTTTTAATGTACACAGAAATGTATGGCTTTCTCCTTAAAATAAGTTTGATTATAATATTCAAGATACTCTGTAATTAACAACTGATCAATGCAAGACATTTAAAATTTTAGCAGCCTTGTATAGTGATGCCTGCTTGTAATCCCAGCACTTGGGAGGCTGAGGCAGAAAGATTGCCATGAGTTTGAGGCCAGATTGGGCTACAGAGTGAGTTCAATGCCAGCATACATTGCATAGCAATACTCTGTCTCAAACAAAGCAAAATTTTAAGCATTCACTATTTCTTTCAATTATCCTTTTATCTTCAATTCATTCTTCTTAATGACTTGTTAATAATCATATATACCATAGTTTTTTGAAGAAATTTGCTTACAGCATTTAGGTTGTGTTCAGTGCTTTGCTTTTACCAAAAAAAAAAAAGAAAGAAAGATAGATACATTCAGGGAGCATACATATTGTATTAGTCAGGGGTTGTGAGGAAAACAATTAGAATGAGGACACAGAATATAAAATACTATTTTATGATGGTCACCCAGCGTTAAAAGAAAGTGCAGGAAATCTGTCTATAACTGAAGACCCAAAGGCCTGGGTCCCACAGCAATGTCCTGCGTGAGTCCAGATGAAGACGAGAGCTCATGACAATGCCTCCCATGAGTCCAACTTTAAGAGCCCACAAGAAGGACTTCACCAATCTGTTTTACAGATCTGTGCTGGGAAGGCCCCAAAATCAGTGGTGGAAGCTAGAAAGTCTGTGCCAGCGGGGTGGAGATGTACTGGTAGGTTGAGGTTTCTATCTGAAGCCGAGAAGTCACACTCACTTTTAAAATAAGGACCAGGGCTGCACTGAAAAGTACCATAGTCATCCTCAGCAACACAGAGGTCCTGAGCTCCTCTGATGCGAAGAACAGTCAAGTACATGCCAGGAAGCAACCATGACAGGCTACACTTGGAGATAAAACAGCACACATTTTCCCCCCTGGAGCCAGGAAGCAATACTCGATGTAAGGACCAGAGCTCCCTCAAAGTGGACCACAGCCACTGTCACCAACAAGGTCCTAAGCCACTCCGATGGCAGTGGTCGAACTCACACCTGGGGAAGCTAGTCATGACAAGCTCCTCCAGGAGAATCAGCAGCTCAAACAGCAACACTTAGAGAAAGCCACAATGCCTAGCTCTTCTCCACGTCTCTGTTTATGCTGGCAACTTTCCTCAGATGGAACATTTATGCTCAGCAGCATGCTGATTTAATTCAGCTGGTGTTAAGTTGACCACTAGTTTTTAATCCATAACATATATTTCCCAGGAATAAGAATTTAAGATTGAGAATTGCCAATGGGCTGTTTAATAACAAGGTGGTCATTGTGACCTTGACAAGACCAGTTTTAAAGAACATGCAGGAAGAAAGGAGTTAAAGAAATTTGAGAAACTCTTCATGAACATTGTTACCAAGGAGAAGAAATGAATGGAAGAGTAACTGGGAAGGAAAGAAGAGTAAAGATGGAAAAACTAATAGTATGTTTCTATGTTCCCTGCAATGGAAAGAGGAATAAAAGTGGAAAAAATGATAGTATGTTTTTATGTTCTCTAGAATGGGTGTAGGGTATATAGGCTAAACATGCATTCTACCTCTGATCTACATCCCAGCCCTGAGGTAATATTTAGGCAGAGAGGTATGGAGTATAACATACAAGTGGAAAGAGTAGCCTTAATTTAAAACAGGAACTGGCCTGGGGATATAGCTCAGTGGCACACATATCTGCCTGACAAAAACAAGATCCTGAGTTCAAATCTTGGTACCAAAAAATATTTTAAAAACAAATTTACCTTTGGCTGGCATAAGCACTTGCCTGGCAAGTGAGAAGTCATGAGTTCGATCCCTGGTACCAAATAAGTTAAATAAATAAATAATAAACAAACAGGAACAACCCAGGTCCTCAGAGCGAGAAAGAATACATATTGTAAAGGCACAAATATCTTGGAAGTTTTGGAGGTCTTCTAACTACTTTTTTCAATAAAGTGAGAAGCAAGGCCTTTAAATCTAAGCATGTGTTTTTGAGAGTCTAGATGGTCCTGAAACCAAAAAGAGAATTGCTGATATAGTAAGTCTGTAATTGGAAATTAAGAAGATTACTTTTCCAATGACTTCAAAATCAGCAGAAAAGTCTGGCTCCAAACAAAATTTTCATAACATTTTAAAGTTAAGTGAAACATGGGAGTTTAGGTACTCTGAACTTTTTAAAGGCTTTCTTAGCATAAATGTAAAGTACATATTTTATCAGATGGTGTTAATATTTAGTAAGTATCAGGAAAACATCTATTACAAATTTTCAGTGGAATAGGAAAGAATACGTGATTAAAGATAGTATATTCTGTGTCCTGTTTTAAACAAATATTTAGAAACTAAGAAATTTTTTTCACTTACAAAGTCCTTTTAAAAAAAAAATAAAAAACTAGAAAGGAAAGTTTAACCATTTAATCTGTAGGCCTACGTAGTAAGTAAATTGGTCTTTAACATCTGTTTTCAGAATATTAAGCTTACCATTTTATTTCCTACCATTTGAGATAACCTCTGTGTGTGTGTGTCTGTGTGTGTGTGTGTGTGTTTACTGTTTAAATATATCATTGCTTTCATCATAACTCAGAAAAATATCAAATTGTAAGGATGGAGGTACAGCTCAGTGGTAGAGCTCATGGTTAGCATGAAAGGCTATAAGATCTATCCCTAACACCAAAAGAAAAAATTCAAGGAGTATAATTTTACAAACATAGAAAATACCTTTTTTTCTCCAAATTAATCTTACATTGCATAGTATCATAAACTAGTTTCATATTCAAGCTGCCATAGCTTCAGATCCCTAAATAAGTTACATAAATGGTTCTAGGCATTGAAATAAATATCCGATGGAAGTTCCCAGGTCTAGTTTTATGACTGTTTATTTTTCTATGCACATTATATGTAGTACACTAAGTAATAAAAAGGTTTATCAGTTTCACTGTGAACTTAACGATTATAAAATATGTGTTTGTAGGAGTTACTTTCTATTTATGACTGTAGAGAGATGCAGAATAATGGCCCAGGTCACCAGTTGTGGAAGAGATTTCCTGAGCATGTTCGGGAAATATTAGAACCTCATCTAAATACTAGGTATGTAAATTCATTTCAGCTATTTTCACAATTTTTTTTTACTTGATAGACATCAGTATTTTTCATAAAGTTTTGTAGCATTAAAAGTGTTTTTAACCAACCATGGTAGCACACACATGTAATTCCAGCTTTTCACAAGGATAAGGCCAGAAACACCATGTTTGAGGCCAGCTTAAACAACTTAATGAGACTGTTTCAAAATAAAAAATAAAAAGAGCTGAGTTTGTAGGAAACAACTTTCAAGTGGTTATGTATAAAAGTGACCTTACGCAAGCAATGAGAGTTCTTATGATGTACTTTTGTATCTGAGAGATTAGATGTTTCCTAACTGGTGGAAGTTAGATTTATCTAGCTGAGATCTGCTCATTGAAATTACTGCCTCATAAAATAAGAAGCAGTAAGGGCAGTTAAATTGGAGTTGACTCTCTTTTGTATGAAATAGTAAAATACCAGATTAGCCATCTAGTAGGTTTTGTAGCTTAGATTGTTTGATACTTCATAGGGCCTGAGGAGATATAAAATTTCTTCAGACTATATGCATATCCCCTTGAGATTTTTTTCAGTAAAAGGCTAGGAATGTGGCTCAGTTCAAGGGCCCTGAGTTGAATCTTTAGAATCCCAAAAACTTTTTTTTTCAGTTGAGCTATTTATATATAATCAATAAATGTAGATTGAAGGATACTTATACTTAGAAGATACAATTTTTAGACAGACCAACTACAGTTCAAAATTACCACAGAAATAATTTAAAAAGAAACCATCAGTATGTGACTGGGCTGAACCTGGCTAGTACCTCAACAATAGTACCTGAGTGGTACTTGAGCAGCCTCCAAACTAGGACAGTCACAGCTCTGATGGGGAATTAGGCCTAAAGGGAGTAAGATCTTACTCTTCATAATAGTAAAAGGTAAAGTATAGGTGATTTGAGGAGAGTGGTGATGTGAGGAGGGAGAGTGGTGATGATTTGGAGTAACCACTGTGGAAAATGACAGAGGCTCTCTCTCTCTCTCTCTCTCTCTATATATATATATATATATATATATATATATATAGTGTGTATATATATATATAGTGTATATATATATATATATATATATAATGTATACATGTCTATAGTAAGCTAATTAGTGGTTTTCTTCTGCCAGTGTAGTATTCTCAGTATCACGCTAGGAAAGAAAGTCATTTAAACTGGTGTAAGGATGGGAGACTGGCAGGTGGGTACAGGTGGTAGAGTATGTGGCAATGGAATCAGTAAAGGCTGTTACCAAGAGAGAGCTAATGTGAATGATCATAGATCTCCTCATCTATGAGAATATCATAGATATTAACATGGTGAAGGGACAAAAAATAACCAGTGAGAGAGGGCAGATATGTTGGAGTAACTGGGTAAAAGAACTAAAAATTTAGAAAACTGTAGAAACTGAATGAGATATCTCCATAGTTGATTTTGAAAGTGAAGATATTTTTGTATCAGTAAAGGAGTCTTGATAATTGAATAGAGAAGAAAGTCATTGAGAAGTACTTAGTTTTATTAAATGGTTCAGCCAGACATTAAAGCCACCAAGGATAATAAGACTTATGAAAGAAAGAAAACATCAAGCAATGGGCTGCAGGTATTAACGGGTATGATAATTATTGAGTTTGATAGATGCCCTCAATGACAAATATTAAAAAACAGTGTACCTGTGTGGCTTGAACTTCAAAGATGTCTTTATTGCACAGGTGTAGAGTTGGAAGGATCTGAAGAAAAGAAATAGATTCAAGTCTTTACAAGTACTTGAATAACTTCCCATGCCACCCGTAGGTATAGCGGAGCCTGTATGGTGGCTTTAGTTCCAGAATTCTGGGGGGCTGAGACAGAAGGATTGCAAGTTCCAGCCCAGCCTAGGCAACTTAGCAACTTAACTAGACTCTGTTTCAAAATAAAAAAATTAAGGCTCTGCAGATGTAGCTCAGTGAGAATGCCTTAGGTTCAGTCCCCAGTATGTGCTAGTTAGTTTTGTTTTGTTTTGTTTTGTTTTGTTTAAAGGGGGGCAGGGATTTAGCTCAGTGGAACAGTGCCTGCCTAGCAAATGTGAGGTTCTGAGTTTGATTCCCAGTATCCAAAAAAAAAAAAAAGATAGTGTAAAAGTGTTATTTTTAATCAGATTTCAGTAAAGACAAAGCAATGCTTAGGTAAGTTAATAGAGTTGATATAATTTTTTATTCTTCATAAAAGTTTTAAACAGATATATGTTATTTTTAATAAGCAAATTTTCAAAATTACAGATACAAGAGTTCGCAGAAGTCAACAGATTGGTCTCAAGTAAAGAAGCCAATTTACTTAAGTAAACTAGGTAATAACTTCGCAGAATGGTCAGCGTCTTGGGCAGGTTATCTTATAACAAAGGTAAGATGAGAACCCTATTTAAAATTCTTCAAATGTACACAAATTCTAAAGGAAATGAGAATATCTGTCTGAATGCATAGTAAACGCAAAATATTTGTAGTGATAATGAGGGAAAGTTTTAAAGACAGTGTTTACTAATAGAGACTATGTCTATTGTTACTAATAGATTTTTGGTGAAAAGGTAGTTATTTTATCAAATCATTTATCATAGAACTAATATGTTTTAAAATATCTATTACATTATGTGTATCTTTTACATTGTAAAATGTATTTAAAATATAATGTGAATGCTCTTATCAGTTTTTACATAATAAAAAGATTTATGTAATATCTTTCTGTTGTACTTTTTAAAGGACAGTGTATCATCTAAACATTATCTAAAATAGAAATATATTTTAAAATAAAATTTTATGCAAAAATAAAAATGTATTTTTGATGTTTTCTTAGTATGAAATTTGTACAGGCCTGAACGAAAAAAGATAAACTGTATTCTAAGAAAATATTTCAGGCATAATTAAAATTCTCAATTTTTGTTTTAAATTAAGTTTCTGTCAGTATTTAAAAAAAAATTTGTAAGTGCCAGTTTCAAGATACTTTTCTTTTTTATGAATGCACTGAAATGTGTATGAAATTAACTACTTCTAGCTCTGGGATATTTTATTTATTTCTGGTTTTAAGTGAAAGTTTTATATTTGAAGAAAAAAATCTTTATAATTTAAAAGAGTTCATTAGTTGGTAAATTGGAGGTTAGGTAATATTAATAAAATCTGACTTTAACCACAGTAATTTAATTTTTAAATTGACAAACATTGTATTTAAGGTGTACAGTTAACTTTTTCCTTTAGTTTTTCATTTATTGCTTATAATGTGAATCTCATATTTAATGTACTGTTCTATAACATAATTTAAATTTTTCACTTAGGGAGTTAACACTAAGTTTAAAGTTAGCTAAGTCAAATGTGTTATAATTAGGAAAGGTTATTTGTAACTAACAAAACATTATACACTGAAAACAGTATTGTAAGTGGGTGAGATATCATTCATTCTGTGGCAGTTGGCAGCTCAGATAACTGTGTTGCCTTTAAGGTTTCAGCATTCACCCATTTGGGGATATTGGGAGTGACCTGCGAGAGGGTAAATTGAAATCTTGCTGCTTGTTACATATGGCTCTCTCTATAGAGAATGCTTGCCCTGCCATAGTGAATTATTTCATGTGTTATATTTTGACATTCAATCAATAGAATAAAAGATGTAAAACTACTTATTCTCACTAAAACTTTTGAGTTTACAGGTTAGGCATGATCTTGCCAGTAAAATCTTCACCTGCTGTAGCATAATGATGAAGCATGATTTCAAGGTGACCATCTATCTGCTTCCACATATTCTAGTGTATGTCTTGTTGGGTGGTAATCAGGAAGACCAGCAAGAGGTGAGAAATACCGTTTTATTTGGTTTGTGAACATGTGAAACTTAATTTTTGCAATGTAATTACTATTAGAAAAGATATAGATAAGTAGGAAATTTAGATCTATGTTTGACTATGTGTGTTTCGTTACATGTCCAAAGTCATTTTTAAACATGATTATAAAATTAGAAACTGTATGTTATATACACCAAGTATATATAGAACTTGTTGAAAGAATGCCTCAGAAGCTACCAGTAGTGATTTTTCCTGGGGAACAGTAGAGTCAATAAAAGTAGGACTGGTGGGGGGAGGTGGTGGGATGGGGATTTAGCTCAGCAGCGTAAGCACCTGCCTGGCAAGCATGAGGTTCGAAGTTTGATCCCCGGTTCCAAAAAAAAACATATAGGAAAAGAAAATTATTTTACTTTTTAGTTGTGTAAAGTTTTATGGCTCTGGATTTTCTTTAACCACATACATATTACACTATTTATTTTTATTTATTGTGGATTTTTTTTGGTACAGGAAATCGAACTCGAGGCTTTGTGCATGACAGCCAAATGCTCTACCACCACACTGTACTCTAGCCCCACAGTGTACTTTTTAAAAAAGAGAATATTAATAGATATTAATAATATTAATACAACATAAATAATATGTTATATTCTTAAAGTATAATTGCACATAATTTTACAAAGAAAACCATTACCAAGCCTATATCTTAAGGTCATCATTATTAGTATGATATGGAGTTTTTAAAAATGCAGTTAGTTTTGTGTACCTTTTGATTACTATTCTTAATCATATATCTAGGTTTTTAAAAATGCAATTGGTTTTGCTTTTTTTTAAATGACATCTTCCTATAAGTATTGTTCCATAATTCGCTTCTCTCCAGACTGAACCGAGAGGTGTTCTACTCATGTTCTACATCTCCAACCCTTTTTATTTTTCATTTTGAGACCATTGCTCACTAAGTTGCTGAGGCCTTAAACTTGCAGTCCACCTACCTCTACCTCTTGAGTACCTGGTGTTATAGGCATGCTCACCCAGGTCTTTATTTTCTAATTTGCCAACATAGATAAATGCTTTTTAAAATTACTACATATTCTTCCCACTTATATGTAGTTACCATATTTTATTTAACTGTTGCCAGTGATAATAAGGTATTTGTGTATTCTTTTAATTAATTGGTAGATGTTCTATATATATTCTTTATATCAGTTTGTCAGTCTGTTGCCATTCATATTTTTAAGTCTTTTCTCAGTGATTTTCTTCTTGATCTTTTTTTCTTCCTTTTGCCATACAGAAATTTTGAATGTCAGTGCCAAGTTTGTCTTTTATAGATTTTGAATTTTAAGTCTTTTATAAGATGGCTTTCCTTATGCACTGAACTATTTTCCTGTATTTTGTTTATAAATCTTAACCTATAAATTTATAGAGTAAGAAGTGATATTTGACACATCTATATATTGTATAATAGTCATACCAGGTAAACTTAATTATATCCTTACATATTTACTTCTTTATAATAGAAACATTAAACATACTTTCTTGTAAGCTTTTCTCTTCTTTTCACAGTATATCTTAGTATTCTCAGTTGCTGAAACAAAATACGCAACACCCAAAATTAAAGGAGGAAAGGTTTATTTATCTCAGTTTATAGAGATTTCGGTTCATGATCAACTGGCGCCAAGGCAGCGTAGGGACAGGAGGAGGGAAGGAAGAAAGTGGGGGGGGAGGGACAGAGACGTGAGAGAGAGAGACCTTTTTAGGTCCCTTATATGTACGCAGGCTATCGACCCTAGGGCAGGTGTAGCACAAATACCGTTGATCCCAGCAGTCAATCATGAATCAGTCACAAAGTCTCCAAGCCCACCCCATGACTGTATGAGGCTTTGGAGGGACATCTAGACACAAAACATAACACAGTGCATTATCATTATCTATAGTTACCCTGTTGTAGTAGAATTTATTCTCTTGTTATCTTTCTTCCTACATTTCACACATAAGTACAGACTTTATCCCATACTTAGCCATGTAATTACTCTGCAATTAACTTGTCCGGACAGAATGAAATATTAGTCTAAGCTTATTTTTATCATTGATAGATAGTTTTGTCACTCACTGAATAATCTATAAGAACATTTATTTTTGTAATTTTGTTAAACTGTTTATTATTTGCTTGGTTTAATTATAACAAGGATGGTTATTGATCTTTTTTTTTCTCTTGAAAATTATTGCTTTAGAATGGTTAGTCTTACATGTCAGATAAATAATAAAAGATGTTATATTAATATGTTATTAACCATTAAATGAATTCTCTTAGGTTTATGCAGAAATTATGGCAGTTTTAGAACATGATGACCAGCATACCATAAGTAGCCAAGACAGTGCATCTGATCTGTCTCAGCTTAGTACACAAACTGTGTTCTCCATGCTTGACCATCTCACGCAATGGGCAAGGAACAAGTTTCAGGTCCTGAATGCCGAGAAACTTCCACAGAATAGATCGAACAGAGATAAGGTCAGCTCTAAGGGTAAGTTTTTAAACTTTTGTTTACTGTCTTTAAATTACTCAACAATTAGCTCCCTGTATCCATTCATTCATTCCTTTATTTATATGTTGGTTTTTTAAGACAGGGTCTCACTGTATAATTCAAGTTGGCTTTGAACTCATAGTGGTCCTTTTGCCTCATCATCTCCAGTGAGATTATAGGCATATACTGCCATGCTTGGCTTCAACTCTATGATTTAGGCATTAGCTCCAAAAAGACCTGCTTTTGCAATTTTTAAATTAGGTAATAGTGTCTACTCCCTGAGAAAAAAAGTGAATTATAAGACCTCTGTGGTTTCCTCCCATTTCCTTGAAATAGACATTTTCTTTGTATAAAATAGGGTGTTTCCCTTATAAAATTTGTAAAGATTAGATACATATTTTATATATAAAGTATAAAATAAATGACATGTTACTATTATTAACCTGACTCTCACTGTTAGCTCATTTATTTGTCACCCCTTCAGTTTATCATGTTTACATATATGTCTTTTCACATTTAAATTTTATATTTCACTATGTCACCTAGATTGGCCTCAAACTCATGGCTATCCTTCTGCTTCAGCCTTCTAAGTGCTAGGGTTACAGGCTTGGTCCATCATACCTGGTTTAAATTTTAAATTTTAAGGAGATTTTAATATCACTTATGATCCACAGAGAAACTATTGTTACTTATTTTTCTCAGTCTCTGCTATATTTGGTATCCAGCAGGCTTTCAAGATACACATATTCCACATCAGTATACTATACCTTGCTATCACTGCTAGAGCTCTATTTCCCCCTTATATTACAGTTCTGCTAACATGACTAAAGAAAGAATCCTATTAGAGTTAAACCTGATAATTGGCCCTTATGTTATGTGCATTTCTTGAGCAGAATAATGTTCAGCACAAAATAATGGATACCCTTCATGTCTCTGAATCACTTTTTTGTTCTTTTAGTAAGTATATGGTTATAATCCTGCTTCTTTATACCTCATCCATTCTCATTGATAACAGATTTTCTACCCTAGGCTTAGGGACTAATTGAAATTTTTTGACAGAGTAACAGTCATTGAAGAGGCCTCTAGAGATTTAACTCAGCTGTATAAGTACCTGCCTTGCAAGCATGCAATTGGGCCAGAGATTTAGCTCAGCTGTATAAGTACCTGCCTTGCAAGCATGCAATTGTAAGTTCAATCCCCAGTACCAAAAAACAGAGAGATACTAGGTTGTGCTGTATGGCAGTAAAAGCTATTCTTTTGCTGTGTGTTGAAATTTCTTAATTTGTGTCTCTCTCTTGTTGTCCATATACCTATTACATACAGCAGTTTATTATTTTTCAAACCTTTTCTGTACTTAGAGCTAGGGGTTTAGCTCAGGGGCGTAAGTGCCTGCCTGGCAAGTGTGAGGTCATGAGTTCAATTTTTTTTATCTGTACTTGGAGATAATTATTTGAGTAATATTTTCCTTTGGACTAGAAAAATATTTCCCATTAATTTAACAATTAAATATTTTTTCCTATTTCTAAATGGGAAAATGGTACTGTAAAACTAAGTATTATTAGCACCATTTTCACTAATATTGCAATTAAAATTCTAGGTTTTAAGAATAACAATTGGAGGTATAGCTATGTAGCAGAGTGTTTTCCATAGCATGCTGGTTTTAATCCCCAGGGCTACAAAATAAATAAATAAAAAAAATAAATTTTAAACTTGAAAAGAAAAAGAGTACTTTTTACCTAATTTTTCTTTCCCTAGTATCTAGCAATATTCTCTCAGTATTTTTGCAGTCATCATTAATAAACAAGTAAATCTTATATCTTTTATATCATGTTTATAGCTTTTAACATTTATCATAGATTGAAATTTAATATTTAAAATAACATTGAAGGACAAGTACTTATACTTCCCCCTCTTAAAATGTTTTAAATTTTTATTAGTTTATGTTTGCTGTGCATAAAGATTATATTCATCATGAAAAAGGTTTTTTCCTTTTGAGACAGGGTCTCACTATGCAGTTCAGGCTGGCCTTGAGCTCACTTTGTAGCCTAGGCTGGTCTTGAACTCTCAAGGATCCTCCTGCCTCAGCCTCCTGAGTGCTGGGATTACAGGCGTGAGCCACCATGCCCGGCTTCATTATCTAACTTTAATTTACTTATACTTTGGGTTTCTCACATAAAGAATGCAATATTTGATCTTGTGTGTCTGATTTATTTCACTTGACCTCATTGTCTCAAGGTATATCCATTTTGCTACAAATTATTTATATTTATCCTTCATTTCCCTTTTCTAGGTCAGAAACAGGCTCAAAAAGTTAAATTAACTGGTAAAATTAATTTAAAAGTTAAATTTTAAAAAAAGTTGATTTAAAAGTTAAACTAAATACTAATGATAGGGTTACAGCAAGAACCTCTGAGCAATCATCCTGTTGTTAGTTGTGTCTTAAATATGATGCCCTAATACATTAGTTTACTTAGTGAAGTAAGTTGATGTTAAATCATTAAAGTGATAAATTTTATCCTGTAAGTCTTCATGCTTTTTTTTTTTTTTATAATCTAGTATCATCTGTGAATTTTGAAGACTATCAGAGTGTAACTCACTTTCTAGACCTCATACCTCAAGATACTCTGGCAGTAGCTTCCTTTCGTTCCAAAGCATACACACGGGCCGTAATGCACTTTGAATCATTTATTATAGAAAAGAAGCAAAATATTCAAGAGCATCTTGGATTTTTACAGGTTTGAAATTGATATACTAAATTACTAATGAAAATTAATATTGTCAATCTTTTTGGTTATTTTCATTGAACATTTTATGTGTTACATTGGGTCTGTTTATTTATAACTCTACAAGCTTAAAGATTAGTGAGAAAATTTAAACCTCATTTTGTCCTACTGTCTTAAGTATATGATATGAATTTGCCCTAAGGAAGAACACTTGACTCATCTTGTATGTAGAGTAGGCAGAGAAATGGGAGTGGGTTAGCCATAGGTCAGATATAGCTTAGAGATGATTTCTTTCGTTATGTGTAGTAGTGGGCAGAAGAATCACTATGGAGTTGCAGAAGAGCATTATGTATACTAATGTACTAATGTTTGGAATGGCAAAAGACGAGAAATTTAGGTAGAGAAGAGATCACAAAAATCATAGAGGAGATCACAAAAATCATTAGGTAGAGAAGAGATCACAAAAATCACAAAAACTTGATCAAGCTTCTCTAGGAGTGTTGAAATAGGAAGGTATTAGAGTCTCAGTGGTAATTTTAGCTAAATGCTTGCGTCAGTTGTTGGAAGAATCTGAAAGGGCTATGAATCAAAGAATTTCTGTTCTCCTTTGAGAAGTAGTAGCCTGCATTTGAGCCTGAGTATTACAGTAGGGAGATTTGTTGGTTATATCAGGTAGCAGGCATGAGAATGCCGGGAGAATAGTGTTTTAGATGATAATATTATAATTGTGTAAGGAAGAAATAAAGGCAATGGATCTAATATAATGGAATTAAATAAGAGATCAAGATTAGTAGACATTTTTAGGTTAAAAAAATATATAGTAAAAGCACTGGAAAATTAGTAGCTTATAGTCTTAGGATGGGTATTAGCCCTTTCTGTCTTTTGTGTTCTTCCTTGTCTGTCTTTAAGTCTATGGTTCATTGTTTAAAAAATCTTTCCCTTATAAGTGCTCAAACCCTTTGTTTTTCTCCTGTCAATTTGAAAGTATTCACTTTTCAAAACTAAACTGTTTAAAACTCTTCTCATTAAGACATCTCCTACTGCTTCTGAGATATTTTATTCTCCTGGTTTTTTTTTTTTCTGTTGGTTGTATTTGCTTGTGCTTCATCATCAAGAAACTCTAGTCTCTGTCCTCAGCAATGTTTTTTGTTTTTTGTTTTTTGTTTTTTGTTTTTGTGCTTGCCAGGCAGGCACTTGTGCCGCTGAGCTAAATCCCTGGCCCACGGCTTTTCTTTATCTCTACCCATTTCTTAGATTTTTCCTATTGTTAAAGAATGTCTTTATGCTAATTACTTCTCAAATTGTTATCTTTAAACTGAATATCTCCTTTGAGCTCAGATTATTAATGTCTTGGCTTTCTTAAATATAAAAAAAGTTTACATAAAATAAAACACTTATAAACTGTACTCAACAAAAACTGTTATCAGTTGGATTCAGACAGTTTCAGGACCTTCAGGTTCCTTATAACTGTTGGTAACAGTAGCTTTGTATGTACATAGAATTAAGAGGGATAGGATAATAGAATGCCTTGAAATAAATTTTTAACTTTACAGTGAATATGCCATGAAGCAGATACTATTTGAGGAAGATTTTTTTTGTGTTCTTTTCATGTGTGCTGGTAGAATCATAGTTGGCTGGGTTTTTTTGTTTTTGTTTTTGTTTTTTGCTTTTGTTTTCTGATTGTGTTTTTTCCCAATTGTTGGAACAAAGAAATTGTATGGTGCTATGCATGAACCAGATGGGGTGGCTGGAGTGAGTGCAATTCGAAAAGCGGAACCATCTCTGAAAGAACAAATCCTTGAACATGAAAGCATTGGTTTGCTGAGGGATGCCACTGCTTGTTATGACAGGGCTATTCAGCTGGAACCAGACCAGGTAAGGTGATGACTGATAAGTAGGAAACCGAAAACTTTACTTTCAATACTGTCTTAGCCAGTTTCATAGTATATGGTATCTGGAAAATACTTAACCAACTCAGTTTCTTTACTAGCAAAATAAGGCACTTATACTAGATAATCTAAAAATCCCCTTCCAGTGCTAAATCTCTATGACATTAGCAACCTCCCAAATCATTGAGATTTATTTTGCAGTATATTTACATCACAAGTCTAGTAATTAGAACATAATGTAATTTTAGTTTGGTATTAAAAGTAAAAACTGTAGGCCAAGTTTGGTGACCACACTCTTATTGTAGCACTCTGGGGAGCCCTTAGGCTAGAGGATTGGAAGTACAAAGCCAGCTTTAGCAAATTTGTGACTGAGACCCTATCTCAAATAGAAAGGGTGGGAAACTAGGGTTGTAGCTCAGTGCAAAAGTTCTGGGTTCAATCCCCAGTGCCAAAAAAAAAACCCAAAATCATGTAATTTGTACATTTATTTTTGATAATACTAGCGAAAAATAGTAGCACACATCTGTAATCCCAGCACTTGAAAGGCTGAGGCAGGAAATTAGTTGCAAGTTCAAGAACAGTCTGGCCTACATAGTGAGTTCAAGCTAGCCTAAACTAAGTAGCAATCAGAGCCTGCTCAAAAATCAAAAACCAACACAAAAAATATTAGTAATGCTGATTCTTTACAACCTTAGAAGCTTTCATGTTTCACACACACATGTACTACACTTACCTAGCTAGAAAATTGAAATGATTGATTACAATCATTGAGCTAATGATAGTAAATTATCTTCTGGGAGAAGAAAGGAATTTAGGAATCACTGATATGTAATCCTTGTTTATTAATTTATAATCTTGATTGATGGATTGACAGTGTTAGATAATCTGTCAAGGTTTTGCTTTTGAAAATACCTGATGTACTTTTTTCCTCAAAAGTTCAATACTATATAAAGCCTTTATTTTTCTCAATCTTGTTTTCAATTTTAAACAATATTGTACAATTCTATTTACCATTCTTTTTACTTACTAAAGCTGAGTATATAAATAATATTGTAATCCTTGCATTTAAGTTTTTAGAAATAGGACAAATAATCTTTAAAATTTTAAATATATTATATAGCTTTATACTTATTATATTTGATCCAGCCCATAAATTAGAAAAAATCTGGAGTAATATAATAAATTAAAACTGAGATTTTTAAAAAGTTACCTTCATTTTTTTCTGTTAGTTTAAGTGTATTAGGACAGTAGGAGGAGAGGAAAAGGCTGTGCTATCAGTTCAGGCAAGCTGGTTGTTAAAAAGACGTAAGCACAATGAGGTAAATAATATCAGTTAAACTGTGGTTCCCAAGATGAATTTAATGTGATAATTGCTGTCTCAAATATTTTTAAATTTACAGATCATTCATTATCATGGTGTAGTGAAGTCAATGTTAGGTCTTGGTCAGCTTTCTACTGTAATCACTCAGGTGAATGGAGTGCATGCTAACAGGTAATATTTTATAAAAGAATGATTTTTTTCTCTGTGTCTGATTAGGGACTTTTTAATTTGTATTTTGGGCAAATTAATGCCTCCTAAAGTAATGAGTGTTTCATACATTTCCTCAGTGTTGGAGATAAATAATAAACTTTGTTTTCTACTTTTTCTTAAGTCAGTAGACCACTTAATTTCTTTTTTTCTCTCTCAAGAATCATGTTTGAATTAGATTTTCCTTAACACTAAAAGCTTCCAGAACCTCCCTGCCACCAGGGTCACTCATTAGGACACATTTTGGGATCCAAAAGCATTTGTACGCTGCCTATAGTTCTGGTACCAGTTATGCTCTGTAGTATTTTAACATTAAAAAAAATAGTAAGTCATTTGTTATATTTTCATGTTACTTTTACTACAGGAAGAAGAAGGAAGATTTTTAAGGATATTGATACCAGCCTCTGTGGGCCCTTTTGTATTTTTATAATATGAATGTATGCATGCTGCATGCACTGTTACTAGATAATTAAATAGGAAATTGTGCCTAGGCCAGGTTCTAGTTTATAATATATATAGTATTTAGTTATTAATCAAATGATATTATTAATAAAGAAATACAAACAAAGTCAGTTGCTTCTATGCAATCATGATCTAAAATATCACTGTTTATCCTAGTGTCACCTAAACAAAATCTGTGGGGGAGAAAAGTAGCCTCATAGCTGAGCATGGTAGTGTGCATCTGTAGTCCCAGCCCTAGGAAGGCTGAGGTAAGAAGAGGATTACTGGAGCCTAGGAATTTAGGGCAACATAATGGAAGCCTACCTGTGTTTTTTGGGGGATTTTTTGTTTGTTTTTGTTTTTGTTTTTGTTTTGAGGCAGGAGCTTGCAGGTTGATTGGGTTGTTCTCAACTCCTAATAAGTAGATTTAGCCTCCCTAGTGCTGGGATTATAAGCCTGCACCACCATGCTTGGAGCATTTGCAACTTTCTTATACCCTTGGTGTAAAGTAGCCTATAGAGCCCTCAACTGTCCCCTACCCACAACTATGGCTTCTCTATTTTTATATTAAGTTTAGTTTAAAATCCTAAATTATTAGACCTACTATCTGTTCCTCCCATGCTCTTTATTCAAGTTAAGCACACAGATAATTTGTCAGTGGACTATGTTATTATCCAGTAATTAATTCTGTTCTTATATATAGTACAACTTAATTTGTGGATAGTTCTATCAAAAAATAGTTATATTAATAAAAATGGTTTTGAAATATTAAAATCTTATTTCTGGATAGTGATAATTACTATACATTGAAATACAAAATAAAATACAATACAAATATAGTAAATAAAAATGGACGCAATCAAAATATCTGAGCCAATGAAAAAATTTACCACTTTTAAATAAATTAATATGTAGCTTATATAATTTTCTTTAATAGGTCTGAATGGACAGATGAACTAAATACATACAGAGTGGAAGCAGCTTGGAAATTGTCACAGTGGGATTTGGTGGAAAACTATTTGGCAGCAGGTGAAATACTTCTTAAAATATAAGGAATTTTAATTTGTCATATATATTCAGACAAGTAATTAGCAGCGTTCATAATTAATCTCTTAGCTTGTTTTAATTTTGCCTGTTTCATTGTTTGAAGTAGAGTAATGGTTCAGTATTTTTGCAGACCATTTTATCAAATGAAGTAAAGCTGGCTTTTAGACCCATCTACCATGGCATTTCTTGACTGTCCATTTGATTTTCAGATGGAAAATCTACATCATGGAGTGTCAGACTGGGACAGCTACTATTATCAGCCAAAAAAAGAGATACCACAACTTTTTATGACACATTGAAACTGGTGAGAGCAGAGCAAATTGTACCTCTTTCAGCTGCAAGCTTTGAAAGAGGCTCTTACCAACGAGGATATGAATATATTGTGAGGTATTTGGGGGCTCCCATTTTTATATTAATGATCTATAAATGTCACCTAATGAGTAAATAATTGTAATAATATGTGTGGTATATTGTTGAGGTATGCAAAATGGCTCTGTAGTCTTTTTACCTATTGTTTTTTAAAACAAATTTTTTAACCTACATCCTTTAATTATGGGACTAATAAAAATGTAAAAAGATACTCAACCTCTTATAATATATCATAGTTTACTTTCGGTATAAGTAACGTAAATAATCTAGACATCTATGTACTTTCCACACAGGAATTTAGTACTTAACTGGTTCCCTTTCCTTATTATTCACAAATACATTACACACACACAGACACAAGAAGGCACTGTATTGCCAGAAAAAAAAATACTAACTTTTAGAGATGAGGAAGAAAATAGTGGAAATTTTAGGTCTCTTAACTCACTTGTGTCAAAAATGATGTTTTGTAATTGAACTATGATAAATTTAAAATTATATCAAGCCCCTTTGGTTGACATCCTAATGAAACCAGAAATTGAGCCATTGAATTTGTCTAAGTTTTGACTGATCAGCAATATCCTTATGCATTGCATAATGAGTCATAGACATTGAATATTACATAAAGGAGGGGAAGTTAGTGTGAATATATTACCATTTCCATGAAAAAAATTAAAACTGTGTTCATTTCACAATTTTTATTGACAGATGTTGTGCCAGGCTCTTTTACAACACCAATAGCATGCAATTATTTTATGTTGATTTATAATGGATTTATATTAAAATTTTCATGTAGATAATAAAGTTCAAGTTCTGTACATTTCTATTTGAGAAAAAAGTTTATACATTTATGTTTAGACTTACATGCTATTCTTAATATAATTCATAAAAATTTGGGAATCACAGTAAAGGACTAAATATTTTAACTGACATAAATTGGTGTTTAGACTCAATTTGAAATCAAACTTATCAGTGTTACTGGTTATATAGTAAAATTATATACTGAAATTATGCCAAAGAAATTGCACATTCGTATTCTTCATGGCTAATTTGAAATATATGCTTTATGTAATACAAATCTATGAGATTAATAAGACTGAATATGATAACATTTTAACATGAGCTCTCTCTGTCTTCAGATTGCACATGTTGTGCGAATTGGAGCATAGCATCAGACCACTGTTTCACCAGTCTCCAGGTGATAGTTTTCAAGAAGATTCTCTAAACTGGGCAGCTCGACTAGAAATGACCCAGAATTCCTATAGAGCTAAGGAACCCATCCTCGCTCTCAGAAGGGCTTTACTAAGCCTCAACAAAAGGTTTTCATATTACTTTTTAAACTGTCAAATATCTTGAATTTAGTGTTTGGAAACTACAGTATTTGATCATATTTTTATTTCCTAATTTTGTGTCTGATTGTGTTTTTCTGTTTTCAATCCTTTATGCCATAATATATAATTGCAACAAATCTAGATCTTAGAAGAATCAACTTTATGTTATTTATCTTTTGAATGTTAAAAGAAGTCTCTGAACAAATCTTCATAAATTTATGAGAAATAAATGCAGCACTATAAAAACATTAAAATCAGGATTTTTAAATCAAATAGATCACTGGTTCTGTGTTGGGCAGAGATGTTTTAGTTAAGTTGATAAATACCAACAAATACTGATAAATGCTCTTTTTTTCTTGCCTTTAGACCAGATAACAGTGAAATGATTGGAGAATGCTGGCTACAGAGTGCCAGAGTAGCTAGAAAGGCAGGTCACCACCAAACAGCCTATAATGCTCTCCTCAACGCAGGAGAATCACGACTTGCCGAACTGTGTGTGGAAAGGGCAAAGTGGCTCTGGTCCAAGGTAAAGACCAAGGGAATTTCATGAGATAAATCTATTCTGTTAAGAGTTATGCACTTACTATACTATGGAGGTGCAACTGAGAGAAGATACCTGACCCCAATTTAGATTTTTTTCTCTGTCACTTTTCTTCTTGATTATATCTACTGTAGTCTGGAAGAAATTGTTTCTTAAACAAGAATTCAAGTGCTTTCTCATGTCAAGTCTATAATTATATTTTGTAGCTGGGGACTTAGCTCAATGGCGCAATCGTGAGGTTGTGAGTTCAATCCCAGGTACCAAAAAAAATTTTTTTTTGTTTTGTTTTATTTTCTTTTCATTTTTCATCTCCTCTACATTTTCCTAGAGGAAAATAACCAGTTCTTTATTTTTACCTTGTATCTAACACTTAACACTGGTCTCTCTTTCCATACTCTACTTTTCTAAGAAAGACTTTATTGCAGGATACGTATATTAGGCACTCAATAAATATTTAAATATCTGAACCACTTGTAAAATTAATGTCCCATATTTAATGGTTATTACTTACATGTCTTCTCATGCTTGGCACCAGTTTAGAATTAGTAGGAGGCATAGTACATTGATCAGCTTTCCCATTGCTTAGATGAAATGCCCTATAATTTGAAGAGAAGAATTTTAATTTGGCTTAGTTTCAGCCCATGGTTGGCTGGTTCCAAGCAGAAACATGATGATGAAGGACATGGTAAAGCAGAGCATGTTGAAAAGAGTGCCACTGTAAAGAACTCTCCAGAGCATACCTGCAGTGAGTCACCTCCAACTGGCCCCATCTCCTAATGATAACATGCAGCAATGAATATCCCTGGGTAAATCTGCTGATAAGTTAGCACCTCCACGATCCAGTTACCTCTCCAGGAGTTTATTAATGTAGTCAAATTGACAGTGTTCACTTGCCCACATATCATGTTCTGAAATTGAGACTTGATAGCTATAATTGAAGCTACTTGTGATTGTACCAACGTCATGGTAGCTGAGAAAAGTTAGGGGAGGAAGGGCTGGGGATTTAGCTCAGCGGCATAAGCGCCTGCCTTGCAAGCAGACAGTCGTGAGTTTGATCCCCGGTACCGATAAAAAAGAAAAAAAAAAAAGTTAGGTGAGGAGATTATTTCCTGGGTTCATGTGGAAGGTATTAATTCACCCTGCATTAGTTGATATCTGCCCATAGTATGAGCTAGTGCCAGACTGCTATATATTGCTTATATTCAGTAAGTCGTTGTCTGATACTTATTAACTATTTCTCTATCCATAATCTCTACTTTTCCGAGACTTTATTCCATCCTCTCATCTAAAGCAGCTGTGTGCTTAAGCTCCTTCTTCACCCTCTCTTTCTATATCTAGGTGAACAGTTAAGTCTCTTTTCCTTTGTCCTTTTATATTTTTCTTGAATAGTCTCCTTACTTATTTCTACTGCTTTAATTCATACTTTGTATTTACAGCCTCTATAAATATTAACAACCTTTTAGTTTCTCTCAAAGACTTTTACTACAGTCTGAAATCTTTCAAAAATACTGTGAAACATGTTACTTCAAAAAGATTAAATCAAAGTATTCTTACAATTAAGAGTGAGTCTGAACTCTATAAAATACATATAAGCCCTTTCTGATTATGTGTCATCCCAAATTCAGCTTCATTCATCATTAACTCACAAATACTTTAGCCTTCAGCTAAGTCCAGACTACAGATGCTTACTTGACTTATGATGGGGTTTCATCCCAATAAATCCATTATAAGTTGAAAGCATCTTAAGTCAAAGAGTGTTTAATAAAACTAACCTACTGATCATAAGTCATACACTTTTGTATTTATTTTGTTTTTAAAGTTTTGTCCTATAGTTCAGAGTGGTCTGGAGCTCTGTGTATAGCACAGGTTGGTCTTAAACTCACTTTCTCCTGCCTCAGCCTCTTGAATGCTGGAATTACTGGCATGCACTATGTCTTGGTTACTTTTCTCTTGTTGCTGGGACAAAACAATTGACATCCAAAATGAAAGAAGGAAAGGTTTATGTAGCTTACAGTTTTTAGAATTTCAGTGCATTATCAGCTAGCTCCAAGTCAGGGTGGCATGGCACTGGGGCAATACTTCAAGGCGGCAGCCAGAGAAAAAAGGGGGAAAATAAGCCTCTTCTCCTTCCAGGGCAGGTGTAGCACTCACAAAAGCACCTTGCCCTCCTTTGCACAGGTTGAGGATATTTACAGATTAAGAACCCTCGCTTCCTACAGCGTGTCTCAGTTAAACTTCTAAACTTCTCAAGTCTTAAATGAATTGTACTGTGGCATATTGTTCTCTTTTTTAGTTGTTATTTTCTTACTGTACCTTATTTATAGATTAAATTTTTATTCTAAGTATATACATATGGGAAAAAACATATATAGAGAGGTTGATATTATTCGTAATTTCAGACATCTTCTGGGAGTCTTGGAATATATTCCTACAGATAAGGGGGAATAGCAAAGTATCAGTTATTTGCTTTCTTGCTTACATGCAGTCCATGAGCTGTGACTGATTGCCACTGCCCAGTGACACAGGATGGTATCCCACGCCAGCCCAGGACAAGATCTGAATTCAAAGTATTTGCATAGCAGAGGAAACAACCAACAGAGTGAAGAGCTGACTTACAAGATGAGAAAAAGGTTTTGCCAGTTACTCCTCACATAAAGGGCTACTATCCAGGATATATAAAGAATTCAAAGTTATATTTTCCCCCCTCAAATTTAAAGAACCAAAACCCCAGTCAGGCGCAGTGATAGTGTACACATTGTGCACTGTCATCCCTGTATCATTCACCCAGAGCACAAGACATCTGCATTCAATTGTTGGAACAACACTGGCACAAATCTTTCTCTTCAGTGACTTCGAGAAGTCAGTAGTATAACTTTCTTAACTATCCTTTATATATATATATTCATACACATATGTTGTTTCTTTCAACTTCTCACACTAATGAGACAATACAATAAACTCAATATATAAAGTACAAAATAAAAGACAGAAATAGGAAAAATACAGAAAAAAGTTATTGTAGTCCAACATGGACAGTGTATCTAAAAGTGTACCTTGATTTAATAAAATTGTCTTATATGGTTTTTTTGAAATCATTTTTGTCCTAGTCTGGCTGTTAAACTGTATGTATGATAATTAACTTTATAAGGACTTACAAATAAATTAAGCTGATTAAATTTTCACCATGAAACTTTGGTAAAAAAGTAAATTTAAAGTATGGCTTCTGCAAGATGTGTGTGATTTTTGTACCCTTGAAAAGTCAGAAAAAGCAGCCAAGTGTGGTGATGCACATCTGTAATCCCAGCACTTGGGATGTTGAGGCAGGAGGATAGCTGCAAGTTCAAGGCCAGCCTGAAATGTATACTGAAACCTGTCTCAAAAAGACAAAACAACCACCCCAAAAAGAGTCAGAAAATTCTAGGTGGAAACTATCTTAAGTTGGAGACTATCTGTACTTTCTTTCTCACAATTAAAATTACTTCTACATAGACTATCTTTAATTTAGTTCTTTTCCAAGAAGATTTCTGCTCACTTTTTAATACTTAATTCAGATTTTATCCCATTGAAAATCTTTCCTGATTTCTAGTACCCTCCATTTTTTTTGTATGTTCAGGTACATTTAGTTATGTGTATTCCCCTGTGATAGCATGTTACACAAGGTGTTATTTTAACGAGTATGTTTCCTTGCTATGAAGTTTTTAAGCCAGAGACTTAATTTATGATTGACATTCCAATGTTTCCATATTTCTTTAGTTTTTCTTGTACTTCAACTATATATATATATATATATATATATTTTTTTTTTTTTTTTTTTTTTTTTTTTTTTTTTTTTTTTTTTTTTTTGTCTTTTTCCTTTTTATCGGTACCAGGGATCGAACTCACGACTGCCTGCTTACAAGGCAGGCACTTATACCGCTGAGCTAAAACCCCAGCCCCTGTACTTCAACTATAAAATGAATAAGAATCATGTATGAAATGAATCAATGCTTTTTATAATTTTTCTTTGATAAGTGGGTAATGAGCTTGGTGTGGCACATACCTATAATCCCAACAGTTAAAAGAGTTAAGGCAGGAGAATCACTGGGAGCAAGCAAGACCTTGTATCAAAAAAAACCAAAAACGGGGCTGGGGATTTAGCTCAGTGGCATAAGCGTCTGCCTTGCAAGAGCACCGTTGTGAGTTTGATCCCTGGTACCAATAAAAAAAAAAAGGCAGGTAATAAAAGATAAGCATCAAATTACAAACAGATTTGTATTTTGTATCTAAATATATGTAATGATCTTTAAAGTCCAATAATTTTGCTTTTCAGAAAATAAGAATATGTTATTAAATTAAAAGGCTTGTTATTATTGCCTTTTTTTCTTTTTCTTTTTTTAGGGTGATGTTCACCAAGCACTTATTGTTCTTCAAAAAGGTGTTGAATTATATTTCCCTGAAAATAAAACCCCAACTGAGAGTAAGAACATGTTAATCCTTGGTCGAGCTACACTATTAGTGGGCCGATTCATGGAAGAAACTGCTAACTTTGAAAGCAATGCAATTATGAAAAAATACAAGGTGAGTATATAACTAATATAATTTCATTTAGAAATCCAGTGAATCCATTTTGCTTTTGAAATTGGATATATTGATTTTTCAAGTATGTATGGAAGATATATAAGTAGAAAACCAGTAGAGCAGTTGGCTAGAACGTGCAGGGCAGACTAAGAAAAAGTTAAATGAATTCCTGTTCACATAGGAATCTCCCTGAGTTTTTGGCCAAATACCAGATTACAGGATTAAGAGTTATCAATTCACCAGGCAAATGGATGGAGCATTCAGTAGAGAGACCTTAAAGAGGTCTCACTATAGATAAGACTAAATTAGCCCTACACTAAAAACTTTTGCACGTCTACCCTAGAATAACATTAAAACAAGCTTTTAAATGATAAAGCTGATTTCCAAGTAACTTTGCTGCTTGCCAGTTCAAATTGTAATACCCAGGGGCTGGGGTTTTAGCTCAGTGGCATAAGCACCTGCCTTGCAAGCAGGTGGTCGTGAGTTCGATCCTGGGTACCGTTAAAAAAAAAAAAATTCAAACTATAATACCCTTTAAAACAGTACTACAAAATCTAAAACTTAACAACAAAATGATGTGGGTCTAGCATCTAATAAAACAATCACTCGAGTCAAAGCAGGTGACAGACATGGCTAATCTTCAGATCTGCAAATGTTGAGTTCTAAGCAAAAGATATAGTAGGAGTCCACTGCCTACTCCCTTGTACACAAGAAGATCTTGAGCCATCTAAGAAACTAAGCTTGCTTTGCATCAAATATTGGACTAAAGAGTCTTGATGTGGTGTAGATACTGAAGCCGTACTTACAAATTTTATTTTATGTAAAGGGAGATTGTCTAGCTTGGTGTGGTAATACTTATCTGTAAGTAATCTCTGGGAGGCTGAGGCAAAAGGATTGCACGTTCAAGCCCAGCCTGGGCAATTGAGTGACATACCTAGGCTCTGCCTCAAATAAAAAAAGATTATTTTAAAAGGGCAGTGAGGGGCTAGGGATTTAGCTGTGGCATAAGTGCCTGCCTTGCAAGTGCGTGGTTGTGAGTTTGATCCTTGGTACCGATAAAAGGGGGGGGGGCAGTGATACAACTCAGTGTGGATGTCCTAGGGTCAGTACCCAGTAGTAGGTGTGTAAGAGTGTCATTTGAATGTGTTTTAAGGCATATTATCTGAGGAACAAAGAAATTAACCAATACAGTAAAGTATGATAGCAGACACCCCAGATCTCCCATTTCTGCCTGGGTTGAAGGAGAGAGATACCTCTTCATACCAACTCTTCCAGTTCTGATTACTTTGGGTACATCCCCAATTCCTATCACAACAGTTTGAGTAGCCCTTTTTGTGTGCCTATTGCCTACATAACATGTAGACCAAAAAACTCAGAGAAAGACTAAAGGCACACTACTATAGTACGACATGGAAGTGAGGGACTGCAGTTGTTATGATTCCGTTTGTATGAAATAGCTAGAATATGCAAATTCATAGAGACAGAAAGTAGATTAATGGTTGCCAGAAGCTAGGGATTATATATGGAAAGCAATGACCAATTTGCAGGGGTTTTTTTTAATGATGAAAATGTTCTGGAATTAGGTTCTGAGAAACCTTCATTAAAGAAACTATTATAAAGCAAATTTAAATGAGTAAACTTTATAGTGTATGAATTACAGCTCAAAAGAACTTGTTTTTAAATCATTCAAATGAAATTTCTTGTTCATTTTTTATGTGAAATCCTTTACATGAAAAAAGTGTATCTGAAATGAAAAGTACTTAATATTCAAAACTGAAACTCTTACTGCTATGGGAATGAAAAAGTTAACATACATACTTACTAAGTGACAAATCATGTAATCTTTAACTCTTACCTTACTACCTTAAGGTACTTCAAAGTGAATTGTACACCTAAACTGAAAAGCTACAATTACAAACTTCTAGATTAAAAAATAGAAAGAAATCTTTATAACCTTAGGTTAGGCAAAACTTTCTTAGATCACACAAAGGATTAACTACATTAAAGAGAAGCTAAAAAATTAGTTTCCATCAGAGTTAAAACTTACTATAGAAAAGACACTCAACAAGATGAAAAGCAGATAGATTGGAAGAAAATATAGTGTGCGTTTGTCTAATGAATTTTATTCAAATTATGAAGAAATCTAAATTTGTTAAGACAAAACAGCTCAATTTAAAGATCTGCCCAAGTTTTGCCAAAGAGTACATATTAATGGTTAAAAAGCGCATGAAAAGGGGGCTGGGGATTTAGCTGAGCGGCATAAGCGCCTGCCTTGCAAGCATGTGGCCATGAGTTCAATTTCCGGTACTGATAAAAAAACTTAAAAAAAAAAACCACCTCATGAAAAGACATCACTAATGAGGAAAATGCAAATTTTTAAAATCAAAGTGGAATCCACTTCTCATGTCAATAGTTGCCTGGTTAGTGGGTCGGAGAAGATTGGTATGCTTAAGTATAAAAATTATATTGAAGGAAATTATGCTTCAGTAAAAATTTAAAACATCTTTTTTAGAATAGCATCAGAAATATGAAAGACCTCAGATTAAATTACATGAGACCTCTATAGAAAAAAACTTAAAATATTATTTGTGAAGTTTTAAAAGACCTAAATAAATGGGATTGTACCATACTTATGGATATGACAATAATATAAAGATGTTATTTCTATACAAATTGACCTAGGTGTTTAATTCAGTTCTTATCAAATGCTAACCTGTAATTTATGTAGAACTTTTATGTGGCCTGTGCCTGTAATGCCAGCAGTAGGGAGGCTAAACCAAGAGGACTGCAAATTTTACGCCATCCTGAACTATAAAGTAAGACTCTGTCTAAAAAAAATAACTTAAAAAATGAAATTTATGTAGAAATTCAAAGACTGAGAATAACCAGAAACATTTTTTTCTTTCACACTTTTATTTTTTTGTTTTTATTTTGAAAAAATTCCAAACTTAAATATTAAGTTGCAGAAACAGAGAATTCCCATATCTACCCTTTATACATTTTTCCTAATTTTAGTATCATATACAACAATAGTACAATGACCAGATCTAAGAAATTAATATGATACAGTACTACCATATGTGGTCAGTGATGTTCTAATTCAGGACCTCTAGCAGTATTAGTTACATTTTCTTAATCTATTGTTAGCTACCCAAGACACACTTTACAATACTGTATGAAATTGGGTGCAATCAGAAGATAGGTGACAAATCAAAAGAATTGAGAGTTTAATGAAAAAGTAGGTTAAAGGAAATCAACAATGGATGGTAAACTACCCTATTTCTAGCAATAGCAGGAAACCTTGGCACATGTAAATCTGAAAGATCAGTAAGAGAGAACATTTACTGGGATCTGTAAAAAGATCTGTTTTTTAGGAAGGGGCCTTCAAATTAGAACCTAATCTTGAGGAAAGAAATAAATCTACTGTCAGCTGTATCCTAGCAGGAGCAAATAGAGTAGAAATGGCTGAGGATTTAGCTTAGTGGCATAAGCATCTGCCTGAGAAGTGCAAGGTCATGAGTTCGATCCCTGGCACCAAAATACAAGAAAACAGAGTAGAAAGACTTTGAACTTACTGTCTTCCTGTCCACTAACCTGTTATAATTTTCCATTTTCTAAACCTCACAGGAAACTAGAGAGCAAACAAACTCACTGATATAAATCATCAATGTCAATTTCTGGGCCCCTGAGCAGGATTAAAAGCCTAAAGGATGGCAAGTATATTTGTAGGGTGGAATAGAGTAACCAGCATAGTTATCAAGATTTACTGAGAACTATAAGGGCTGGGGATTTAGCTCAGCAGCATAAGTGCCTGCTGGGCAAGCGTGAGGTCATGAGTTTGATCCCTGGTACAAAAAAACTAAACTAAACTAAAAAACTATAGTGATTAAGATGGCAGTGTTAAAAAAAAGAGAAGATGTCTATGTATTCCTCAAAAGTTGAGAAATAAACCAATAGAACAGAACAGAGAGCCCAGATAGATTTCAGTTGGCATTATAGGGTAAGAAAATACAGTATTTTCAATAAATGTTTTGTCTTTTGAATCAGGAAAATGCTGTATTATTTGGATCATCTTACTGGGAAAAAATATCAAACTTGATCCCTTCTTCATACAAGAAACAAAAATGACCTTCAGTTACTTAGTTGGTCTAGGAGAGAACTTTTTTTTTTGCAGTGGTAGGGATTAAACCCAAGGCCTTCATACTGTGCTGTATCTCCAGCCCTTTAAAAAATTACTTAAAGCAAGGCCTCACTAACTTGCCTAGCTTGAGTTCAAACTTGTAATCCTCCTCTCTCAAACTCCCAGATTGCTGGGATTGCAGATCTACACCTCCATGCCAGCTGAGGACTTCTTAAACATACTGTAACACTTGACCATAAGTAAAACATCTACCAGGGCTAGAGGTTTAGCTCAGTGGCATAAGCACCTGCCTTGGAAGCAGGCAGTCGTGAGTTCGATCCCCGGTACCGATAAAAACGAAAAAGACCAAAAAAAAAAAAAAAAAAAAAAAGAAAGAAAGAAAAACATCTGCTTATCAGAAGATTAAATTACAAGTAAGGTACAGATAATAGATACTTGTATTACATCTAAATGATAACAGGTTTATGTCCACAATATACTGTGACCCAGTATGTCCCTACAAGATGTGTTTGAGAAAGTATATAGCATCATTATTTCTGGATTTTATATTGGAAGTAAAAGATCGATTAGTTACAGAATGGATAAAATTTTGTGTGATGCTGTCATGAAATGTAGCAAATTAAAGTCATATGCAACAGTTTGAACTGTGTATCAGCCTTATACTTTTGATCCTCAATCATCTATTCATACTTAACTTCCCAGTGTAGTGTGAGACATTCTTAAATAGTTGCGTTGTCTTTATTGTAGGATGTCATCTTGTTCCTACCAGAGTGGGAAGATGGACATTTTTACCTTGCTAAGTACTATGACAAATTGATGCCCATGGTAACAGACAACAAAATGGAAAAGCAAGGTGATCTCATCAGGTATATAGTTCTTCACTTTGGAAGGTGAGTGTGAGAACTGCTTGTCTGCAAATTAAGTATGTCAAGATGACCTTTACCATATAACTTAGCGTATTCAAGATGTTTTCTGCTTTATTATTAATTCAGTCTATCACTTCTTATGAAATAGAAATTATTCCCTGGGTGCAATTTTTTCTTCCCTTTAAAAAAAAACTTAAAAAAAAATAAACATTTAAAATAACTGTTAGTGGAAAAATAATACATTTAAAAGACTTTAATACAGAGAATATGTAATAAAAGTTGTCCTTTCATTCCAGACCCTGTTCTTTCAAGTCCCCAACCATAGACTATAGATATTTAATGGTTAAATTACAATGAAATGTTTTCTTCTAGTCCATTTCTGTGAGAACTAGTGTATAAGAAAATAATTTTGACATTACACTAGAGAAAGAGCTTATTCTTAAACTAGATAGCAAGTGAAATTTTACTTAATTTCAAATATCAGTGTATTATAGTCAAGTAGTTTATTGTGTTGTATCACGCTTACTATTTAAGTTTGCATTATTATTAATTCCTAAGTAATGATAATGACATTTGATAGGTTAGCAATTCAGATGTATTTATCTAAATAGCCGAGTTTATCTTGAGTAGCTGCTTGTTTTTGCTGATTAAGTATAAATGTTTGCCCTCAAGGAGCTAAAGTTTAAAAAGAGAGAGAAGTCTTCAGTACATAAAACATTTAAATAATAGTACATTTTAGAATAGGTGAGCAGATACCAAAATACTATAAATATCACATACTTTTCTAATGTTACAGAATGATTGTTGGTTGAAGAAAGAGGAACAGAGAATTAGTGTTTAATGGTATCAAATTTCAGTTTAGGAAGATAAAAAGCTCTAAAGATGGATAGAGTTGATAGTTGCACAATAATAACATGTAACAATTTGAATACACAACAATGTAAAATTTGTTATATCCATTTTATAAAATAGAATAATTTTTTGATAAAGTAAGCTGATGGACAGTCTTCAGAAATGTTATAGTAAGGAGAAAACGTGAGTAATTTCACAGATTTAATAAGAAACAAGATTGAGGAGCTGGGGATTTAGCTCAGCGGCATAAGCACCTGCCTTGTAAGCAGGTGGTCGTGAGTTCAATCCCTGGTACCGGTAAAAATGAAAAAGACCAAAAAAAAAAAAAAAAAAAAAAAAAGAAACAAGATTGAATGGTTTGCTCACAGAGTGGTAAAGAAACTACTTGAGGCAAAGTATGTACTGGTGAGTATGAGAGGAAGATTGGAAAATTACAGAGGAACAAGATTGTGCATATTTGATTCCAAGGCAGTATTTCATATATTCTATAGCTTGTCCCTTCCTATTTTTGAACAGGGGAAAGCATGATGGCCTGAATTTCAGGAATATTAGTCCATTATCTGTCAAAGGGAAGAAATGAGAAATTGGGGTGACCAACTTGTTATGATTTCCAAGAAAAATAATTATGGACCTAACCTAACCTTATGGCCATGACATAAAAATGAAGACACAGACTATAAGGACAATTTTAAGGGATTGACAGGATTGACAGGACTAGCTCTGATCTTTTGTAATTTTTTGTAGAGGCCATGTAAATCTACGAATATTGCCAGGCATGGTGGCATATACCTGTAATACTAGCACTTGGGAGGCAGAGGCAGGAGGCATGCCTATAATACTAGCAGTTGGGAGACTGAGGCTCCTCTTGAACTACCAAAAAGGAAAAAAAAAAAGAGAGAGAGGGGCATCAAAAATAGCCTCTACTAGGAAAAAATATTGACAACATGTTTGTCAGAGAATACGTATAACTGAATTGTTCATTTTGAAAAAAATTTTAGTTCATAACATAAAAATGACTACTATGCTAATAATATTTTTTATCTATATAATTACAGATCACTACAGTATGGAAATCAATTCATATATCAGTCAATGCCACGAATGTTATCACTATGGCTTGATTTTGGTGCTAAGGCATTTGAATGGGAAAAAGGTATAACTCTTGTAAAAAACTGTAAGGGACTAGGAAGAAGTATAACTTTGGTATAGTCATAGCTTCACAGTGTAATTTACTAATGCTGAGAATGTTGGCTTGATAATCTACTTTCCTAAAAGCTATGGGTAGATTTTGAAATGAAAATGCTCTATAAATATAAAAAGGGACTGGAAAGACAAATCATTGTAGTTACAATTCAGCATTTTCAAGTGTGAACCCAGCACATATTAAAAGACGTTTAAGCCAAATAAGTTACCCTAAAAATTACAATGATTGGTAAAAATTATGTTAGCCTTTTTTCTACTTGTACAGTACCATCTATTTTTCACAAATTGGCAAGTGCTGTAGCTTTGGGCATAGAAATAATATGTTTTAAAGCTGTTAAAACAGTTTTGGGCATAGGGAGAGTGGAAGAAGGGGAAGTAAAAAGAACGAAGGTGTGCTTTGTATACAGTACTAATTCCGCATGAGGAATGTAATCATAACAAGGCTGGAGATTTAGCTCAATGGCATAAGTGCTTGTCTGACAAGTGCAAGGTCATGAGTTTGATCTCTAGTAATCATTATATACTGCAACATGTACTAATAAAAATTTTATAAAATTAAGAAAAAAAGAATTTTGCTAGGCATCTTGGCTATTGCCTGTAATCAGCACTCTGGAGTCTGAGCCAAGAGGATCGTGAGTCCAGCTGAGCTATATAGTGAGACCCTGTCTCAAATAAATATGTACATACATACCAATATTTTTCTTCTGTGAAATGAACCAGTACTGTTTGATTTTTTTCCTTACATTTCTAAACTGATTTTTTTTCTAGCTGGCCGTTCTGATCGTGTACAGATGAGAAACGACTTGGCTAAAATAAATAAGGTTATCACAGAGCACACAAATCAGTTAGCTCCCTATCAATTTTTGACTGCTTTTTCACAATTGATCTCTCGAATTTGCCATTCCTATGATGAAGTTTTTGTTGTCTTGATGGAAATAATAGCCAAAGTGTTTCTTGCCTATCCTCAGCAAGCAATGTGGATGATGACAGCTGTGTCAAAGGTAACATTAATCACAAAATGTCTCTTACTGTTTTATGTGGCATTCATTACTTAATGCTAATAGATAAATGAGAGTTCTAGGGTTTTTGGTCCATATTTGGTGAGTAATTCAAATACTTTCTAAAAAGAAATTATGGCATTATACTTCATTTTAATATTGGGAGACACCAGGCATGGTGGCACATGCCTATAATCCTAGCACTAAGGAGGCTAAGACAGGAGAATTACAGTGAGTTCAGGTCAGCCTGGGCTGCATAAATAAGTTCAAGGCCAGTCTGCACATATACATGTATGTATATATACTTGCTCTTTTTTTGCAGGTAACATATTTTTTTTATTTAAAGAAAGATTAAACAAAACAGTAAACAGGTAGATACAATATACACTTTCAAAGAAAAAAATAGTAATAAATCACCAGTTGATGTTTACATATTGTCCTCTTACAAATAATTGTTCAAGATACAAAAGTGGAACATATAAGTGGGAATTCAAACAGATTGCAAATAGTTCTATTCAACTATCCAACAAAAACTTGGTAATATGATTATCCTGTACACTTAAACATATACGCTTGTATAAAAGGAACAAAAATATGGGAAGAGGGAGCAACAAGAAAGGGTCCTCGGCCCCCAATCCTGAGAAACATGCAATATCAGACATGGCACCAATAGACATAAAGCTAAAGCGCTATCTCCAGCCTCATACACGAGTTCAGGAATGAAGTTATTAACGACCGGAAGCAAGATATAAGTAGAATAGTTAGAGAAATGCTAAGCACCGCCCAAGAAAAAACAGATGGTGGAATGGAAGAACATTAAAAAAGGGGAGAATTGTTTGATGGAGAAAATAGAGAAAACATAGAATACGTGAAGCAGGTTCAAAGCGATTACCAGGAAACTAAAAACTCTATCGAAAGCTGGCATAACAGCTTGAAAGAAACGAAGGATAGAACTGGAGGGCAGATTTGTAATATGGGAGCATGAAAAGAAAAGCTTCTTAAAAATAACAAAAAAAAAACGACAATACAAAGGCTAGAAGATGATAAGAGGATCTATAATTTAAGAATTAAGAACATCGGGGGCTGGAGATTTAGCTCAGCGGCATAAGCGCCTGCCTTGCAAGCAGGCAGTCGTGAGTTCAATCCCTGGTACTGATAAAAAGGAAAAAGACAAAAAAAAAAAAAAAAAAGAATTAAGAACATAAAAGAAGAAGTAGGGACACAAACAAATGGACTACAAAAGCTATTCACAAATAATCCAAGAGAATTTCCCTAATTTAGCAAAGGTAAAGATACTCAGATGTATGAGGCATACAGAACCCCAGCCACCTACAACCTAAACAGAGCTACACCCAGGCATATAATAATCAAAATTCCAGAAATCCATTATAAGAACAGAATATTAGAAGTCGTCAGAGACAATAAACAGATCACTTACAAGGGAACACCCATCAGAATTACAGCAGACTTCTCGGCACAAACCATCAAATCACGAAGAGCGTGGGGGGAAATAATTCAAGCTGTGAAAGATAATAACCTCCAGCCAAGATTGATATATCCTGCACAACTGTCCCTAGAAATTGATGGAAAAACAAGGTGCTTCCAGGATAAAGAAGAACTAGGGAAATTTGCAACCACCAATTCAACTCTACAGAGAATAATGCAGGACATTCTAAAAAAGGAAAATGCCAAGATTCCAGAAACTGGCAGAGAGGCCACAATGAATGGAGCAGAAAGCGAAATGAAGAAGACAAACCGACAACAAACGACAGAAAAAGAGCTCAACAGAAATGAGGCAGAAGGGGCTGGGAATTTAGCTCAGCGGCATTAGCACCTGCCTTGCAAGCAGGCGGTCGTGAGTTCGATCCCTGGTAAGGATGAAAAGGAAAAAGACAAAAAAAAAAAAGAAATGAGGCAAAGAAGATCGGATGGTAGGAACAGCTATCTTGGAGAAAACAAGACATCATAATAGCTAGTGCTGATTTAATATCATCTTGTTTTGAAGTCCCATCACACTTGTATTCTGTCTCCATCGGTCTTAAAAGGTTGTATCGACTTGAACAATTATTTCTAAGATGACAATATGTAATCCATTAACTAGTGATTTCCTGCTGTTCATTTTTTTTCTGTAAATCTGTATAACTTGTACCCTTTCTCTGCTTTTTTTTCTTTTCTCCTTAAATAAAATTAAAAAAAAAAGGTATCGTATTGGATTTTATTATATATGATAATATAAGTAAAAACTTTTATAGACAAGGAGATTTTACAGAAACCATTGTTCATTTTCTGTTAATTGGTTCTAAATATCCTGTAATAATGTCATTCTCTTGAATGGTTTTATAGTGTCTTGATATGTTTGACGCTACAGTATATGAAGTTATACTCAAAGATTTCAAGGAAAGAGACACTATGGTAACTATTTTTATGTCAGGGTATCTTGTGGTGAAACTATTTTGCTTAAATGGTTATGTTTTGACCTGCGCTGTTCTGTTGTTATGCCCTCTTTTATCTCAATCCCTTTTTTTTAAATTATTTTTTTTTAATCTTTTTAATTAAGGGAAAAATAAAAAGTAGCAGGATACATTATAGTAATCTACTTTGATTTCCTGGTACATGCCCACATCTTAATTCAACATCCTTTTCTTTTCTTTTTTTTTTTTTGTCTTTTTCATTTTTATCGGTACCGGGGATTGAACTCACGACTGCCTGCTTTCAAGACAGGCGCTTATGCCACTGAGCTAAATCCCAAGCCCCTACTTTAATTTCCTATTAACTTGATTTGAAATCCTATATTGCCCGTACCATCTTGTTTTGACTGATTTTCCCCTATTCTGCTTTGCTTGATAATACCAAGTTCAAAAGTATAGGCAAAACTGTGAAGACAATAAGATTCATTATGATGCCCATTCCAGTTGACTATTATCTTCTTTTAAAGTCCTGTAATGTCTCCAATGCTTTGGTTTTATTCTTTACTGTTTTGTTCAATTTTATTAAAACTGGCAATTCTTCTTAAAATGGCAAGAGGCAGTATGGTAACCATTGTTATCACCTTGTATTTTGTTTTTACATTATCTATTATGTCCATCCTTTTGATTTTACTGACTCTGTTCTGATATGTTGCATCTGGTTTTACTCTCTTCAAAAAAAGTAATAAGAACTGTGGGAATAATAAAACCCAAAATGTGTAACTGTCATTGTACAAAAGAAAAGAAAGTGCTCTAAAGGTTAAAACTGCATATATGTTTAAGTGTATAAGATAGAAAACCATATTACTGAGTTTTTTTGGATCATTGAACAAAACTGTTTGCACTCTCAGTTTGAAAGTCTCCTTTATATGCTTCAATTTTGTAACTTGAACAACTATTTCTAAGATGAGAATATGTAATCTATTAACTAGTGATTTCTTACTGTTTATTTTTTAAATTTTGTGTTACATTTTTATCGGTACCGGGGATCGAACTCACGACTGCCTGCTTGCAAGGCAGGTGCTTATGCCGCTGAGCTAAATCCCCAGCCCCCTGTATATATATTTTCTAAGCATGTTTTCATACTGAATTTATATCACATTGAAGTATAATTTTATGTTTTTCACTTACAATATCTCTATGTCACCAAATATTCTTTCAAGACACATTTTTAGACATAAAAAATTCCAAAGTAGCTATATTCAGTTGTTCATTAGATTATTTGTATTTTTTTTGCTGTTGTAACACAGGTGAGTAAATCTGAGTTTTTTCACATTTCTCATTATTTCTTCAGTGTAAATACCAAGAAGGGAATTCATCAGTTTGTAGAGTACTTACATTTTTATGGCCCTTAATGGTATTACCAGGTTGATTTCCAAGAATTTTATGCCAATATAAACACTCATCATAAGTATTTTTTCAGTTGGCATTTTTCAATCAAGTTTTCAACTTTCTAAGTCTTACTGCAATTCAACTTAACTTTTTTTTTTTCTGACAGTCCTCTTATCCAATGCGTGTGAACAGATGCAAGGAAATCCTAAATAAAGCTATCCATATGAAAAATTCTTTAGAAAAATTTGTTGGAGATGCAACTCGTCTAACTGACAAGCTTCTAGAATTGTGCAACAAATCGGTACTACCATAGATCTGTGCTGCAAATAGACTAGCTTTGAGTAATTGTTTATAAAACATATGATTTGAGCTGTTTTTTCATTTGATTAATTAAATTAAAATTCTGAAATATGTATCAAATTGTATACTTAATTTATGATTTTTTTGGGGGGGGGAAGGGGTTGGGGATCCAACCCAGGGCTTGTACCAGGTTTAGGCAGGGGCTCTGCTACTGAGCTCCAACCCTACTCCCTATATGATTTATCTTAATAGAGACTTTAAAGTATTTTCTAACATAGTAAATCATAAAAATATATGTATAAAATACTCAGTTATTTAAAGTAGCCTCCACTTATACTTTGTCATATCTTTAAACTTTTAAACATGTATATTAACCTGCTTGTCTAATAGCTCACATTTCATAGAGGTTTCAGTGCATAATTAACTGGGCCTGGGGTAAAGTGGTTTGACAGAAGGGCATTCCAGGGGAGAAACAGTTCATGGTGGCAAAAGATAACATAGGCAAGCAAGGGAGAGAAAGACAAGCTCTTTTTGTCCCTTATATTGTATCCAGTCTCCTGGGATGAGGGTGGTGCCAATCCAGTTAGTGGACTGATACAGCAATCTCTATTAATTCTGTTTGACCTCTAATGAACTTGACATTCTCAAAATCTTATGTTATCAGACACTGGCACTATTAGAAGTATAGTGCATGTGTAGGTTTCCAATTTTTTATCTGAAATCTTCATGGCAAACTACACTGAAGAATTCAAAATTTTCCATATTTTTAAACGTGCATATACTTTATATTGGATATCACTGCTAACTCTAATCTGTTGGAATAGCCTGTACTCAAACACACCATTCTTTCTGCATTGAAATAATATAACCTTTACACTAAAGGAGAAATTTAGCAAAATTTATCATTTTGCTGCATAATAAGATTTGATACTCCCAAAAAAAGAATTTGCCTTATAGATCTTTTTAGATTTTCTAATGTCTGATAACACATCATAAACCTCAGGTATCTCCTTTAGTCATTAAATAGTTCTATGTTATAAATGCTGTTTTGATGGGTAAAAGAGAACTTTAAAAAAGATGGGAATGTAGCTCAGTGAAAAGGCTCTGAGTCCAATCCCCAGGTAGGGTAGGAGGGGGAGACTTTAAAAACTATATTGCTGAGCCCTTGTAATTAAGATAGTGTAAAAGTGAAGTGTTTATTGTGATGCAATCAATGTTTTATAATTCAGAGTAAACAAAGATAAATTAAAATGCACTATTTTCTTTTTTTCAGGTTGATGGAAGTAGTTCCACATTAAGCATGAGCACTCACTTTAAAATGCTAAAAAGGCTGGTAGAAGAAGCAACATTTAGTGAAATCCTCATTCCTTTGCAGTCAGTCATGATACCTACTCTTCCATCTATTCCGGGTGCCCATGATAATCATGATCCATTTCCTGGGCACTGGGCCTATATTGCAGGTTTTGATGATACGGTAAACTATAGTTTTACATGTCTATAACTATAATACTAAAATTTAGTTAAAAACATCAAGTCGGGCTGGGGATTTAGCTCAGTGGCATAAAGCACCTGTCTTGCAAGCAGGCAGTCGTGAGTTCGATCCCCGGTACCGATAAAAAAGAAAAAGACAGAAAAAAAAAAAAAATCAAGTCAAGCTAAGAATCTAGATGAATTTTATTTTATTTATTTATTTTTATTTTTGGTACTAGGGATCGAACTCACAACCTTGCACTGACCAAGCAAACGCTTACACCACTGAGCTAAATTCCCAGCCCTAAGTGTATTTTATTTGCAAAGAAAAAAAAAGACTGGAAGCTGGGCATGGTGGTGCACTCCTGTAATCCCAGTACTCAGGAAGATAAGGCAGGTGCATTGTTGCAAGTTCCAGACCAGCCTGAGCTACAAAGAGAGCGTAAGGCCTGCCTGAACTGCATAGTGAGACTCTGTCTCAAAAAGACAAAAGACAAAAAAAAAAAGACTGGAAATACAGAAACATGAAACCGTCTTGTACTGTAGAAAATTGATGGATAAAAATTCTGTTTGACTCGATATTTTATTTTTTCCCCACATGCTCATATTGTGATAGTGTGACTCTAATCCTTGTTTTTAGAATTTAATTTTTCCATATTCTTTTTTGTCTTAAAAATAGAAACGCAAAAAAGTAAAATACAAATTTTATTTGCATCGTGGGAAGAAGTGAAAATCTCATAAGAGCTTGGGTTTTTAAATGAAATATAGCTTTTGGCATATGATTTTTTGTTTGTTTGTTTATTCATTTTCTTTGTGAGACAGGGTCTCCTACTATGTGGTTCAGGCTAGTCTTGTGCTTACTGTGTAGTCCTGGCTGGCTTCCAACTCATACTGGTCCTCCTCCCCACTACCTCCTGAGTGCTGTGATTACAGTTCTGTGCCACCCTGCCCAGCAACATATGGTTATTTTTAAAGAAATGGTGCTAAGTACTTTCCCTAAGTAAATACTTTTGAAAGTTGAATATGTATTCTAGTATTTGTATGGCTCAGAAGATTTATACTTTCATAGCTAATTACTCCTCATAATGAATTATTAATCATTTTTATTACTGTCATTTTTGTTGTTAACTTAGAATTCTTCATCCCATTACCTCTTTAGGTAGGCTTCATTTTGGATTTTTTTATTTTTTTTTCAAAAGTCAAATTATTTTCAGTTAATGGTCAGTTCTTACATTAAAAACAATTTAAAAGGTCTTTCATAAATCTTAAATAGATATTTCAAAAATCATAAATATTGTGACTTTTTAAAAGGAATTGCCTCAATTTACATATGTAACTACCTGCTTTACTGATTAAGTAATCTTTTTACATCATGCTGATTTCTAAAGGGTGAAACTGTGTCATAAGAATGGTTATTCTTTTTTAGATGTTAGATAATGAAATTGTTAAAATACAGATTTACTACAGAGTACAGGTTATTCCTTTATTACTTTGTGACATCAGGTTTATAATATGGAGACTTTAAACAAAGGAGTTTGGTCTTAAAACTCATCCTTATTTAGGTGGAAATTCTTGCTTCTCTTCAAAAACCAAAGAAGATCTCTTTAAAAGGATCAGATGGAAAGTTCTACATCATGATGTGTAAGCCAAAAGATGATCTGAGAAAAGACTGTAGACTAATGGAATTCAATTCATTGATTAATAAGGTTTGGAGATAATTTTTATTTTATAATTACCAGATTACTTTCAGTATGGTATAAGTTTCTCAGTATGTAGACCTGTCACTTATAGGAAAAAGAAATGAAATGTACTTTTTTATTTTCACTTGCTTTTATTGTGATACAACACACATAACAGAAAATTTACCATATAAGCCATTTCATGTAAGTAGTTCAGTGGCATTAAGTATATTCACATAGTTGTGTGACCATCACTGCCACGCCTTTCAGAATTTTTAGATCTTCCCACGTTGAAACTGTTTATATTAGATAATAACTCCACATTTCCTGTCCATTCCAGCCTCAAACAATTCTTTCAGTTTCTATTAGTTTGAGCACTCTGGGTACTACATCCAGGGGAATTTTGTAATATTTCTCCTTTTATAACTGGGTCATTTCACTTGTCATTATGACTTAAGGTTCAGAATTTCCTACCTATTAAAATTGATTGATACTCCATTGCATATGTACGCTACACTTACCCATTAATGAACACTTGAGTTGCTTCCATGTTTTATGTACTATAAATAATGTTGCTTTGAACATGAATATGCAAATATCTGCTCAAGTCCCAGCTATCAGTATTTTAGGTATATACTTGTAAATAAAATTGCATGTCTCAATTTTTAATAAATATGATTACTGGGCAACCTGCTCGGGACCCCTTCTGTCTCTTTTCAGACAGAAGCTTTCTTTCTCTCAATAAATATATTCTACTCTTAAAAATACATAAATAAATAAATTTATATGATTGCTTTAAAGAAAAAATACAAGCCATATTAATATGGAAAATATTTCCTATGACATATCTGTAATATATATGTATATTGGATTAATTTGTGTTAACGCTCTTTTATTTTTTTGAGACAAGGTCTCACTCTGTAGTTCAGGCTGACCTTAAACTCATTATGTAGTCCAGGCAGGCGTCCAATTCACAATGATCCTCCTCCCTCATTCTCCTGAGTACTGAGATTAGAGGCATGAACAACCACACCCAGTTGGATTATGTTTTCAATGCTAGAAAAAAAAATTCTACTTTTATTCACCTCACTGAAGTAATCATTAGTATTTTTTATGTTCTACTGGTGTTGATATTTATCTCAAAGATAATATAAGAAATCCCATTAAATTTTTATTATAAATACATGGTCTTATGTCTTGAATTATTCTTTAGGTAGTTTATAATTGCACAACGTATTATTTTCCATTTGTGAAAATTAATCAATACTGTGGAAAGATGAAACTTTTTTTTATAAGTTTTTGTCTTTCCTTCCTAACCCCTCCCCACACATTTCTTAGTTATTTGTTTTTGTTTTATTTTATTTTGTATTTTGAGACAGTCTCGCTATGTAGTTCAGGCTGCCTTGAATTCACTCTATGTACCCCGAGCTGACTTTGAACTCTTTTAACAGTCCTACCTGCAGTCTTCCTGCCTCGCCTTCTGAGTGCTGGAATTATAGATACACATTGTCATCACGCCCCATACATTTCAGTGTACCTTTTTTTTTTTACTTACTTATTTATTTATTTGGAGGGAGTTCGTTTGTTTGTTTGGTACTGGGGATCAAACTCACAACCTCGCACTTGCCAGACAGGCACTTAAGCCACTGAGCTAAATTTCCAGCCCCTGAGTTTTTGTTTTTTGAGACAGTCTCACTGCATAGTACCAGATGGCCCTGAACTCACTTCTATAGCCCTGGCTGCGGTTAAACTTGTGGTTTTCTTTCTGCTTCAGCCTCCTAAATGATGGAAGTACAGGCCTATGTACCATGTCCGCCTTCAGTGTATCTTTTTTAGGGAGTGGGAAGGTACTAGGAATCAAACTCAGGGCCTCTTCGTTTGCCAGGCCGACACTGAACCACTGAGATAAATTCCTGGCCCTTCAGTGTACCTTTTTTTATTACCAGAAAGAGTCTGTGACCTTTAGCATAAAAAAATAAGCAGTAAGTGATTTGTTTTGCTTGGGATTTTATGTTGTTGTTGTTTGTATGTGTGTTTTTTTGAGACAAGGTCTCAAAGACTACACAGTTAAGGCTGGCCTTGAACCCACTTCAGAGCCCAGGTTGGCCTACTCATGGCTTGTTTTGTTTGTAAGGAGTTATGGACTGGAAATGTTTCTCAGTGATAGACCACAGAGGCTCTAGATTCAGTGTCTAGCACCAGGACAACTACCAAAAAAGGGCACAATTGTGATCTGTGCTTGTTTTAACCAAAAGTAATTTAAAAATTAATACTACATTTAAAACTCATTTCAAAGGCAATATAATGAGAATTTTCATTTGAAATATTTGATAAGTCGCTACTTTAATTCACTATTAAACAACTCGTTTATTCTTGAACGTGTTTCTCCTTTGAGTATCAATTGCCTTGGCTTTAATTTATAAATTTATATATATATTTCTGATTAAGATATTACTATAACCACTCATTAACATGATCAAATAAAATAGCCTGATGGTGGCAAAAACTACTATAATCTTAACAGTTTTGATCTTACAAGCCTCAGACTGCTTTTTATCTGAAATTCTATTACTATGCTATTTTTCTGACATTTATGAAACCTACTTAATCCTAAAATTTAAATGTGGTTTTGGTCAGTGATTGTGCTTTTGAAATGAAGAAGTTACAATTATAGATATGTACTTTATTTGGCTATCTCATAGTGTTCCAGAATTAAATATTATATAATTTTTTCTTGTATATCTGGATTAATCACATTAAATATGTAAGGCTTTCTTGTTCTAGAGGAATAGCTCTTGAAGTAAAACTGTAATATTCACAATATAGTAAGAAATACATTTTGAGGATGTTATATGACTCATAGTTTTTTTCATGTGCTTTTTAGATAATGAAAATTAAACACCATCCTCTGGGCCTGTGGACTTCACATTTCAGTAATATCTATAAAGCAATAGTAAGCAATAGTATTTTGTCACTGTTAGATTTATAACTACAACATAATATAATTACCATATTAACAGTGATGGGGGGGTCGTAATGGGAATTGAATTCATGACTTCATGCTTGCCAGGCAGGCACTTGTGCCACTGAGCTAGACCCCCGGCCCTAATAGTGAATAAGTAAAAAGGACTTACCCAAGGCAATTTTAGTGATTTGGAAATAGATTAAAGACCCTATCCCAGTCATTTTCTTCTCTTTCAAAAGAATTACTCATCTATACTACACATAGTAAATGTTCATTAGCATCCGTTTACTATAAAGTGAAGCTATTTAGCTGTATTTGATACAGCACGTAGAAATTTTGAGTTGTAATGTTTTAAATGTATGTCCACTTTTTTGTTTAATAGTGTTTAAGAAAAGATGCAGAATCTCGTAGACGAGAACTTCACATCCGAACATATGCAGTTATTCCACTGAATGATGAATGTGGGATTATTGAATGGGTGAACAATACTGCTGGCTTGAGGCCTATTTTGACCAAAATATATAAAGAAAAAGGTACTAAATGTTTTAAGTATATAATATAGAATTAATAACTACATGCATAAAATATAGATATAATTATTTTTATTTATTTATTTTACTTTATTTTGTGTTTTAGTGAAATTGATAACTTTCATGTATAGAAGCGCTTAAATGTTTTCTTTTGTTTCTTCCACTTTTCTTTTTTACCCTTCCTCCTTTAATTTTATTCTTTTGAATCCTTACTTATCTTCATTGGGGAAGGATTTGAGGTAGTTTACAAAAACGTGTGAAAATTTGTACTTTTCACATATTGGTTAGAAATTTTGAAACTATTTTGTGTGTATGTAAGTCTTTAGCAAATTATGCATAATAAGAGCTGGTTTTCTTACTGTCCAAAACAGAAAATGAAAGAGACTAGGCTAGAATCAAACTAGAAGTATTTGATTAGAGTAATGGAGTCCCATCATCATAACCTGAATAATTTGAGAAAAAATAAATAAGAGTAGGGGCAGGGATTTAGCTGAGCATTGTAAGCACCTGCCTGGCAAGCGTGAGGTCATGAGTTCAATCTATGGTACCCAAATAAATACATAAATAAATAAATAACAATGATTGACTATAAATTGTGAAATAAATAACATGTTCACATTGACATAAATATACTAGAATGAATGAACAAATTAATGAATAGAGAAGTAAGAAGTTTTTTCTCCCAGTAGAATTGCAATGGGTAAATGTAAGGAATAGAATAGAAAATCACCAAACTCCATGATAATAAATGTGGTAAGTAGTTAATAGGGTAAAGTAGAATTAAATGCAAGATATTTTCAGAGTCTCAAAGTGCTGCCTCATACGATAGATAAGTATTAATTGTGAGGGGGGAAAATTACTACCTGTATAGAAGAAAAACAAAAATATAAGTGGTCAACACTTAAAGACAGATGTTTCTCAGATTTGATACCTTAAGAAAACAAAACAGATGGATATAATATGGAATCCTGCATTGGATCCTAACCTAGAAAGAAAGGGTACTAGTGGGACAGTTAGTAAAATCTAAATAAGGCCTAGGGTTAGTTAATAATACAGTAACAATAAGAATTTACTGTTATAATTATACTACTGTTTAACCAGATATGAACACTAAGGAGTGCTGCATAAGGAATATATAGGAACTGCTTATCATTTATGCCTCTTTTTTCTAAGTCTAAAATTACTTCACAATACTTGAAATGCATATAATGTAATGCATCAAAAATAAATGTCAAATTAGCACAGTGAACAAAATAAATAGATCAGTCTTCTAAGGTGGTACACAAAAACAACACAAACTTAAGTGCGTTATATCTGTAAGGATAGCAACCTTTGGATTATTGAATTATGGGCCCACCTAAATGACCTTATCTTAACTTGACACATCTGCAAAGACCCTGTTTCCAGAGGAGAGCAGGAGATGTGGGGGTAAAAAAGAAGATGCATTATGTATGTGTACTAACTTCTCAATGAGTGTAATCATGACACACTGCTGGCATTTACTAGTAAAAATTAAAATTAAAAAATAAAGCCAGGCATGGTGTAGCATACCTGTAATCTCAGTACTCAGGAGGCTGAGTAGGGGGATCACTGCAAGTTCAAGTCAGTTTGGGCTACATAGTGACTTTCAAAGCCAATCTAAATTACAAAGTAAGATCCTATCTCAAAGCAAACAAAAAACCTCTAAAATATCCCGTATTTCCAAATAAAGTCACATTCTTTAATTGATTTCTTAAAATATATGATTCAATCTATAGCAATAAATGATACTAATAAATTACTTGATTATGGGCATTGTGATAAGTACATTATATACATTATTTTAAAGGCTGATTGACTTTTTGTGGGGAAGGGATATCGGGGATCAAATGCACAGCCTGGCACTTGCCAAAGGGTACTTTCGCTGCTAAGCTAAATCCCCAGCCAAGGCTGAGTATTGTGTAGATCATATCAGAGAAGTAACTTGTCTAAATTCATGTTTAACATATTGTAGAGGTGAAACTTAAGCACATTTAAGTCACATTTGAAAGATTTTACTGTTGACTTTTATTTAGAAGGATAAAATGTTGTATGTTTTAGTTATTGATAGCGGATTTGTTTGCTTTTTGACAATCTCACTATGTGGTCTAAATTGGCTTTGGACTTGCTATGAAGCCTAGGCTGTCCTTGAACTTGGAGATGTCCACACCTCAGTTTCTTGAGTGCTGGGCTTATAGGAATGCATCACCATACTTGGCCTTGATGTTAGATAGATTTGTTTAAAAAACTACCTTTTACCATTTTGTAAATACAAGTGAACTATATGACACTTGAGGCTGACACCCTTAAATCATTAACCTTGTTCATGAAACTACAGACTAGTTGTGAATTGTGATGCTTATTTTAAAAATCAGTTGTTCTATGAATTTTATAGACTAGTTTATCAAATGAATTATTTCAGAGCACCAATGTTAGTTCCTTAGTAATGGTTTGATTTGAACATGTACTTCATCCTGATTAACAGTATTATATGTACTCTCATCAAGTATTGCAGCATTTTCACAATTCCAAGAGTGAATTTGCACTGGAAGTTTTCTGAGTCTTGTATTCTGGAGTTATGTGGTCACATCACATTGGTTTTTGTGAACAGTGATTTTCATTAGTAAGAGGCTCTATTTTTTTTTTTTTTTTTTTTTTTTTTGTCTTTTTCGTTTTTTTCGGTACCAGGGATCGAACTCACGACTGCCTGCTTGCAAGGCAGGTGCTTATGCCGCTGAGCTAAATCCCCAGCCCCAAGGCTCTATTTTTTGTTCTTAAAGGGAAAATGACATGACATTTTATTATGATATCAGAAAGATTATATATGCATGATTGAAAATGTTTCAGATATTCTTGCTTTTGAGTAACAATTTGACATTCCCTGTTCAAGTTTAACAAAACTATTTTTGCTACTTTTCTCATTTGGCTATGATTAATGGAAATCACTGCCTTGTAGGAGTATATATGACAGGAAAGGAACTTCGCCAATGTATGTTGCCAAAGTCAGCATCTTTATCAGAAAAATTCAAAGTATTCCAAGAATTTTTGCTTCCCAGGCATCCTCCTGTTTTTCATGAGTGGTTTCTGAGAACATTTCCTGATCCTACGTCATGGTAAGTTACCAAGAATGTTATAGCTGAATGTTTATTTTAATATTTTTTATTTTTTGTTGCCTTGTCTGTCATAAGGCTATTTGATGGGCATTATATTTCCTTTAGGTACAGTAGCAGATCAGCATACTGCCGTTCTACTGCTGTTATGTCAATGGTCGGTTATATCCTGGGGCTTGGAGACCGTCATGGCGAAAACATTCTTTTTGATTCTTTGACTGGTGAATGTGTACATGTGGATTTCAACTGTCTTTTTAATAAGGTATGTAATGTGACTTAGTGTAATTAATTTTATATTTTCTCCCAATTTCCTTTCTACCACTTCCTTTTTTAGACATACTTAATGCTAAGTAACACTCATAGCTGTATCACATTGAGTTTCTTGTCTAGTTTTCATGAGTGAATCCATAGTAGTGTAATTTAGGATGGAGAGAATGTAGAAGAGTGATATATAATAAAATCTAAAAGCATGTTATGACTCACTTAGTTACTATATTATGTGAACATGGGCAGATCAGTTCATTTACTGAGACTTAATTTCAGAGAATTTAATATTATAGCTTCCCAATCTAGCAGTTCATCATAATTATACGATAGTTTTAAAAATACAGAAGATCCAGGCATAATCCCAGCACTAGGGAGGCTGAAGCAGCAGGATTGCCACAGGTTCAAGACCAGTTTGGGCTACATAGTGATTCAAAGCTAGCCTGAAGTACATAACTGCATAGCAAGACTCTGTCTCAAAAGGAAAACAAACACACACGCATACACATATAGCTGCGGATGTAATTTAGTGTTGGAGCACTTACCCAGCATACACCAGCAGTCCCCAGTATTGCAAAATAAAACAAAAGAAAATGATAAAAACAGATACCTAGAAAATAGCCCATGAGATTCAGATTCAGTATGTCTAAAGTAAGGCTTTGGGAAGAAATTAAAGCAATCAGTCTCATCTCTAAAGCCCCCTACAATTTTCTGTGGCTAAAATGCTGGTGGGCTGGCCTCTGTGGTATAGTCCTCTAATCACAGCACTTGGGAGGCTGAGGCAGGAAGATTGCCACAAGTTCCAGGTCAACCTGGGCTACATAGTGAGTTCAAGGACACCCTGAACTATGTAGTGAAAGGCTATCTTTTTTTAAAAAATTTTTTGCCTGAAGGATAGATTGGTAGGTTAGCCTGTGCTTATTCATTCACCATTTTCTCTGAGTTGCTATTTCAGGAGACTGAGAAAGATCATACATTCAACTGAGAATAAATCAGAGATAAACCACTAGTATAAATTAAACCATGTAAAAGAGGACTTTAAGGTTACTCATTGGAGGGATAAAAGTACCCTGGAAAAGCAAATTAGAGAACAGCAAAAAATGCAAAAGTGGATTTGTATAACATATTTCATATCTTATCTGAGGAATGTATCTGACACCTGGCTGTTTCTTTTTACCTCCTGTTTTAAAGTGAAAGTTGTAAAGAAGAAAAATATGAGAATTTTTGTTTGTATTTTGTATTATTTCAAGGAAAACATTAGGAAGTTAATGAGAATACTGAATGCATAAAAACTTCTCTGTAACAGTATTCACTATACTAAATCGGTGAAAGGTGAATGTTAGTCGTCTAGATCTTACCCCAAGATCAAGTTTGGTTTCGTTCCCCATAAGCAAAGGCAGAGAGTCAGGTGACTCTTTCATGCTGTTTTTGTGAGGCTGTTTTTGCTCCTTGCTAAAACTGTTTAGCCATGAAGTTCTAAATTCTGTATTTGAATAATTGCATTGCTTTTAAGGGTGAAACCTTTGAAGTTCCAGAAATTGTACCATTTCGCCTAACTCATAACATGGTTAATGGAATGGGTCCTATGGGAACAGAGGGTCTTTTTCGAAGAGCATGTGAAGTTACACTGAGACTGATGCGAGATCAGAGAGAGCCTTTAATGAGGTAATCATCCATACTTTGTAAATAATTTAGCAGTGACCTTGTTTTGTAAATATTTGTTCCCCAAGTATCTACTTTATTTAGTAATCACTTCTTTCTTTCTATGGATTTGCCTATTCTAGACATTTCATTTAAGTATAATCATATTCTATGTGGCCTTTAATTTTTTTGGTTTTGGAGGGGTTTTTTTTTTTTTGGTGAAAGAGCACATTTATTGGGGAAGCTACACAGTGGCCACAGACAAAGGCCAATCAGTGGACATCCTACAGGTCATATTGGAAAAAAAAATTAACTGTAACAGAATTTCCCTTGGAACACTTTTCAAATCTCTTCCTTCTCAGGGTTTGGGAAAAATCCCAACCATTTTCCTGAAGGCAGCTGTGGTTCACTCGAGGTACAATCCCTCAAGGGTATCTTCCTGCTTCTTATATAATACATTTTCTTTAGATTTTTTGACATCTTTGTTACTTTCATTCTATATTCTCTCAAGGCGAGTTTCTATATAGATTGCCTTGATGTCGCCACCATGATCAGGTGATGTAACCAGTTATTCAGGTTATATCACTGGCCAGCATCATCGTGCTTATGTGAATCTGAAAGACATGCTTTTAGTCTTCTTGAGACATGAAGACCTCAATCTTCCTGTCACTATGCCCCGATCTGATGAATGCTGGGATCCAAAGTTTCTATTCGATTTGGGCCATGGCAACTTTCACATCTCTCTGAGTCAGATCTTTCCAGTTGGTTCAACAGTTCCAACACTGCTGAATTTCTCTCTCACCTCCAGGGTACGAACCATATTTTGTGGTCCCAGTGGCCTCAGTTTTATTAATAAACAAAGGGCTGGGGATTTAGCTCAGTAGCTTAAGTGCTTTCCTGGTAAGAGCAAGATTGTGAGTTCAATCCCTGGTACCAAAAAAAAAAAAATTTAATAAACAGGATTGATGAGCTAGGTGTGGTGGCTCACGCCTCTAATCCCAGCACTCGGGAGACTGAGGCAGGATGATCATTGCGAGTTTGAGACCAGCCTGGGCTACAAAGTGAGCTCAAAGCCAGCCTGAACTGCATAGCGAGATCCTATCTCAAAAAGACCAAAAAAAAGAAAAAAGATAGATGGTGCATGTTCTTCTAAGACTTGAAACAATTCTCATACCAGTATGAGCCCATCTTCTAGGCACTTCTGAATAAGTTCAGAGACAACCACTCTCAAGGAAATAGCTGAAGTTTGGTTTTTTACTGCTTTGGCTAGCAAAGTTCTAGTTGTGACAGGTAGACCACAGAGTATGACCTGTTTAAGGGGTTTTATACCCATCGTAGTATTCAGGATGGATGAGAGGAAGCACCATGGATTCCTTACTTTCCTAGATTTGATTGTCCAACCCACCATTGTTGGCATAGTTTCCTGGGCGGCCTTTTCCACCTTCATCACTGTGACCAGAGGATCTGTGTCATCCCATCATCACCCCAACCATGGCATACACCCTGTTATTGAGTAGAACTGGGCACCCTGGTTCCAGCAGATTCTTGTGCACAAGTGTTCTGAGCTCACAGATATAGACACAATGCTGTGATTGTCACCAAGGATTTCTTCCAAGGTTCCTACCGACATTGGGATTCCCCTCAGAAGTCCACCTTTGACCTTTCCCCCTCTTGCTATTCTTCTATTGGTTTCATTTGTTACTGATTTCTAATGAATTCCTCCTCCATGAGAATAGTCTTTAATTGTCTCTTAACTTGAATAATTTTAAGAGGCACCGAGTGTAAAATGTCACCAGTGGCAGTTTGCTGGCAGTACCTGCTCTCTTTGTTTTCTTCTTTTTCCCCACTCTAGTTGAACTGGAGGTTCACATTGCTTTTTCTGGTCCTTGTCCTTCCTTCTTACCTTCTCCAAGACTATGACCACCAATCTGACTTTGACGCTTATTGCATTGGTGGCTCTATTTTTTGTGTTTATTTTTTCATATAATCTCACTGTGTAGTTGACGCTGGCCTTGAACTCATGGCAGACCTCTTACATAAGCCTCCTGAGTGCTGGAAACACAGGCATACATCACCATGTCTAGCTATATGTGGCTTTTTGTGTCTTATCTTCTTTCACTTAGCATGTTTTTAAGATTACTTGTGTATGTCTTGGTTACTTTTCTCTCATTGCTGAGACAAAAATACCTGATGCCCAAAATTAAGGAAGGAAAGGTTTATTTATCTTATAGTTTGTAGAGGTTTCAGTCCATAATCAGCTGGCTCCAAGAAAGTGGCATGGTCAGGGGCAACGGTTCATGGCTGCAGAAGACAGCAAAAGCAACAAGAGCAAAAAGAGAGAAGAATAGGGAGAAAAGTCTTTCCCTTATATTGTATGTTGGCTATCAACCCTAGGGTGGGTATAGTACTTACGCACATAATCCCAGCATTGGATCATGAATCACAGATTCTAAAAGCATATCCCCATGGCTGCATGAGGCTTTGGGGGACATCTAGACACAAACCTTAACACTGTATAAGTACTTCATTCTTTATTGCCAAATAATTTGTTGCCGATATATACGTTTTATTTATTCATCAGTTGAAAGACATTCATGCTGTTTCCACCTTTCAGCTATTATGAATAGAGTGACTGTGTACATTGTACAAAACTTTACACAGGCCAGGTGTGGTGGTGCATGCCTGTGATCCCAGCATTCAAGAGGTTGAGGCAAGAGGATCACCAGAGTTTGAGGCCAGCCTGCATTACATAGTGAAACCCTGTCTCGACAACAAAAACTTTATGTCAGTATATATATATATACATAACAGTAGAATTGCTTCTGGGTACGGTGGCACACTACCATAATCTCAGCACTTCTAGCAGGAGGATACCTCAAGCTCAACACCAGTGTGGGCTACAAAGTGAGTAGTGCCACCCCAAACTGCATAGTGAGATCCTGTTTCAAAAAAACCAAACAAAAAAAAAAAAAAAAAAAAAAGAGCTGAATCACACATTAGCTACAAATGTAACATTTTGAGGAACTTTCAAATTATTTTCAAAGCAATGATAATACTTCATAATCCCCATAGTAATCTAAGTTCCAGTTTCTCCACATCTTTACCAACATTTAGTCTTTTATTTTTTAGTTGTTCTCCTAGGTGTGAAATGATCTCTGATGGTTTTATTTTGTGTTTCCTGATAACCAGGAATGTTGAGCATCTTTTCATCTGTTTGTCATTTGTATTTTCTTTGAATAAATGTCTATCTAAATCTGTGGCCTGTATTATTTCAAGGTAAGGAATAAATTCATTCAAAAATACTCATTTATCAATTCAAGTATACATTTTTTTTTCTTTTTTCTGGTACCGGGGATCGAACTCACAGTCGCCTGCTTGCAAGACAGGTGCTTATGCCACTGAGCTAAATCCCCAGCCCCTCAAATATACATTTAACAATGGCACACATAACTCATCTTAGTCTCCAAAACCACCTCTTTTTTGTCTTGCCTTTTACCACTTTTTCCTTTCATTTTCCCCTTCTGTACTCCTAAACAATAATTTTAGATAACCTTACTGTCAGAGTACTAGCACAATAATGTCTTATTCATTTCTCATCAGGTTCTTGTCTTTTGCTGTCTTTTATATGTTGGGTTTTTTTTTTTTTTTTTGTCTTTTTTTCATTTTTATTGGTACAGGGGATCAAACTCACGACTGCCTGCTTGCAAGGCAGGTACTTATGCCGCTGAGCTAAATCCCCAGCCCCTGTATGTTGATTTTTAACAAGATATCTGTTTGAAAAGATAACTATATTATTACTATAATATTTTCTTTAATTTTAGTGTCTTAAAGACTTTTATACATGATCCTCTTGTGGAATGGAGCAAACCAGTAAAAGGACATTCCAAAGCGCCACTGAATGAAACTGGAGAAGTTGTCAATGAAAAGGTTAGTAGAAGGTGCAGCTTAAAATTAATATTGTATTATCTACAAATAAGAACAGCTTCTAAATACTATCACTGACTGAATACTGATTACTCTGAAATGTAAAGTTTTTAAAATTGTTATTCTGGCATTTATATAATAAAACAGATTAAGCACATTTGTTTAATTATACACAGCTTACAGTTAAGAAATAGTGTGAAAACCTTGAGTACAAATTGTCTGTGAATTTATGGCCATGTTGGAACACTGTCATAATCCTTTTTGAAAAATGTAGTGGTAGCTGGGCGTGGTGGCTCACACCTATAATCCCAGCACTCGCACTTGGGAGGCTGAGGTGGGAGGATCATTGTGAGCTCAAGGCCAGCCTGAACTGCATAGCGAGACCCTGTCTCAAAAAGACAAAAAAAAAAAAGAAAAATGTAATGGTTGCTGTGCTATTACAAGTAATGAAATCCTCAGTGTTTGCTCACAGTTACTTTTAATAAATTACAGAGATTGGTTTATTTTGGGATTTAGGGTTTTTGTTTTGTTTTGTTTTGTTTTTTGGTACCAAAAGAAAGAGTTTTGTATATACTAAACACATGCCTTACCACTAAACTGTAGTCTTACCTGAGGATTGCTTTTCTAGTATTATTCTGTCTTTTGCATTCTGATAAAATTTTTCTTAAGATATAACTGTGTAGAATTCTCCCATCAAAGTACTAATCAGGCCCAAACCTGCTTGGCTTCCGGGATCAGATGAGATAGGGCATGTTCAGGGAGGTATGGGCATAGATATGTGTAGAATTCTAAGTAGTTCTCTTAGAATATTCATTTGCAAGCAAGAATGTTTTTTGTAATGTAAATATCAGCATTGTTGCTATTATTGGTGTTCATTCAAACATTTAAGTTCTAAATACTTTCAAACCAGATTTTGTTTTTTGGGTTTTTTTCTCTTTGTGGTATTGGACATTGTACTCAAAGTCTCATGCATATTAGGCAAATATGAATTACTACTGAATTACACTCCAGCCTTCAAAATGAGTATTTTAAATTTTCTGGACTTGTAGTGTGGAAATAATTCCCGGACATTTCATGTAGTCCAGAAACATATCCAGTCAGTTCATGGCGAACCAAATCGCAAGCCTCAAAGTCATTATGTTAAGTTTCTGAATTTGTTTTATTTCTTTCAGTATAAAAGGCTATTGACATCAATATTTGCTAAATATCAAGAGAGGCAGAAATTCCAAATTACCAACACTACATATTGTTGGGTGCCTAGCCCTAATGATTTTTTATTTCATTTTAGGCCAAGACTCATGTCCTTGACATTGAGCAGCGACTACAGGGTGTAATCAAGACTAGAAATAGAGTAACAGGACTGCCATTATCTATTGAAGGACATGTGCATTACCTTATACAGGAAGCTACTGATGAAAATTTACTATGTCAAATGTATCTTGGTTGGACACCATATATGTGAAATAAAATTATGTAAAAAGTATGCTAAAAATCAAATGAATGTGTTTGTTATAAATCTGTGTTGTGTCTATTCATTTCTAACATAAATTCTATGCTGCACATGGTGATGCACACTTGTAATCTCATCACTTGGGAGTCTAGGGTAAGGGGATTGCCTAGTGTTTGAAGCCAGCCTGAACTACACAGTAATACTCTGTCCCAATAAAATAAAACAACCTAAATAAACATTTTGTAATTTTTTTTTTCTGCTGGTTCTGGGAATGATCCCAAGACCTAAGTCCTCATGTATGTAAGCATGCCTTCTGCTACTGAACTACATCCCCATCCCCAATACTCTTATTTTATTTTAATTTTTTTGGTACCAGGGATCAAACTTGTGACCTCGTGCTTGCCAGGCAGATGCTTATGCCGGGGCTAAATCCCAGCCCAATATTCTGTTTATTTTAAAGATGCTGTCATACTGTAGGTGTACCAGAATGCACAATCCAGTGGTAATGAGGGAAGTAATATTTTTGTGTATGGTTGAATGTGATGGAGAAAAACAATACCCAGAAAACATGACTATAAAATTAAATGTATAGGGCTGGGGATCCAGCTAAAAGGTACAGCCCCTGCCTGGCAGGTGCAAAGTTGAGTTCCATCTCCAGTACCAAAAAACCCAAAAACTAAAAAAGAACAACAAGATGTGTGTGTGTGTGTGTGTGTGTGTGTGTGTGTGTATATATATATATATATATAAAACCATATCAAGAGCTTAGTGTTAAGGGAGGCTAGTTAGAAAATCATTTAACAAAAATCTGGTATAGACTGCTTTCTGGGGGGGAGGGGGCGTTGGGACAGGGCCTTGCTGTGTACTTCAGGCTGACCTTGAGCCCATGGTGATCCCTCTGCCTCAGCTTCCATAAGTGTAGGGATTACCAGGCATGTGCCACCACGCTCAGCAAAGAACGCTTTTAAAATTTACTGTGTTTACATTCCTCAGAAAATAGCCAACCCCCCCCACCACCCGTCACAACTTGATCCAAATAAATCAGGCCTTTCCAAATTTATTGACAATAGTGAGATTAGCAATCCCAGGAGGCAGTAGTCGGGACAAAAGTCATTATTAAATATCTTCCTGATAGTCCCGTAGTTTTCGTACCATTTCTAAATCCGTAGTCGTACAAACGCATTTTTAGAACTAAGGCGAACATCCCAAGCCTGTCGGGTTCTCTTCAAACAGTCAGCGAGACCGGAGAGCTGCGAGGTGGCGCGATAAGCCCCGCCCCGGGACGCGTCCTCAGAGCCCGCCGCTCTAGGCCCCAGGACGCTCTCTATGGTCGGGCTGGCGGAGTGTTGTCATCGGTGGAGCGACGGCCCGAGGCGGCGGCGCAGGCCCTGGCGGGGCGTTTGGTTTCGGTTTGTCCCTGTCTGGAATTGGTGTTGACGGTCGAAATGGGAGTCCCGAAGTTTTACCGGTGGATCTCGGAGCGTTATCCCTGCCTCAGCGAAGTAGTGAAAGAGCATCAGGTGGGTGAGCGTGGACCAGCTGCTCGTAAGGCCGAGAACCCCGGACTCCTTGGTCCGCTCTGCGACTGGGCGCCTCTCGTAGTCTGCAGATGGGTGGCGGACAGAGGGGCCCAAGGGCTTGAGGATGCCTGGGAACACTGTGCCCCCACACGCAGGTTCGGCTTTTGCAGAGGTCCGGGAGGTCTAATGGTTCTGCCGCGACAGGGCCTTCCGCAACGCTTTTAGTGAGCTCCCGCTTCCTCCTGGCGATCGGCAAGTTAGCTTTTCCAGTAGCCCGGCTGTAGAGCTGGACTGGATGCCCTCTTAGGTGCCCCACACTACCCCATACCCTACAGCATAGGGTACGAACAATACCTGCAGCCTCTGCATTGGCATCGCCCTGTTTACTATCTAGGACTGCATCCTACCTCACCCCACACGTTACACTTGTTGACGTGGCTGATGGTTCTAGTGTATGATGCCTTTGATGCTCTTTTTCACCCTCAAAGACTGTCCCCACCCCTTTGGCCAAAACTAACAACTCTAGGATGGGAAGGAGGGGTTGAAGACTTAGCTGTGTCGGAGCGGGAACAAGAATATTACTGCTGCTGTTTGGTGTATAGTGATTGATGCCTGAGCAATGTTTATGTGTAGATTACAGGTCTGTCTATCTATATATCTAGATATCTATATCTATCTATGAAAAGAAAGCAGTGGTCTACTTGGTTAAACTAGGGAGTGACACTTTAGCGTTTGCCACATGCAAAAAAACTTTGCTCTTTTGTCACTTTTGAAATCTGCATAGTTGATTGAATTAGTTGTGATACAGAACATTGTGTTGATATTGGCAGCTGTCTATTACAGTTCTTTTTCAAATGTATAAGAATACAATTAGGCCTCTGCAAAAAATTTTTTGTTGCTAGATTCCAATCAATTTTGGTATGTGGGGAAAAGTTACAAAAATTTCAAAATGCTTGCTTATCTTTCATTTATTTAAAGCACAGGTTTAACTGTATAAACACCTACCTAGCAAACACAAGGTCATAAATTCAAATCCCATTACCTAAGAATAGAATAGAGTAGAATAGAATAGAATAGAATAGGGGTTTAATTAGATTTAGAGGGACATTTATTTTCAAAGAGGAGTGTAAAAAAATACTGGTACATTACAGAAATGGAAACTACTAAGTCTGCCTTTTTCTGGGCCCTTCAAACAACAAATGTTTGAGTATGTGCACTGCATCAGTCATTTTATCTCTGTTTAAAAAAAGGGATTGCTATTCAGAATGACTTGATAATACATAATTTTTCTATAATATTTTCATTCTGTACTCTTTGATACAGAGTCTCGTTGGTGAAACTCTTCTTGAATTCTCCCTACCTTGAATAATTTTGTTACTGAAAAGTAATCTTTTTAATGTGACTTTATTTTTATTTTATGTTGTTTTTTTGAGACAGTCTCACTTACATAGTTCATACTGGCCTTGAACTCACTGTGTAGCCTCCAACTAACCTCTAACTCACAGTGATTCTCCTGCCTCATCCTAGTGTACCCTGGGATTTCAGACAGGTGCACCATGTTCAGCTTTAATGCAGTTTTATGACATGGACACTAAGGATAGGTTTTGTGACAGCTTTACTCTAAATAGAAACTGGAGGAGGATTATTTTTAAAATTTCACTGTAATAAACCTTAAAACTTGGTGGGTCAAAGTGATGTCTTTCACAAATGTTTGATTAAAAAGAGATAAATGACCCACCAACTTACTCGCTGAAGCAACAATTCAAGATGATATATCTACATAACCCACCGTAGTTCAAAAGCCAGTTCTAATGGGGCAGCATAGTTTTTTAGTGTCTCAATCCTCAAGTGAAACAAAAAGAGAAATGTAGCAAAATTTAGCATCCATGAAACAATTACAACAAAACATGTAACATGATATATCGTACTTTATGGTTCAGTATTACTGGTTACCTTAGGATCCAAATAAAAAAATAAGGGTAAACTGCCAACACCTTATAGATTCATTCAGTATTGTGCAAGAGAATCAAAGAAGCAATGGGGAAACTTCTGATGGACCTAAGAACAGGGAAACTGCAGAATAGACCAAAAAATATTTTGGTCACTAAAATATTTGTGAGGCCAGCTGATAAAAAGAAGCTCTGAAACTGAGGAGTTTCATTCAGTTTGGGATTAACTGAGGGAAGGGTCTACAGTAATGAAAACCATAGAAGCCAGGCAATATACCGCCAATAAACTGGAAAAACTGCCTTGCTGAAATGCTTGCATGGGGCAGACCCTACCCTAAGGAGAAACTACTTGGAATAGAATCAAAATTTCTCACTAAAGGAAAATAGGGACAAGAAAAGAGAAAGTCCAGGTTAAAATTGGGATAGTTAGAATCAAGAAAGCTTAAAAAACAAACCACCATACATACATTTTTAAAGTTTTATTTTAAGGAGGGTAAAACAAACCAGAACAAAAACAGAGCAAAGCAGATCAGAAGAAAACAATGTAAATGACACAGATTTCAAAGAAAAACAACAGGAGATCAACATTGGCTACCATAATGTCTCTTGTTTTCTCCTAAATAGTTGACTATATCTTTATATATAATGAATTCCTACAAAACAAAATAGAATTAAACTGATCAAAACAGAGTAATGAAGGCATTACAGGCATTCAAAACCAGACAATAGGAAAATCTGTAAAAATAAAAAAAAAATAGGAAAATCAACAATGGCTAACATAACGTCTCTTGTTCTCTTCAAAATAGCTGTCCTTACCTTCATATATGTTGAAATTAAATAATACAAAACAGACTAAAACCACTCCAAACAAAGAATAAAATCATTGCTAGATTTCACAGCATTTTGATAGGAAATCAGCAATGGATATCATAATGTCTCTTTTTCTTCAAAGTAGCTGTTCATATCATCACAAATAATACAGTCAATTCTTGTAAACTGTTTATGAGAAGTACTAGGCGTATAAGCCTCTACATGTATATCTGTTCTTTCCACTTTTCAGGGAAAAAGAGAACAAATTACCAGAAAAACAAGAAACAAAAAAGACAACACTAGCAAGGAGCCCAAAACAATGACAATATAGGCTTTAAACAAGGTGGTAGGAATGTAATTAAGGTTGTTATTTTACATAGTAATCTTTAAAAGAATTCCTCAGATCACCAGACACAAACATATAAAATTGATTCAATCCTATGAATGTTAACTATTTTGTTCCAAGAAATAATGGAATTTGTAGCACAGTTATCTTAACTATTTTCAGTGTGTTTATACAAATTTAGATATTTTTCTTTTCCCTTTTTACCCCTCCTTTTCCATGAGATATTATTTTTTTCTCTTTGAGCAGTTGCTTACTGTTTCACAATATTTATTGAAGGTTTTGTATCTTATTTATATTTTCAGTTTCTTACACTAGGGAGACAATATGGTATTTACACATGTGAGTTTGATTTATTTCACGTATGTGCATGGTCTCAAATCGCATCCATTTACCTATAAAAGCCTCAATGTGATTCTTTATAGCTGAGTCGTATTCCATTGTATAAAAATACCACATATTTTTTGCCCATTCCTCAATTGATGGGCATTTGGGTTGTTTCCAAGATTTGGCTATTACAAATTCTGCTGCTATAAATGTGGGTTAATTGTGGTATGATGTTTTCAGTTCTTCTGGGAATGTACCAAGAAGTGAATAGCTGGGTCAAATGGGACTTCCAATCCCAGCATTTTGAAGAACCTCCAGACTGATTTCCACAGTGATTTCATCAGTCTATACTCCTGGCACCAGTACAGAAGAGTTCCTTTTCGCCCACACCTCTCCAGCACTTGTTATTGGTGGTTTTCTTGATCGTGACCATTTGTTCTGAAGTGAGATGGAATCTCAGTGTGGTTTTCATTTGCATATCTCTAATGACTAATAATGCTGAACATCTTTTCATGTATTTATTTGCCATTTCTATTTCTTCAGCTGAGAAGTGTTTATTCATCTCAGATGCCCATTTTTGGATTGGGTCTTTGAATTTTGGGGGCCTGATATTTTAAAATTCTTTATATATTCTAGATAGAAGTTCTTTATCTGAGGGACAATTGACTTAAGATTCCTTCAAAATTCATAGGTTTCCTTTTTATTCTGGAGATTTCTTTTGACATGCAAAAGCTTTTTAATAAGATGAGATCCCAGTTACTGATTCTGGGAAATATTTCCCATGCAGTTTGATTTTTTTTTGAAGAATTCTCTGCCTACCTCTATGTCTTCAAGATTTTTACCTACTTTGTCTTGTCTTCCAGCAGATTTAGTATTTCTGTTTTAATGTTTCAGTTCTTTGATCCATTTTTACTTTAGTTTAGTACAGGGTGATAGGCATGGGTCTCTTTAGTTTTTGGCATATGAGAGCCAGTTTTTCCAGCACCACCTATTAAAGAGACTATCTTTCTTCTAGAGAATATGTTTGGACCCTTTGTCAAAGACAAGGTGATTGAGTCTGTTTGTAGTTGTTGTTACATCTTCTAATCTATTCCGTTGATCTTGAGGTATGCTTTTTATTCCAATACCATGCTGATTTTATTACAATAGCTTTGTAGTATAGACATTGTCAAGTCAGACATTGTGATGCCTCCTGCCTTGCCTTTGTTGCTTAGAATTGCCTTTGCTATTCTAGATCTTTTCTGGTTCCAGATGAATTTTAGGAATGATTTCTCTAGATCTGTGAGGTATGCTAGTAGCATTTGGATGTGAATTGTATTAAATCTGTATAACAATTTTGGGAGAATGGCCATTTTCACAATATTTATTCTTCCTATCCATGAACAGAAAATGTCTTTCCATTTTCTGAGATCCTCTTCAATTTCTTTTTCAGTGTATTATAATTTTCGCTGAATAGATCTTTTGCTTCCTTTGTTAGATTGATTCCTAAGTATTTCATTTTTTTGGATGCTATTGTGAAAAGTGTGGCTTCTCTTACTTCTTTCTCAATGCGTTTATATATGGGAATGCTA